TGTTTCGTGAGAAAATGCAAGAGAACACCTGCCCCCGTCCAGTGGCAGTGAGCATGACTCCCAGCCCCAGGGGAGCAGGTGGTCTGAAGGGTTTGCAGGGCACCCCGCCGGGCGCGGTGGCCCGAGGGCACCCAGATGAGTCACTCGACCTGACCCTTGTGAACTGGGCGTGCGCCGCCGGCTGCCGGTGATAGCTCCCGGACGTTGACCGGACTCCCCTCCCCGCCGGGGGCCGCACGCTGCCTGTGGTCACTCAAGCCTGAGACGTGAGTGTTTGGGGAGCTTAGCTCGGGTGTACGGAGTCACACGGCTGGCAGTCGGACCCAGGCCGGCGGGTCCGGAGGCTGGACCTGGGATCACCCTGCTTCGTGGGGTGGTCATGGACAGGCCCGGCACGGTGGGTCCGCAGTCCCTGAGGACCCGGGCTCCTCGATCCCCCTGCTCAGTTATCCTCCGCGGTCCAGCATGGCTGCAGGAGCACCAGGCGTCACACTCAAGCACCAAAGCCGCATGCACCTCAGCTGAGGCAGCACTCAGAAAGGCTCTCCCCAGAAGTTCCTCGGCGCACCGCTCCCCACAGCTCCTGGGTGACCTTCCCAGCTGGCGGCGGGGCTGCGCCGAACACAGGCAGCTTTCTGATGTCCCCCCAGAGCACGAGGTTGGCTGCAGGCTGGCCGTCTCTGGTCCTGTCGCATTCAGATCGCTTTCGTTAATGGACAGACCGGAGGCACAGGACAGGGATGAGGGAGCGGATGGGGGCGGAGGAACCCTCCTGTCAGGAGCGGCGGTTTCTTTGGACGTGGCCACGCGGGGGGCTGCCAGGGGCCCGGCTTCCCGGCGGTCCAGCGCCGGGCCCAGGGCAGCTTGGCAGGGGGCAGGAAGCTAGGGAGTGGGGGAGGGTACCTCGGAGCACCCCGAGGTCACTGTGGACTGCTGGCTGTCCCCTCCTCGGTGATAACCCCCATGACGACGTTTCAGTTCAAGGACAGGCACTTCTGGGCCACATCTGTGTGCCACAGTGGGGGAGGTCAAGCCAGAAGACACGTGACTCACACGGGGACAGTGGCACATTGGGGGTGGATGCAGGACATGCTTCCAGCAGGCCACGGTGCCCAGGTGCTGTCGGGGCCCTGGGTTCCCTCCAGGGGTCACCAGCCGGCCCTTGCCGGGCTGCAGGTGCTCAGCTGCCCCCCAGTGGTGCCCACGGCACCTGCGCCCTTCACCAGTCACGGGTGGGTAGGTGACGCTGTTCCCTCCTCTGAGACCAAGGGCAGAGGGACACTGTGTCCCTCCGAGCCTCGGTGTCTCGTCGTCCAGGGCCCGCTCGCTCACCCCGGGGCTGCCGGGGCTCAGCGCTGGGCTGGGGCACTGGGCTGCACCCCTGCACGCCTCCCATGTGAGCCTTCAGCATGCTGATGTCTGTCCTTGGGGGCAACAGCAGAGCCAAGGGGGCTAAGGGTTGGTTTGGGGGACACTGCTGGTCCCCATTGTGAGCTAGCCCTGTCTCCCCCGACCCCAGCCTGCAGCCTGTGTGAGTGGCGGGAGAGTGACTGTGGAGTGGCCGGGGCGGGGCCGCCCCCAGGGGAGTACCTGGTGACGCCAGGCTGGTGGAGCAGCGGGATGGTGTTCCCAGGGGGAAGCTCCCGAAATAGCCGGGCGTCCCCGTGGGCCTGGGGCTGCCTGGCCTGCAGGAAGGCGCCGCCCAGCGTGCAGGCTGAGTTGCAGGCAGCGAACAGACGACGCGCTGTGTGTGACGTGTCCAGTCCCACGCGTGCGGGTCTGGAGTTCCCCGTGTTCTCAGGCTGGAACTCCTGGCTTCCTTCGTCTGGGACCTGTCGGCCACCACGGCCGCCTCACGGGCCTGGGGTGCCTGCCCTTCTTACTTCGTGGGGTCACGGCCCTGAGCTGCTCCTGGCCTCTGGTGGCTGGTTCTGCTCTGCTCTTGCTTGGGCTGCAACCTGGGGGTTGGTAGTGAGCCTGCCAGGGGGACCCAGGCCTGCCAGCCCTCCCCAGCCCGCCCAGCCCTCCGGCCCGTGCACACCTCCGCTGGCACCGTGGAGGTGGCTCCTGCAGGGCCCGTCGGATCCCAGGACCTTTGCACGGGCTTGTCCCCCCTTCACTGCTGAGTGGTCCCCACCCGAGATCTAAACTCAAGCGTCTCCTGCCGGGGGCAACCCCGCCTGGCTCTCACCGTGTGGCCGGGTTCTCCCTCCTTGCGCCGGTCACCAGGGCGGCGCGCCGGGAACTGTGTGGTAACAGTGTCTGCACCCCCGGAGCCTGCGCCCCCCGACTCCTCCCTGCCGTGTCTCCAGGGTGAGGGGTATCATTGGTGCTCGCTAAGCTTCCCAGGAAGGGCCGGGGAACCCAGGGCGGGAGTTCGCAGCTCTGCAAAGGGAGGCCCTGGGTCCGGCCGTGCTCCCGGGGGGACATGTGGAGTCTGGAGGTGGCTCGGGACCAGGGCGCTTCCTGGAGAGCCAGCCCCTCCCTCTCCCCCCTCCCCCCTCTCCCCTCCCTGGTGACGGGGACCTTTCTCCTGGAAGGAGACATTCTGGGGAGGGCAGTGCTGGGCCCTGGGACTGCGGGTCCCCCCTCCTCCAGCCAGCCCTGGGCTCCTGCGCACCCTCTGGGTGCCCGGCAGGTTGGTGGCAGTCCAGCGGGACCCCAGTTGGCTCTGCTCCCCACTGCGAGCAACTGGAGGGCTGTGCCCCGCCAGAGCCCTGCCCCTTTGAGCTCTCAGCCTGAAGGGTGGGACCAGGCCCACCCTCACCCCCCCCCCCCGCGCCCCGCCCACCGCCCACTGCCCACTGCCCACCACCCACCACCGGCTGGCGGAGAGACGGGCGCACTTTCCTCAGACTCGTGAACCGGGTGAGGTGCCTTCCTGGGAGCACGCTCCGCGGCCGGCTGGTGACTTACAGGCTGAGTTTTCTTGAGACATTTATTTTTCTTGTGTCTCTTTAATCCTCACTTGAACATTTTTTTCATTGCTTTGAGAGAGAGAGGAGAGGATGGGGTTAGAGAGACGGAGGGAAATATCGACGTACCAGAAACGTGGGTTGGTTGCGCTCGTAGGCTCCCCAACCGGGCATCGAACCCGCAGCCTGTGGTGTCCTGGGACGACGCTCCGGCCGTGGGCGCCACCTGGCCAGGGCTTCTGGAGGCAGTTCTCACCGAGCCGGTGTGTCACGAGGGGAGTGCAGCGCACACGCCCGTGTGCTCTCCTTCATCTCCGCTTTCGGGGACGAGCCGTCACGCCGCCCCTTCCACAGAAGAGCAGGGACAGGAGTCACAGGGGCACTGCCAGGAGGTCCGGGCACCTCCGAGGTTCGAGGAGGCTCGTGGTCTTCCTCCTCCTGTGTCCCCGCCGGCACCCCTGCTGGCCACCTGGTGGTCAGTGGGTGGCAGGCGGTGTCCTTTACGGGTTCTCTGCAACTGGGTTGAAGTCTCCTCTTCCAGGAAGCCCACCTTGATCAATTCTCCCCCCACCCCGCTGGGAGTCCAGCCCCTGTACAGTCGGGAGACACTGTGGGGGGGGTGACGTGCCCCGGCCGGTGCTCCCTGCCTGGCCGCCCCCCCCGAGTCTCTGCCCCTCCACTCGTCCCTGTCCCCCATTTTATTTCCTCCGTGGCATTGGCCTCCCTCCGGATTGACCTTGTTCATGTGTTGTTTGTCTGTCTGTCTCCCCCCTGACACTGGGGACTCTCTTTCCAAAGGCAGGGTGGGCCTCTCTGCGTCCCCGCTGTGCCCTGGGGTGCGGGACGGCCGACACCGAGCACACTCACAGCCGCGGAGTGACCAGCGAGCGGCATTCAGGGGGCGGGCCGGGCTGAGGGGCCCCCAGCCTGTGAGCCGGCTCTGCGCTCTGGGCTTGGGTCGTCTGGGCGGGGGCTGGCCCCTGGGCTCCGGCCGCCGGCAGTCTGGGGGCAGGCTCACGTCCTCCCAGACATCGCAGCCGCCCACAGAGCCAGGGAACACAGAGATCCCCCCCGGGGACGAGGCAAGCTGTCCCATCTGAGTGCGGAGGGAGGAGCGGCCATGCGGTGGGGACGCCCTGGGCTTCCCGCCGGGACGGGGCTGAGAGGAGCAGACAGGGTTCTGGGGGCAGCACCCCCTGGGGTAGGGCGTCACGCCCCCGGCCCCGGGCGTGCGGCTGCGCGGCCTGTCCTCTCCCTGCGGTGGCGACCAGATCCGGAACTGGGAGGTGTCTGGCCGAGACCCAAGGACACTTTCATTGGAGTTACAGAAACAGTCGGAGCTTGGCGTTAATTTTGGCTAATCATGCCTCCTTCCCCTGACAAGCCTTGTGCTTATTTATGTATTTTTTAAACGCACCCTCCAACACCCCCAGCGAGGAGCCGTTTGAGAGGAAATCATAGTTTGTCTTCCGGGCGCAGGAGCGCGGGGGTCTGGGCGGGGCGCGGGGCGCAGCAGGAGACCCCGGTTGCCGCGGGCGCCCTCCCTGCAGGGCTGGGGGCTCCGGGCGGGAGGCGGGGCGTGCTCAGTCACGCTGGCGCCAGCGGCTGGTTCAGCAGCAGGAGCAGCCAGAGCCACCGGGAGCCTGGCGGGAGTCCCTGCTCCAGGCGCGGTCCGCAGCTCCGGGGGAGAAGCCCGAGCCGGCGCCCCTCCCTTCACCGGGCCGGCAGCCGTTCCCCAGCGGGTCTCCGCGCTGCGCAAACTCGGGCCCCAGACCCTCTGGACCCTCCGGACCGCCAGGCTGGCCGAGGGTCCGGACATGGAGAGCCGCCCGCGGAGAGGGGTTGCCCGCGCCGCCGCCGCCCCCGGAGCCTTGTGACAGCGGGACCTCCCTCCCACAGCGGGGGGTCTGACTCGACCTGCCGGCAGCGAGAGGCGGCCAGCAGAGGTCCCCTTCCTCCTGCAGCTGCTGGGGAGCGATCTTGAGATCTTGAGGGGCGCTCCAGCCCCCTCCGACCCTGCAGACACCAGTGGAATTCGCAGGCGGCCACCATGGTGCAAAATGTAATTCTCGTGTTTTTCCGCAGACGGCTGAGCCAGAGACCGGCCGTGGAGGAGCTGGAGAGGAGAAACATCCTGAAGCGTGAGTAGCTGGCGCCCGCCCCGGCGTCCCCGCACGCACGTGTGCGGGGCTGTGGCCACCAGCTGGCCGCGTGTCCCCGTCCCCAGCGCTGCCCGGCCTGCCCCGCCCCGCCCCGCCCCGCCCCCTCACAGCCCAGCTCTGTCCGCGTCCCCAGGGAGTCCCAGGAGTTGAGCGACTGGGAAAGCAAGCCCCAAAGGAAAGTTGGTGCACCCAGAAACACCCCCTTTTAAAATAGGGGGGGCGCTTCTGGTGACACCATTGACGACGTCCCTGTGGGTGGGTCATCAGTCCACTCTGTACGTCCGCCCACGGGAGCTGCGTCGGCGCCGTCCCCGGGTGCCGGGTTCCAGGCAGGTTCTCCTGGCGGCTGGGGGGGCCAGGAGGGGAGGCTCCGTCCCCAGGACTGCAGAGGGCACAGACTGGGTGTGGTCAGGGTCAGGAGCCCCGCGGGGGTGGACACACCCCTCCCTGGGGACACGCAGATGACAGCTCCGAGGACAGTGAGGCCGGGGATGGGTTGAAGACTCCTCCCGGCCTCACACCCGCCAGCCGAAGTCCGGTTAGGCAGGCGCCTGCCGGCAGCCTCCGCGGCACGGAGCACACCTGTCGCGCACACCCGTCCGGCACGGGCCGGGGCTGTGTGCAGGGGTGAAGCCGGAAGTGTGTCTCGGCTCACTCTCCCCTTCCTGGTCGACAGGCTCTAGTTTTCAAACCGTTTTCTGCAGAAAGTGTCACCCCACAGGCTGGATTCTTAAAGTGTTCTCACTTCTTTCCTCTTCACGTGGTGGGGGCTCTGCAGGCGCCCCCGGGTTCGGTCTTCGCCCGGGCACGGGTTCCCACGGAGCCCGGGCTGCCCGTGGGTCCGAGAGCGGAGGGCAGCGCTGCCCGCCCGGGGCGTGAGCCCCGTCCCCGTCCCCGTCCCCGTCCCCGTCCCCAGCCCGGCTTCTCCCCGTCCGTTCCCTCCGCGGCTCCCTCCGGCGCAGGCCCTCGGAGATGCTCAGCCCGCAGACTGAGAGTCCTCCGTTCCGTCTCTCGGACCGAGAGGGGACGACCCTGCTGTCCGCGGTGTGCCTGGGCCACGTGGGCGGGGGGGGGGAGGAAAGCCTCGCGTAGGCAACGTGCCCGCTGCGTGGGCAGGTGGGGACAAGGCAAGCTACGCTACCAAGTATTTGAGTTTTAAAAAATGGAAGCCGCTCACCTGTGAAGCATGAGTCACAGGTGTCCCAAAGGTCATAGTTCAAGACACGAGTTAAGGACCGGGCTCAGGCAGTTCCCTCCGAGGGGTCTGCTGCCCACAGGCAGCGGAACCCCTGTCCAGGGAGCCGCTCCTCCCGGCCATAGTGGCCCTGGTCCCTGCGGTGGTGGCGGCCGGGGGACCCGCCAGCCATCGCTTCTGCGTGTGCTGGTCTTGGTAATGTCACCGCAGAGCTTCACAGACAGGACAGGGCCTGGGGCCTGGGGATGGCGGGGGACGGACCACGCTGCCCGTCAGCGTGCGGCGGGCACGGAGGGCGAGGGGGCCCTGCCCGTGGCCGCGGCAGGCCCCTCTGCGGACACGCCCCAGCTCTGCGCCCCCCCGCCAGCGCCCCAGGGGGCAGGGCTGGAGCACCCCCCGCGGGTTGGGGTGCGTGTGTGCTGTGCCCCCTGTCCGGCCCGGGGGCCCCACGCAGGCCTCAGACGTGCCTGCTCTGTGGCCCGGCCTGCGCAGCACCCTGCTGAGAGCGGCCCCCGCGGGGTCGCCCGCCTTCGGGTGGGGGCGCGGGGCCCAAGGCAGGCCCCACCGGAGGACCCGTGGGTGCGCGAGCACGCGGCGCCTCGCCCCTCTGCGTGGGACGGTTCTGAACGCTGTGCTTCCGCCCTCGGCCCTCTCTGGACACACCCCGAGCCGGCACGGCTGCGGCCCCTCCCTCGGCTTCACGGCGACGCTGGGACTTCTGCCCTGCTGTGCCCACTTGCCTCAGGAGGCGGCGAGGACGCAGCCGGGGCCGTAGGGCTTTTTACCTTGGCTCCCAGCAAGGGGATGGCGCTCCAGTTCACACCCAGGTCACCCGCTCTGCTGTCCGCGCCCTGGCCGCTGCGCTGCCCGGGAGAACGCGCCCCTGACCGTTGGCAGATGATGTGTGTGTGGGGCTGTCCAGGCCCTGGGCCAAGGTTCCCTGGGCCGGGGATCGGAGACCCACAGACCCATCGCCCCGTGTAGCCTGGGGAGAGAACCCAGGCTCGGGCTCCAGGGAGGGGCGGCTGGGAGTCGGCCCGCAGCACGGCGCCGGGCGCAGAGCAGCTCCGCTCTCCGGAGCACCCGCCGCACTCACCGGCCCTCGTGCCGGGCGCCCGAGGTCGTGGCAGGAGAAGGAAGGCCCGGCTCCGTGTTGGTGCCCCCGCATGCAGGCTGTGGCCGGGAGCCGTCCCTCACGGCAGCCCGGGGCGTCGTCGCGCGTCGTCACGGAGCCCCTGGGGCCGGCCTGTTCGCGGTGACTCCCCGTTTCCGTCCTAATTCCGCCACCAGCTCTCCGGGAAGGGCTTGTTCCCCCCATAAAACAACGTGGGGCGGGCCCTCCTTTCTGAAGGGAGTCACGGACCGCCCGAGGACTGGTGCGTTACACCCCCGGGCCCTTGGTCCCTGGTGCACCCCAGTTCGGAATTATTCACTCACAGACCTTTTAAACTTTTACTTTATTATTTATCATTAGAGCGAGGGGATGCCGGAGCGGGAGAGAGAGAGAGAGACACACACACACACACACACACACACACACACACACGGGGAGAGAAACACCGGCGCGCGCTCCCACTCACCCTGCGTCCCGGGGGGCTGCTCCTCCAACGACCCCGGCCTTGGGGTGTCACGCGGCGCTCCAGCCCCCCCCCCGACCTGCCTGGCGCGGCCCGAGACGTGTCGGAGCGCAGGCGGTGCACCCCAGGCCTGCGGGCGACTCCGGCCCTGCACCTGGTTTCACCCGGTGGCCCACGGAGCGCTCGCTCGACAGCTGCACGTGCACAGCCCTGACGTTCTGTTGGCCCGTGAAGGCCGCCGCGAGGCTGATGGGGGGGGGACCCCCCCCTCACTGGAAATGAGCCTGGGGCCCCCGCTGTGGGTGGAGGCGGACGGTGCCAGACTAGCCGAGTGCGGCAGCAGGGCTTCCCTTCCCGAATCGGGGGCACTGGGGCGTTCCCAGGGGCGCCGCTGCCGACGGGGGAGGGGGGGTCCTCTCCGCGGGAGGAGCTCGCCGCCTGGGTCAGGGAGTCAGGGAGTGCGGCTTTCTTCAGCAGCGCGGCGCCAGAAATAGGGCATCCATCATCCGCGTCCCAGGGCACGGCACACGCTTTCCACCCGTCTCGGCGCTGTGCTCTATTTTTAGCTCCTCCGAGGAGGCGTGGGCGCCGCCTGAATGCTAATCGTCACGGCGCGCACAGGCCCGGCCAGGTCTCTGGCGAGAGACTCGGGCCCCGGGGAAAGGCGTGCCGGGGCGTCGGGCGAGGGCGCTGGCTCCTGCCACGCCGAGCCAGCTGGGTGCACGGGTGTGTGCGCCTGGGAAAGACACCCGAAGGTGGTGCGTTCCCGGCAGGCACGTGCCGCCCACAGTCTAGAGAGGGTGCTCCCCGGCTTACGCCGGTCGGCTGAAAACAGGAGCGCGTCTCCCTCGTGAATGGGGAAGGAGCAGGAGCAGGAGCAGTCACGGCTCTGCCGACACTCACTCGTACACACGTGTGAGTGCGCCGTACACGCAGCCCCCACGACGGCTCCTGTCCGCCGTCTGTGCCCCCCACCCCGCGCACCGACACACACGGATGAGGGGCTCCGTTACAAGGGGCGGCGGGGGGCCGGCCGCACTTCCCTTCTGCAGGGGCTTCTGGGTTCGGGGGGACCGCGTGTCCTGAGCAGGTGCCTGCAAAGTGGGGGAAAGAAACTGGCACGGAAAGGTGTCGTTCCCAAGGTGTCCCCTCGAGTCCCTCCAGCTACCGGAGATTCGGGGGTCCTGGGTGCACGCCCCCCCAGGGAGGATGACCTGCTGACCTGCTCTCCCCCCCTTCCCCCCTCCCGCTCTCTCTCAGAACGGAACGACCAGACGGAGCAGGAGGAGAGGCGGGAGATCAAGCAAAGGCTGACGAGAAAGGTGCGGCCCTGGGGGTTAAGGGACCCGGGGTGGGGGGCGGGTGTGGTGGGGTGCAGGACGTCACTCCGTGCCTCCCCGGGCGTGGCGCCCTCGCTCGCCAGGCCTCCCCCAGCTCTGGACCCGCCTGGTGCGGCGGCAGGGCCCCGGGCGGCCTTGCCCCTTGTCTTAGGAAGCCAGGTGTCGACGGGGCGTTGTCGTTGCGTGTCTCGGGACTTCGCCCACGGCCCACGGACGCACATCCGGTGTCCGAGGCTCCCTGTCGGCCTCTCTGGGAGCCTCGCCTCGTCTGGAGGCCGCTGACGGCGGCAGCTTTTCAGCCCCCGGGGGCGTTGTACCTGCAACTCCGGCCGCTAGCGCACAGCCGTGCAGGCCGCAGGCCGCCGCCTCGGGCCCCCTTGTAGCGCCCGACGGTCTCCGAACGAGGTGTTTCCCTTGCTGGTGCCTCCGCTGGCGTCATCCTCCTCGTCACCATCATCGTCACCACGATAATTAATAAAGTCTTGTCCTGTTCGAGGAGAACCAGTGTCTTTCCTGAGCTGGAGTAGACGTAGGAGCTCACTCGAGTCAGCCTTTCAACGTTGTCACGAACTCTCCTAAAACCCCTGCCTGACAAGAGCTGAAAAGCGGCAGCTTCTGCCCTAAAATCTGTCCCAGTAAATGTGTCATCCTGTCCCTGAGCCTGTGCTCTGTGCACGCGGCCATGTGGCGGCGGGGGGGGGGCAACCCCCATGACGTGTGTGAAGGGGCGAGGCTGGCTTTCAGGTGCGAAACTGCAGCCCTTCCCCGTTGGAGGGGGTTTGCATTAGGATTGTACAGGGTCCGGCCCAAATGGTGCTCCCTGTTTGTCACAGAAGCAGAAGCGTGGACCCCGGTAACCGCACAGTGTCACCCTCAAGCACACCGTGTGACGCTGCAGGTGACACGTCCAGGTTACAACTGCACATCGCCACACCCACACCATCACCCTAGCGACCGCACTCCCGCGGGCACTGCTGCTGCCGGACCCCGTGTTTGCAGGTCCGGGGTTCCCCGCCGCTGCACGGAAAGGCGCCGTGTGTGCCGAAAGCTCTCGGAAAGCCGGTTTGGCACGTGGCGCCTGACTGATGGTGAGGACCCTTTTTTCAGCTCAATCAGAGGCCCACGGTGGACGAGCTCAGAGACAGGAAAATCCTGATACGCTTCAGTGACTACGTGGAGGTGGCGAAAGCCCAGGACTACGACAGGCGGGCGGACAAGCCCTGGACGAGGCTGTCGGCCGCAGACAAGGTACGCGCCCGCCTCGGCCCCGGGGAGCGCGCCCCCAGACGGCGGCGCCGCCCACCGTGAGGCGAAGGCCCCGCCGGACCAGGTGCCGGTCTCCCAGGACACTCCGGTCAGGGTCGTGTTTTCAGCTGGGGACAGTTCGGCCCCAGGGACGCGTGGCCGTGCCCGGAGACCAGAGGCGTTGTCGGTGTCACTCGTGGGGAGCTGCCACTGCTCTCCAGTGGGTGGGGCCCGGGGGTGCCACTCAGCGCCGCGCCTCACAGTGCGCGAGACGTCCCGCCAGCCACAGGGAATCCTCCGGTCCGAGGGGCTGGGGACGCTGGCGACGCCGGTCTCGGGGCGAGTGCCAGCTGGGCCGGGCCGCCGGAAAGCAGGGGCCAGACCACACGGGCTTACAGGAAGGGGGGGCTTCGGTGGGGGCGGGGCGGGAAGTCGGCGAGCGTCCGGGGCGGTGGTCCACCCACGGCCGGCCGTGAGGCTGACTGCCCGCGCCCACCGTTCCCTGCCCCGTAACCGGTGCGCCGCTCCCGTTGCAGGCGGCGATTCGGAAGGAGCTCAACGAGTACAAGAGCAACGAGATGGAGGTGCACGCGTCCAGCAAGCACTTGACCAGGTCAGGTTCCGTCCGTCCGTGTGGCTCGCGGGGCACTCGGCGGTGGTGTTTGCTCAGGGAGGGGGAGGGCCGCAGAGAGCGGCGGGTGCGTTCCGGGAACAGATCCCGCGTTTCTGCAGAGAGCCGGTCCAGCAGTCGGTGTGTGCCCCCCCTAAACGCGGGGCCCGCCCCCAGCTCTCCCCGCCCGGCGAAGGGTGGTTGGGTAGGGCGGTCTTGTGGGAGTCGTTGGTTCAGCCACGTGGTGCGTGTGTGTTTGAGAAAACCAGTCCCAAGGCGGTGAAAGTCGTTGGCTTCTCTAGGCGGTCCCCCACCCCCGTACTCACCCACACCCTGTTTACAGAGCCCCGTTCACACTCGCTCCCCCCCCCCCCGCTTTGCCTTTCTCCACCCTGTGTGAACTTCTGTTCACGCCTCCACCCCGGGCCCCCGCGGCCCCGGGGCCCGAGGGGCGCTTGTCTGCTCTGCAGACACCCGAGGAGCACCCAGTCCCTGCCCGCTCGCTCTAGGGCTCAGGCAGAGGCGGCTCCCAGCTCTCTGGAGCTCGTGCCGAGGGGGGGGGGGCTCAGCCTCCCCTGGGGCAGCGATGCTTCCCTGCCCGCAGGCGCTCTCGCTGGTGGAGCGTGGAGGCCGCCTCCCTCCACTCTCGGGGCGCCCGCCTTCAGCACCCGCTGCGCCCCAACCCTGCCCCCCATGTGGCTGCGCCAAGTAGTCGTCCCCTGAAGTGCCCGTGTGCCTCCCACCCCCCACCGGAGGGGGCCGGGGTGCAGCCGCTTGGTCCTTCCCCCCTGGGTCTCAAGGTGCTCGGCCGGCTGCACACAGGAAGGAGACCCGCCCCAACCCTGCACGGTGGGCGCCTTTCCTTCCCGCCGGTCCCCGAGTGGCCGCGGACGCGGTCCTTCAGGGATCGGCTCCGTACGGTCGGCGTGCTGTGGGACCAGACCGGGTGCCTCGGAGTCGCACCCTGCGGGGCCGTTTGGCGGAGGAGAGGTCCAGGGAGGAAGAGGAGGCTGCAGGGGCGGGAGGGAAGGACGCCAGCCAGCAGGTCACCAGGCGGTTTGAAGTCTGCTCGTGGCGGCCGTCCGGCAGGGAGGGGCAGCCAGCGTGTGTTCGGCCGTTCAGAACGCCCGGAGCTTTAGCAGGTGAACACTCGCCAGTGAGACGTTCAAGTTACTTTCAGCGTCCACTGGGTGTTAGAGAAACCGGGTACGGTGTGTGCGTGCTCCGTGTACGGACAAAACACCCGTGCGTTTCCCCGGCGCACACCGTTACAAGAGGTGTTCCCAGCGCACGTGCATCCTGCTCTCCTGAGCCCCGGGCGCCGGCTGTCTCGGGGGGCGGGCTTGGGGAGCCAGCCCACCCTTGGCCATTAGGAAATGACGATAAGGTTTTTATACTGCCACATTTTAGGCTTCACTGTCAGTTTTTAAAAGTGGAAACTATTTTTAGTCGTAGGAGATTTTCTCACGTGTGTGAAACACTGCCACAAACGCGGCCCTGTGACGGCTGCACACCGTGACGCGGCGTGATCCCCGTGGCTGGTCTCGGGCCGCCGCCCCGGGTCCCGCAGGGCCGGGCGCTCTGTGCGCTGCACACTCGGGCGCCCGCCCTGCGCTGTCGAGGCAGCCGCGGGGCCCGGGGAAAGGAGGAGGGTCGTCCCTCCCCGGGCCCCGGGGGCTGGGAGCTGGGGGCCCTGCGCTGAGGCGCCCGCCGCGCACGCTGTCCCCGGAGCAGCAAGTCCCGCTGGGACCGCCGAGCAGCTTGGCGACGGGTGTCTTTGGTGAAAGGTCTTGGCGACTTAGATATTTACACTTCATGTTCCTTTTTTTCCCCAAACAATTTGTAGATTCCACAGGCCATAGAGATTTTCTTCTGAGAAGAATTTGTGTTTAATTTTTGATACCAACACTGAACACTCATCAGGGAACTTTCCTGAAGCTCTGCCCGACTCCCCGCCGCGCGTGAGGGGCGCGGACACGCGTGGGCGACGCTGGGACACACGCCCCTCTACGGTGTCTGAGGGGCGGGCCGCCCGGTCGGCGGAGACCCGAGGAACTGCGGGGCGGAAACCGCTTGCCTCTGAGCCCCGTTTTCCGTTCTGCGGGGCGACAGCAGGCGGGCGCCGTGCACCCGCCGGCTCCGCGCGCCCTGGCCTCCGCCGCGAGGGACGAGTCACGTGGCGTCATGCAGTATTGCGTTGAAAAGACGTTTCTTCTGATCGTGATTGAGTTGAGAACTCTCTAAGTTGGTGTTACACAAAATGATTCACTGTATGATACTTTTCGTTTTTTATATAATGTCTAACAAAAATACAGCTGCGACATTTTGATTCCTGTTAATTTTGTTCTTTAATTAAATGACTACTTATTGCAGGAAATTAACCTGGACTTTATATTTTCTTGGGGTTGGGATTAGAGTTTTGTTTGAACAGTATTCTGTGAAACCAGCCAAATTTTATTATTTTTGAGCAATCAGAATCCAAATACATCAAAGAAAATTCCAACTCTTTGTGGGTTTTTTTGTTGACTGATTTTTGGAGGGAGGGAGAGAAAGAAAAAAGAGACATCAATTTTTGTTGCATTTATTTATGCATTTGTTGGTTTATTTTTGCATGTGCCCGACTGGGGATTGAACCCACAACCTCGGCATGTGGGGACAATGCTCTCACCACCTAGCTACCTAGCCAGGGCCTATGTCTTTTGTTTTATAAATTGTTAATGTGCATGGTTCTGTCTTGGAAAACCAAACGATCTCTTTCAAGTTAATTTAAATGTATGTGTCGAGTGACAAACCTAGAAACAGGCGCTAACGTGCTGAAAAACTCCCCCAGATGAAAATGCCTCCCTCTTGCGGGCTGTTTCTGAGCTCGCACCTACCGGCATCAAAAAGCGTTCCGAGAGAAAACAGGTTAGGGAGTCTCTGGAGGTCACAGGGAGGAAGTTTATGCAGCTTGACAAAGGTCAGAAGTGACCTTGGCACAAAGGGGGACACACGTCGAAACCTGTGACCCCTGGAGGAGACTTCCAGGTAGGTTCTGACTGTGCCCCGCAGAACGGCCCCCCCAGGCCGGCGGGAGTGCCGGGCTCACCCCCGTCTGCCCCTCCGGCCGGGTGGTCCTTGGCTCTGCGGGAGCACTCCCGTCTGCCCGACGGCACGGCCCCGGTGGTGCTCTTTCTCGACCACGGCGCGTCTGCAGTGTCGTGCCGCACCAGGCTCGGCTGCACAGCAGAGCGGCCGGAAACCACACTCCACAGAGGGGCCCTCACCCCCGCCCCAAGCACCCGCCGGGCCCCACAGCCCGCTGCTGCCCGACGTTGCTGACCATTCCCCGCGCCGCGAACCGCCCCCCCTGAGGCCGCCCGGCCCTGCACATGTCCACCCCGGACGGCCGTCGGGCTGCTCCCCGCGCCCCTGCCTCTCTCTGTTTAGCTTATTTGTTCGCCAGAGCCCACACAGAAATGAGATCAGGTGGCACTTGTCTTCCTCTGACTGGCTGGTTTCGCTTGTGTGATACTTACTCTCCAGGTCTGTCCCCGCCGTCACAACAGGTAGGATTCGCCCTCCTCCACGGCCGAGCAGTGGTCCCCTGTGCACACAGGCCGCGGCTGTTTTAGCGCCTGTTTGCCGGTGGGCACTCGGGCTGTGTCCAGATCCCGGCGGTTGTACATGACCGTGCAGTGGACGCTGGGCTTACGTTCCTCCCAGCCCGTGTTTCGGGCTCCTTCAGATACGTCCCCGGCGCTGGAACCGCTGGGTCATGGGGCGGTTCCGTCCGTTTTTAACTCTGTGAGGACCCTCCGCACGGCCTTGCACCGCGGCTGCCCCGTCTGCCGCATCCCCGCCCGCCGTGCACGAGGTCCCCTGTCCTCCGCACCCTCGCCGGCACGGGCGGCTTACTGGCCATGGCCGTCCCGGCGGGTGCGAGGTGGTGGCTCGCCGTGGGTTCGACCTGCATCTCTCTGGTGGCCAGTGGCGCGGAGCGACTTCCCCGAAGGCGACGAGGGAGGCGCAGTGCTGGTCGCCGGGCACCCAGCACTCCCCACGGATCTGACAGACGGGATCTGAGGAACGGGAGCCCGCGGGTGCGGGTGGCCGCACAGCCTGGCATCCCTGAGCGGTGTCCTCAGCTTCTTCCGAGACCTGCCCGGCTCTGCTGCTTTAAGCAGGGGCAGGCGCCCGTGGACGCGGCCTGAGCCCTGTGCCGGCCCTCTCGGTCAGGGGGACCTGGGGTCACCCCGGGGTGCCGGCAAGCACACCGCTCGTGGAGTCAGTCCCGTGCTGAGCACCACTGTCCGGGTAGGAAGCCTCCGGCGCTCTCTGTGTGAGCTTCCGTGGGCGGCTCGTCTTCACTGAGTCTGTTTTTCGTCGTGAGATGAGACGCTCAGCCCTTTCTAACCGGACAGCGGGTCCTTAACTTCCTGAGCATCTGTGCGCTCACACTGTACATTTAACGTGTATCCGTGTACGTGCTCTCTCTCGTTCATAGCCAGTTGCGGCCAGCCGACCTCCAAGACACGTAAGTTTTTCTTCTATTTTAAGCTACGTTGCAGCAGCTCTCTACTTTATATCTTATTCGATTTAACATCTTAATTAGAGCCCGAATGAGGTAGAAGACGCCGCCGCCGACCCCCCTCGCACGGAGCTGCCCGCACGCTGGCCGCAGAATGAAGAGAGTGGGCAGGAGGGACACGTCCAGGCTTCCCGCCCAGGTCCGGTCCCACAGCTACCAGGCGAGTAAAATAAAGCGCAGATGCGGCACAGGCTGCCCGAAGGAGGGGTTTGGTTTGGTCCAGACTCCAGGGTTCTAAGACACCACAGAACCACTCCAGTGAAAGATCTTAGCAACAGCGGGTAGCTTCTACCATTGCGTTTTTATTCATAAGTGAGCACTGTAAGTTGTATTTGCATGCTCCACGTTCTCCCCGGCTGTTGTGGAGGCCGAGAGACAAACTCACACTCGTGCCCCGGGCACGTCTCCTGCGCCCCGGCGGTCGGCCTGGCCCTGAGCTCAGTGGGTCTTCGGCGCGGCGTCGCGAAAACCCCTCGCCCTCATCCGTGGGGGGAACCCGGTTAAGAAGCGGTTCCTAAATCCCACCGCCGTGCGGGCAGGTGCGTGCCCATTATGTAAGTGTACCTGTGTTGCACTCATTTGAAGAGGAAGTTTTTCTACTGAACACGTGGGAAGACTGTGAAGAAACAGTGTCTGCTTTCCTCCTCAGGACGCACGCGGCGTCTGCCTGAGGGCCCTCCGCTGCGACTAGGGGTCCTGACAGCTTTCAGGCACCGACTTCGCAGCTCGTTCGCTCGTTTTCACAGAGCAAAACACGAACTGTTCATGTAACGACATCCAGTCATCAAAGAAACTCTGTCTTTAAGCATTTTTAAAAGTTTAAGAAAATACGGGCAATTTTGTGAAAGACAGAGGACTTTTAGCAGCATCCGTTAAGCTTAAGCCAATGGGGGTGGGGACAAGAGATCATGACTTTTTATAAAGTGCATTAAAAAAATTTAGAGACACGTTGAAATTATGTGATTTTTGGACACGTGAAATGGATAAGGAGAAGCGTCTAACAGCAAGAGGTCCACCTTGTGGACATGTGGGGTAACTACAGGTGTAAGTTTATTCTGGTGCACATGGGAGGGGAGTTCCTAGCTACACACCCAGCTCTTCAACAAAGTCAAGTCCAGAAACGTGGGATCTAATTGTAGTGTTAAAACGACCAGTCCTGTATGTTCCCAATGTCCATTTACCCCGTTTTGGGGTTTTCTCACGAGAAAGAGGCATGTCAGAAGGTGCTCCTAAGCAACCGAACGTATCTGAAGTCACACTAAACAGGGGAAACTGTTTTAGAGGGCAGACTGACCTCAACCGCGTGCTTCCTGTGAGCGTGGCGGTGATGGCAGGAGCCAGTCACTGCTGCACAGTTAGACGGTGTTTTCCTGGGGTGAGCGGTGGAAAGGCTGCCGCTTGCCTGTCCCATAGTGCTGTAAAAGCAGCGGTATTTTGCGTTTAGAGTAATAAACAGTCATTTTTTATTTTTTATCCTCACCGGAGGACATTCTTGATAGCTTTCAGAGAAAGGGGAGGGAGAGAAAGAAACGTCGGTGCGAGAGAGACACTGACTAGGGGTCCGACCCGCACCCTTGCAGTCCAGGGGGATGAGCCGCCCGGCCAGGGCAGGAAGTCGTCTTTAAGGGCAACCACGCATCTCCTGAATGTGGACGGAGGGTTCTGAAGAACCCCAATTTCCTGACGGTAAGCAACAGTAGAGAATTCCGGGTATGACATCCGTGCTAATAATCCTTCAAGTCAAAACCACTTATAATGTACACATCATTATTTTCTAAATGCAGTTTATTCTGCCTTTTCGAAGATTCGTCTCCTAAATGCTCCTGCACTCCAGGTGTGCGCCCTAAATGACGGGTCCACACCCCGCCCCCAGGGAACTTCGTGGCTGCGGCGGTGGTGGTGGTGGCGACGACTCCTGTCGCACGAGGCCCAGTCTCAGGAACCCCATAACATTTTGCCCCATTTTTCACATTCCTAGGTACATTGGTTTATTGCTGTTATTTCCTGTATGTTGTTTTGCTCAAAATTCTACTTCAGTTGCTTATTCGTAGCATGTATGATTCCTTCGGTAGGTTGAGGAACTTAGAAGTGAGCGTGAATTCGTGAACAGTGACCGTGGCTGGGTCACCCATCAGAGGCCGTGGTGACAGAATGGCTGAAGAGCGACCTCCCACCGCCGGGGAGCTTTGCTCTGGGCCCTGAGCTGAGACTTGGCAGGACTCGCCGGTGTGGACTGCCGGCCTCACCCGGGGCTAAGAGTGAGGCGGAGGCCGGACTCTTGGCCCGACTGGGGCGCTCTCTGCTGGGCACCCGCGGGGTCAGGGTCGGCGGCACTGGGTCTCTGCAGAGTCGGCCCGAGCGTCCGGCCTGGCCACACTGACGCTGCACGGTTTTCCCTCCTCCAGGTCCGTCTGCACGTGTCCGTCGGACGTGGCGCAGCCGACGGAGCTCGGGAAACCGCCCCGGCCTCGTGGGGAGCCGTGATCCGGGTAAGAGGAGGGGTCGGTAGCTGCGGTGATCGCTTGGTTTTACATGTTTGAAAAGGGAAGATCGAGGAGGTTCATTCATTAACAGTCGTTTAGCCTCTGCTAATGCAAAGCTGATTCAAATCACTATTTCTGTTAAATAGTAAGTTAAATTGAGGAACAAATTTTATAATAAAGACCAGAGATCTGATCTTTAAAATTTTTTCTTCTAAACTCAGGGTGTTGCAAACGGTAGCTCACAAACCAAATCTGCTCCACCTTTTTTTTTTTTAAATTTTGTTTTGTTTTTGAGGGATTGCAAGGTAAAAATGGTTCTTACGTTTTTAAACGGTTACATGTGCCGTGTTTATACACATAACTTCACAACAGCCTCAAATTTACCTTTTGGCCCAAAAGATTTAAGCATTTAGTGTATGGCCCTTAAGACAGTTTGCCAACTCCTCTAAAATGTTTTCAAAAACGTTTAAAGAACAGAAAATGTTAAAAACGAATTATGGAGAACTAAAACAACTACACTTTGTGTATAAATAAGCTTAAAAACTTTAACATCAGAATCTATTCCAAATTTCACCACTTGTGATGCGCTTTGCTGAGTCCCTCGGCGATTCTGTGTTAGTTTCCAGGACGCAGCGGTTTTCCGCAGCCGCCGCGCGGCGTGCATCCCTCCCCCCACGTGCACAAGGGCCTCTGTTCCCGGACGTCCTGCCGAAACTCGGCTTCTCCTTTCTGGGTTGGCCGCCCCGGCGGGTGCAGAGGGGCAGCTCCTGGTGGCATCGGTTTGCGTTTTGCCGGTGACGGACGCCGTCCAGCACGCTGTGCGCTCGCTGCCCGCTCGTGTGTCTTTGATGCCCGAGCCCTCTGCCCATTGTTACATTGGATTGTCTGTCATTTTGTTGTTTGAGTTGTAGGAACTCTTTATGTATTTTGGACGCTAGACTCTAATCAGATGCATGATCTGCAATCATTTTCTCACATTCTTGTTTTTTCACTGTTATGAATTTGTTTTTTGATCTACGGGTTTTTAAAATTTTTGATTCAGTCTGATTCCCCTATTTCCCCCGGTTGCTGGCAGTTTTGGTGTTACATCTACGGCTCCATAGCCAAGTCCAAGGTCATAAAGGTTTACTTCTGTGTTTTTCTCCTAAGAGTTTTGTAATTTAGCTCTTATTTCTAAGTTCCGATCCCTTAGGAGTTAATTTTCACACACGGTGTGAGGTCAGGGTGCAAACCTACTGTTTTGCCTGGGGCTCGCCAGCTGTCTGCAAACCGTCTGTTGAAGGAACTACTGGTTGGCTCCCCACCCAGTGGCCTTGGCCCCTCTGACGGGACTCAGTGGCCGAAGGTGAGTCGACTCTTCGGGACTCGCAGTTCTGCCCAGCCGGCCGGTGTCTGCCCTGCAGAAACCACACTGTTCTCATTTAGCTTTGCAGTATTAAAGTGGAAAGTACAAATCCTCCAACTTTATTGTTCTTCTTTCAAGATTGTTTTGTTATGAAGGGTCCCTTCCACTTCCATGAGACTTTTAGGAATGGCTTTTTCATTTTGCAAAAAGGCCAGTGAGGGCTTTGATCGGGATTGTGTTAAGCCTGTGGCTGGCTTCATGGAATGCTGCTGCTGTAACCATCGTAAGTCTTGTAATTATGAGCGTGGCATTTCTTTCCACTTACTTAGGTTTTCCTTCATTTCTCCCCATCATGTTTTATTGTGTTGCGTGTATGGTAAACCCCCGATGTCATTGGTAAGGTTCTGTGACTGCCAGTGAGATGACGTGCAGCAATAAAACCAGTTTTGCCAGAGGTTAATGGATACAACCAGAGCGGAGTTCCGAAGGCATCTCGTCAGTGAAATGAACCGTTTCACAAAATGCTACTCCAGGTCCTGCCGTACAAATCTTGTACCTCCTTCGTTAAATGTCTTTTACTAATACTATGCTGCTGAATCCAGTGTGTTGGTATTTTTTGAGGATTTTCATATGTATAGTCATAAGGGATACTGGTCTATTATTTTCTTTTCTGTGATGCTTTATCTGGCTTTGGGACCAAGTGAGACCAAGGTAATTCTGGCTTCATAAAATCAATTAAAAGTGTTTCTTCCTCTATTCATCTGGAAGCATTTCTTGGTTGGGTAGTCTAACAGTTTATCAATTTTCTTGATCTTCTTTAAGAATCACCTTTTGGTTTTATTGATTTAATCAACAGCCTAATATTTATTATTTCCTTCTCCCTGACATCCTAGTTGCAGCTCATGAGTAGTGTCTAATACTATAGTTTCATCTTTTCCTAGTTAAAGTATAAAGTTAGGTTACTGATTGGAGAGTGCTTTCTTCACTTCGAGTGCCCTGTAAATGTCCCCGTGAACAGTGCTTTGCCTGCGTCACGGAGGTTTCAGCACGTTGTGTTTCCGTCTGTTCCGCAGCACTTTCTCATCTCCCCTGTGGCTGCTCCTCTGCCCCTGGGTCACCAGAGCGCCGTCCCGGGGCGGGAGGAGCGGGGCGGCTGGCCTGCGAGCTCGCGAGCGCGGGTCGGGCGGGCTGCCAGCGGGTGAGGGCTCCGGAGAGGGGGCGGCGACGGCTGGGCCCGCTGCGGCTGTGTGTGTGGGGACGGCGTTGGCGCTGTCAAAGGCAGTGGCAGTGGCAGTGGCAGGAAGAATGCGTGGGGGCGTATTTTGGTGGTAACGTCTGTAGGACTTGTTGATCAACCCTGACTGGCCAGAGGAAGAAGAGAAATCGGGAACGAATTCTCGGTTTTCGCCATGAGTCACTGGGTGAATAAAGGTGACGTGTACTGGGATGGAAGAACAAGGTTTGTTTTCCTTGGTGATGGGAAGGGACCGGAGGCAGAGAAGTCTGAGTTGTCCTGAGAACTGACGTGCCTGTCAGCACCGTCAGGAAGCCCAGAGAGCAGTGTGTTGGACGTGGCGATGCCCAAAGTAAAGGTCAGAACTTCGCACGTCCGAACATCATCAGTACGCAAAAATGACTTTCGGACGGGACCCGATGAAACTACGAGGAGAAAGTGGGGGACTGGGAGGGAGCCCCAGATTAAGAGGTGAAACGGCAGTAGGAAACAGACGGGGAGGGGGGGAGTTCACACCAGCCCAGGGGGCGTGGCACCGAGAAGCTGCGTAAAAGGAAGGCGACTTAGTAAGATCACTGCCTGGTGGGAAGGCCAGGCGGGGAGGCGTGGGGGGGACATGGGACGCTGAGACTCCGCTGAGACTCTGAGCGCAGCGCAGGGCCGGGACTGGGCTGGGCCACACGGATGGCCCCGGCAGGGGGAGGTGTGACGTGCGAGTCAGGGGCCGAGCAGGTGTGGCCAGGGACGAGGTAAAGGTGCCTGGGTAGGGCTCTGAAGGAGTCCCCGAGAAACACGGAGGCCTGAGTAGCGTCGAATGCTGCAGCAGCGAGTGGCCGGTCCCCTGAAGCAGGCCCTGCTACCCGCCGGTCAGCCCCAGCGGGCGGCAACGACTCGGGGAAGCGACTGAGAAGCGGGCGCTCTGGCACTGGGTTCGAGTTCCGGTGGCGTTGGAACGCTCTGCTTACCCAAGCAGGGTCAAGGCCGCTTGCTGCTGTACTGTGGGTATCTGATTGGGGAGGATGTTTTGTTTGACCCAATGTTCATAAAATAGGAAAACAGCAATTTAGGAAATAATATAATTGTCCAAATGATAGAGCATTTATTTCAACTTTTTTATGCAATTAAAGCAAACGGTGTATTCATTTTTATAAAGTAATCTTCTGGTTACTACAGTGAATAGAAGCTTAGTAAGGACTCGTCAGAACAGCCTGCTCTGGGGTCAGGTGCCCACTCAGGACTGAAACGCAGACGGGACAGGAGCCGTCTCGGGCTCCTTGGTCCCCAGAGGCCGGAACCACATGGACAGACTCCCCCGCAGTGCGCCGGAAGGCCCCGTTTGCACTTACGTGTTTTAAATCAAAGACTTCCAAGTGCGGCTTAATTTTTTATTATAGATATTCTGAAGTACTAAGCAAGTTTTAATAATACTTCATAATTCAGTCCAAACTGTACTCATTTAAAACACTTTTTATATGATAAGTTTTGGTTTATTAAACTAGTTTTATAAATATAATTAAATATAGTTAACTCGGTAACAACTGTCTACTTCAAACACTACTACAAAAAACAAGGCAATTCCTTTTCTGTGGTTTGCACGGGCGAGTTTCGGGGGCTGGGAGCCAATGCTTCTTCTCGCCCATGAGACACGTCCTTGAACCCAGAGGTCAAAGGCACTCGTGCCTGAGTGACAGGCACTTTCTCTCTGCAGGGCTGTCCTGGTGGTTCCCCAGCTTCGGACGAAAAGGAACCGGGAGGAACCGGGTGGCCGCTAGATGTCCACGTCCACGTCCGCGTCCGCCTCACGAGCCATGAACAGGGACAGCAGGCCTCTGCGCACGTTGAGCAGCTCCTCTTCTTGCTGTGGCCGAGAAAAGGGAGGGGACCCTTCCATTTTAAAGGGTCACTGTCAGACCAAGTAAACCGGGGGAAAATCAGGCTATCGCCAGGGATTGGCTCGAAAGCGCCCCTTCCGTAAAGCTGTTGTGGAGCAGGGTCCCGTCTGTCTGACCCCTAGGGTCGGGCCTGGGCATGGACCGGGCTCTGGCCCTCGCTGACCTTCCGGATGACCGGCCGAGAGGAGACCTTTAATCCTCTCAACCTCAAGTCCGTGACAGTTGGACTTAATATGCAAAGGAAAATACTAAACTAAGTGTCGTCTAGGAAACAGTTTCAACAGGGATCAATCTAGTTAGTCTGCTTCAAGCTAAACATCCTGATCTCCAACTACATCAGCACGGTGAGCTTCATTTAAATTGATTAAGTGCATCAGTATATCCCGTGTACAAAGGTCAGTGCCCACGCACACATGGAAACGCCCGCCCCTCCGGGAAACCACCGAGGACACGCTCCCTCGGGCGGAGCCTCAGACCCACCCAGCTGTACTGCTCCTCCCAGAACTGACCGCTGGTCTGCTCGACCTTCAGAAAATCGAGTGATTTATCCCCAAATCTACGTAAACGAAGTCTTGTTGTCTGAGTGTACGATAATTCTCTTCGGGCGTCCTGACACCCCTTCTCCTTGAGAAGTGCTTAGCCATGGTGCAAAGAAATCATTCTTCTAGAGAATTGTTCAATTGGCAAATTGATAGTTTTTTACTTCTGTAGGAAGGACTCGTTAAGTCACCCCTATTATTTTACCATAAACATGATCCATTAGTCTAATTTAAATAACAAATCACTGAGCTAAAACTGCCTCCCCTCAATCCAGAAAGAAAGAAAACCTGTGAAAGAATTTCCCACTGAAAGCAAGCATGACCGATGATTCCATTTGAAAAACCCCAACTGGACAGTTGGTTTACCATTTCCTTAAGAAGCCTGTCTTGGAGAATTTTCATGTTTTCTTTCATGAAACACATCTGTAAAATAAAGACATATGTTGCCCCGTGAGATTTAGTATAAAATGTTCACGGTGAAACACAGACGCACGGACGCGGAGAGGAGGGACGCGACGGCAGGGGCGCACCTCGGACGCGCGCACGGCCTCCTCCCGGTCGGTGCTGTAGAAGACGTTGGCATCCAGGGAGGCCTTCAGAAGGTGGAGCCTGCGGGTGAGGCAGGGAGGCGTTGTGTCCGTATTTACTGGCATTCTAATTACATCGCTCTAGTTCATGCAATTTAAAAATCCCAATATAAAGTTGTTAACTTGAAACCTTTAGGTTCCGGTCCTGAGAGACATCGTACTAACCTCTCCTGTTCATTCTGTTGATAGGCAATGAGCTTCTGAACCGTCTTTTCCCAAAAGTCCTAAGTTTTAATGCAAAACTAGTTATACTTGGGCATGATTAAAAATGCAAACAGTGTAATTCACTATATTCCTCTTATTTCTAATTTAAATAAACAAGTTGGCTACATGCTAAGAATATTCCAGATGTCATACACTCGTTCAGATGAAAACACTGGAAGTAACACCCCTCACAGTGCCCCTGTGCTGCCACAGGCACCCGCGCCGCACCGGAGCCTGTGCCTGAAGTGTTTATGGGACACTGTCTGACATCCTTATGGAGGCTCTAAAAGCAGGAGTTCTGTAGAGGCTTTCCTGTGTGTGGCTGTTTAAAAATGAGGTTTTAAAATTGTTTTTAAATTCTCAAAAGCACAAACCGCAAATTCCTTCTCCAAATCTTTTAAAGTCTGTGAATCTTTTTCAAAGTTCTTCAACTCTTCTATGATGTTGAGCTGGAATTTATCAAGTTTTTGGATCCTATGAAACAAAATGAGTTTATCTGTAAAACCCAGCACTCGGCAAATACAGCATTCAGAAAAGATCTGACCACAGACCTGTACTCCTGAATGTGGTGGTTCATGGTTTTCAGATGCTGCTGAGCTGTTTTCCAAGACTGCTTGGTGAAATAATCCATCAGTTTTTGGTGGATCTGAAAAAGACTCATTTTTACAAAGTGATAATCTAAACAAGACTATCTTAAGGGCAAAGGCTTTCCTGTGGAATGGAAAGGACCACGGACTTAGAACAGCGGAGAACGAAGGACCCGGTGATGGAGACCGAGGCGGCAGCGAGCAGGCTCAGAGCGGCGGTGTTCCGCCGCAAGGGCTTTGCCTGAGGGCGGAGTTGGGAACTGTTTGGTCAGGACACCACACTCGCCAGTACTTTTTAAAGGCGCTAGTGATTACAGTCCCCTTCAGGACCAAACCTCAAGGTCAAGTGAGAATGATTTACTATCGGTTTTCACAGAAACACGAGTCGTTCACCTCTAGCAGATGCGTAACAGTACGGGATGCGGCAGCAGTAGGTTCACCGGTGTTCACGGGGAAACAACACCAGGACGAACTGATTCTCTCGCGCGCGACTCGAACCCTACTTTGGCCCGCCCTCTCTAGGAGTCCGGGCTTCTCTGCTCAGACGAGGCCAACCGTGGCCGAACCTGACGAGACCACCCCGGGGCCTCAGGCACGAAGGACGCCTGAGTGCGGGGCTGGTCAGACCCGGGCAGACGGGCTTCTCTGGCTCGGGCCACCTGCCTCCCAGTCCCCTCACTAGCGGTATCTTTCCTCCGTGAGATCGAAAAGAAAAGAACCACAGAAGAGTCAAAATATGAAATGAATTAAACAGGGAGGTAGGACAACGAGAAAGAACCTGCAGAAAGGAGGGGACGGTAATGCACAGACTGCGGAAGAGAAACTCACTCGTGAAAGGAAAGGTTTTCACCAGTACGCGAGGAGAGCTGAATTCATGAATAGGTGTTTTGTTGCAAAAAGATCAAACAAGTGGATATTCTAGTAGAAAGCATGGTATATTATCACATTATTTATTATAACTTAAACAACTCACATTGAATTTCTTCTTGAATTCGGTATTAAACTGCTCACACATCACACCGACAGCCGAAGTCTCCGTTCCCCAGTTTTTCCCAGAAAAGGAGGAGTCGTTTGTTGATACTGAAGATGCACTTTTAGACACTAAAAAATGAAGATAATCATCCAAAATTAAAATACTCATGTTATGAACTTATCCTTATTTGTCATGAGGCTGAGAACAAAATCTTATTTTCCTGTTCTATGTGTAATCTTAAGGGTTATGAAATCAAAGGCACAGACATAATTTTTTAATTTAAAAAGTTGATGTATAAAAAAACCTTTTGGGTATTAAAGAAGTAATGGTAACATTAAAATGGAACATTTTCAGATTATTTTAGCTGGTTTTAGCTACTTTCATGAATTAACTCAAGTATTTAGTACCACGAATTTCTGAGTAAGGTCCTAATCCAGTACCGCCACCTGCACGAGGGGACCGGTGGTAGGAAGACGAGGGTGTCCATGAGTGGAGAAGAGCCCCACTGCACCCTTCACACCAAATCAACTTTGTGACGAAGCATCGTCGTCCTTGGGTCCAACCCAAGTGTCTTCACGAAGGGATCTGTTTAGTGGATGGGGCCATTCGAGATCTAAGAAACTGCCTTCCCAAATAATTGCATTTTGACACATGCCTTTGTTGTACCTACCTTTGTGGTCTGAATCTTCAGTTTTAGTCAGTTTGGGGGGAAGCAAGTCTGCTGCCCCTCCCTGGTCCTCCTCAAATCTTACTCCGGGGTTGCTGAGGTTGTCGTCTATGTGCATTCGTTTGCGACAGAGGTGATGTGTCGGGCCTTAGGAGCAGTTAAATAATAATGCTGTAGTCTTGATTAAAGTACCTAATATGTTCTTCTATTAAAAAGCATTTATTTCAGTTCATTATTTCTATCATTTTAGGCAACTGCATTAAATTCTGTCTAGTTCCTCATTTTCATTCTGACATGAGCTAACTTGAACAAGTCAGTGTGCCTAAGACACACGACTCCTTCAGACGAAGGGCCAGCGCATCCCCGTGAGGGACCGAAAAGCAAAGCTGAGAGCACGAACCCGATCCGTGAGCAGAGCCGCCGGGCAGGCCGCTCCCTGGCTTGTCTCCTCCTTCACTGGACGTGGATGCTGGAGATGCTGAGCGCGTTCCCTAAAACACACACCAAGGATGGAAAACAGCACCCTCAGGACTCTGGGACTCACCCTTGCCCGTGATTCTCAAGCCCTGAAGTCAGTGTGTCGCAAACGCCGTCAGTTCTTCTTCCAGACTGTTCTGTCCCTCCCTTCTCACCTCTGACACTGCCGTGTAGCAACCTACATTCTTAGGGGAATCTCAGTCCCAAGTCTCAGTAATGCTTTTCCGCTGGCTTTTGTGTGGCTGCCCCTGCTTTTCAGTTCTTCCTGTTAGGGTTCTGACTTCTCTGAGTCAGAAAATGGGGAACTGCAGAAAATGAAAGTCTAAACTCTTCTTTCAAGCTCTGTCTTTAAGACGTCTTCATCTAACCTTATGTTTTACTGTTTCAACATACTGGTTTCTTTCTTCCAGTCGGATTGGCTCTTTTCCTATTTTGTAAAAATGTGTGTCCGCTCCAGGCCCCTCCCTGTACTCAGATGACGGCTCTTTGTCCACTTAGTCGGCAGGCGCCCACCCCCCACTCCCGGCTGGCCCCCCCCCCCCCCCGTGCTGTACAATACTCTTCACTGTCCGTATTTTACAGATCATTAAAGCATTTTTGCTGATAGTGATGGACTTCCGTAAGTGACAAAAGCTCAACCAAATTCCTGTTCAATCATGAAGCCAGAAAGTCCTACTTATAAATATGTAAGGAGGTGGTTTGCAGCTATATTCTCACTCTGTAAGACCTTGCTACTTACCATTGAAAAAATTTTAGCTCTTTTCTGTGCTCAAACTATCCTACATATTTTAAACAACACATTTACAGATAATAACAGTTGGAAATACTATGATAATTATTACAGGCTAGTAATCGATTCTTATCAGACCACCTTAGTTCAAACAAGGTTTGATGCTATACTATCATAGTAGCTTCCTTTTACTTTGTATATAATTTTAATTGATAATTGGAGGTTTAATTTCCATGAACAGTTTTTTCTGAACTATAACTGCTTATAGCTGAATAGCTAATGCAATTTGTGTTTTTTTAAGTACCATAGAATTTACATTTTCTCCATCTACAACAGTACTATTCTTAATAGGAGTAAACCTGGGATATGAATAAACAAGACATAAAGAAACCCAAATAAAGTAAAAAAAATTAAAGCCCCGCCAAATTAAACAATGTAAATTTTGAGGGACCAATTCCTTTGCTGCTAAAAGTCAACACCTATTCAAAACTGAAAACTGAAAGCCCGTAGACAACTACAACATTCATTTGATACCAAGCATCCACCAAAAACCACGGCTAAGCTTGCCGCTCGTAGGGTGTCTGTGTGACATTTCAAAGGAGGTCACAGCGCCCGCGACACGAAAGAGACCGGAGCGTGTAAGGCGGGGCGCGGGATGCAGAACTGTTGTGAATACGGGCCGCAGCCTTCCGTGCGCCCGCACCCGGGAGGGCCTAGGCAGGCAGGCGGCTCTGGTGGAGCTGCCGGGGTTGTGGGAGATACAAAAACGTCGGTAGTGTTTTTCCAGAAAAGCAAAAAAGTAAACCCAGAAAACAGGGTTTTTTTTTAAAAAATACAGTAAAAAGGCAGTCCATAAAACACTTTGGGATTAATCTAACAAGTAGTATAATTTTCTCTGAAGATTTGGTACAATTTTGTTGGAAACAAGACCAAAAAGCAGAGAAGAATGAAATATGTGGACGAGAAAGATCGATATCCATACTGGGAAATGGCAATTATTTCCTTAGACAAACCAGTGCTAGAGTTTACACGGACAAGTGAAGGGCCAAGAGAACTCAGGAGTGCGAGAGCAAGGCCAGGCGCGGTGCGGCGGGAGACGCCGGAGCGAAAGACCGCGCGTGTTGAAGCTCCGGCGCGGCGTGCTGCGGTTGCACTGGCCGGTCTCGCCGCAGCGCCGGTGGCTGCCGCGGCTGGAACCAAACCGGCATCACCAAGGACGCCGGAGGAAGGGGGTGCCGAGCAAGACAGCGCACTAGTTCACTCTCCGTAGGCAGAGACAAAGCCGGGAGACATCTTTGCATACAGAGGTCAGTCCACACTAAGAGAATTTACTGTGTAAATGTTTGAGTATTTACAGTGTGTCAGGGAGCATGCTTACATAATGAACCTATTTAATTTTTCACGGCCCCGTTTTGCAGTTGGGGAAACCGAGGTGCAGAGGGAATCGCCAGCTTGTGAAATGACGTCACACAGGCAGCGCACGGCGGGGCCAGGGTGTGAGCGCAGTGCTGACTGACGCACATCGCCGTCAGCCGTGCCCAGGTATGGCGACCTCTGTCCCCTGGGCAAGCAGCTCTGCACCTTGGTTACCGCTGCAGACCTCTCCAGATGGAGCCGTCGATGCAACCCAAGCAAAAACGGGCGGGGCGGGGCGACTACAAATTGGTACCAGAGTGTGCAAACCTAAAAATTCGATACAAATACACTCCTTGTAGGCATTCCATTTTTACATCTCTCTCTCACTTTAACCCATAACTGATTCCTATTTCTGATATCTTTTTGGAAGACTTTTGAGCCTACCTACATATTTTATTAAGAAATGGTACATATAACAACACAAATTTTTCAATATGTTGAATTTAATATTCAAACTACTTACCTACTAGTTTTAAAGTTCCTACAAAACTCTAAAGCAAATGCTATAGTCCTACTGTTTTCAGCTACAGTCCTTGTCAATTTGCGTTGTCAGCCTGTGACTGACGACTCTATAGGTTACAGACTTTGAGTGACGCTAAAATCTGAAAGCAGTGCTGGTCGGAAGCCGATGCACATCTAGAAAGTGAACGATGCGGTTTGAACGCACGCGCAGCACCTCACGGGAAGCTGCCGTCCCCTCAGAGGGCCCCCGCCGGCACCCCGTGTTCTCAGATCGCCGCCCCCCCCCACCCGTGCGCAGCAGCTGCAGCCGGTCCCTGAGGCTCACTGCGGCTGGGTGACTGGTCGGTAGGCCCCTCCCGCCCTCCGGACCAGACACGAGACCGCAAACTAAGTAGATAAGCAATATGCACTTGATGAGAGAAAAGGATTTGCCCACCTCAAATGTATCTGATAAAGGAAAAACACAGTCTTACCGAAGAGAGGGATTGTGGAATGGGTGAGCAACTTTCTCTCGCACATAGTACATTTTTTTCACTGTTTCTCGGTAACTTGATTGGATCTCCAACGCCATATTTACTGTTCAAGGACTCAGGTGGTGAGGTTTTTGCCTTGGGTGATAGGGATGGGGTTACGCAGCCGCGATCCTGAGTGGAGTCCTGGTCCGTGCCTTCCTCTGCACCTGTACTCTCAGAGAACACAAAGGAAACGGAGACGGCAGGTGTTACTGCTGTCTGCCTCAGAAACGGTGTGATTTATCAAAGCCTCAGGTCTGACTGTATGTAAAAAGGATGAACTTTCACTACTAAATCAAGACCAAATTATGTTTAAAATATTGTATAAGACTTTAAAAATATTAAATGACTGCATTTAAAATGTAATGGTAACACCCCCTTTGAATAAGAACATCCGACACATTTTCAAACAAAATCATCTGCCGTGTGCGCCGCACCCTGACCGCAGCCCAAGTGTTCCTCTGCCGCCGCCGGCGCTGTCGCACAGCACAGTCTCAGAGCTGACGGCGGGAAAGGCTCGGGTAGTCATTGCTCTAATCGCTTCATGTATAGATGAGGGAATTCATGACTGCGATACATCTTAATGTAAATGAATTCTCAGTTTTCATACCAAATCAAGACCTGTCTTTGAGTATGTACGGGCTTATCTGAGATGACCGTGGTGCCAACCACAATGAAGATATTCTAGAAAAGAATAGCCACTTTAGAGGAAGTATATGTGTTAACTCATGTAAGTCTTGAACGTTAACTGAAATGATGGATACTTAGACATGCTCTAAAACAGGGTGCCAAACTCATTTCCTCCGGGGCCACATCAGCCTCGGGGTTGCCCTCAAAGGGCCGGATGTAATTTAGGACTGTGTGAATGGAACTGCTCCTGAACGGTTCAGCGAGAGCTCGGCGCTGCCACCGGGTAGAAACAAGGTGCCGGGCCGGAAAGAACAAGGTGGGGGGCCGGGTTCGGCCCGTGGGCCTGGTGCTCACCGCCCGTGCTCTGAAACACCCTCGAAAGGGGCTGACGGAAGGAGCGAGTGCAGACGTCAGTGCCGTAGCAGCACTGTTCCCAAGTCTACTTAGCAAAGACCAAGTTCTGAGCGTTTGTTTAAAAGTAAAATTTGACTACCCACAATCTTAATTCACCCCTCCAAATTAGTCTTCAAATTGTATTTTCATATAGAGTTACAATAAAAATGATTAAATACTCAACCGAAGAAGAAAGGGTACTGACATCTCATTACTTCGATGGATGGAGAGCTCCTGGACGAGGAAGACACAGGAGACGAGTCAAGGCTGTTATCCCTGCCCGCGTCCTCGGGCGGGGCCACGTCTGCCCTTGCCTTTGACGCACCCTTCTGTGTCTGGGCGGAGAAAGCGTCCTGCTCGCTCTTTGGCAGCATCACGGTGTCACCTCTGGAACAGGTGTCCTCCTCCTACGTGTAGTTATAACGTTCAAATTATAGTGGACCAGCAGTGGTCTGTGCTTGGGCACATAAACAATTTAAATTACACTGAAGTATTTAATAACACCTTCCGTTACTACATATGAGCACAGGAGGCACCACCACATGCGCAGTGACAGGCCGGTACCTGGAGACCCACAGGAAATGTGATGCATACACTGTAATGAGTATCACACGAGATACACACCAACACTGAGGTTCAAAGGAGGTGACACTCTGTTCAGGGGAAGCAGAGGGCCGGCCTGGGGCCCCTGGCTCGGGGTCCGGAGAGGAAAGTGGCGAGAGGCGCGCGCCGAGAGGACGGAGGACAGCCGCCAGGGCAGAGCGCACTGGGCTCGTGCGGAAGTCACAGGCCGTCTCAGCTGCTCCAGCACACCCCGGGGTGTGCTGGGGAGGGGGGCATGGCCTTGCGAAGGTAGGAGACGTTCAGGCTTGTTCTCCGGAGAGACGAGGGTGGTCTGGGGAGACCGCCCTGACTGCGCACACAGCGAATGGCAGTGAGAAGTGATAGAGAACACGGAGACAAGCCACACCGTCCTTAGTGTCTTCCAGGTTTCAGGTAGGAGACAGCCGGGTTCCAACAGGCCAAGTGGAGGTCAATGATTTCAAGTCGGAACAGTGTGGTGTCCAGCACCTCCCTTCAGTGCCAGACTCCCTGGGTTCAGACCTTGGTTTCACCGTTTCCTGCCTGCGTGGACCTTGGGCGAGTGCCTTCGTCTCGGAGCCTCACCTTCTCACGTGTAAAACGAGACGTCAGTAACAGTCCAGTCACCTGTCGTGCTTATGAGCTTTTAAAAGTCAAACCTGTAAGGCACAGATGGCCCTGGATTCACAGTGACGTAGGTCCCAATAAGTCCCGTGCATGTTGAAAATGCGGTTCAGTCAAAAATGCACTAACTACATCTAACCTCCGGAACTCCCCTGGTCTGGTCTACCGCAGCTGCGCTCTGAAGGAAAGGTGCGTGGGACGCTGGCCCTGGTGACCACGCGCCTGCCTGGGCGCTGCTGCTCATGGGAAAGGGGTCATACCACATTTTGCTAGCCTGGGAAAATATCAAAATTCAAGACTTGAAGAATGGCCTCTATTGAACGTGTACTGCATCCGCACCATCATAAAGGCAAATTTTAAGTTGAACCATTGTAAGGTGAGGACTGTCTGCCCGGAAGATATAGTACCTGGCACGTTATTAACACTATTTTTTTTAAACTTTGAGAAAAGCTTCCAAGCACCGGTGGGCAGGGAAGTGTGCGTCCTTCTGGGGTCTAATGACTGTCCTGTCTCTGTGCTCAGGCGGAACGGTGGGCGTGAGAACTCAGGCCTGCACTTGCGCTTCCAGTGGAGAGAGGGGCCCACGGGTCCCTAACCGTCCGCACTCCTTGAAGCACAGTTTCGGGAAGACCCAGCGCTTCTCTCATTCATGGACGTTATTATTGTTCATTAAAGGTTTTATTTACTTTTAGAGGGGGAGGGAGGGTGGAAGAGAGGGAGGGAGACATCGACGTGTGAGAGACACATTGATCGGTTGCCCCTTGCACACCCCCCCGGGGACCTGGCCCACAACCCAGGCATGCGCCCTGACTGGGAACCAGCGACCTTTTGGTCTGCAGGCTGGCGTTCAATCCACTGAACCTCACCGGCCAGGGCAAAAGGATATTTTCTTTAAGTTACAGTTCTACTCGAGTCAAACATCAGTTTTTTAACAGGAATGCCAACTTATTACAAATTTTAACATTATATTGCCTAAGGGTCAATTTTTTGAATGATGTAAGTTTTCTTATAGAGGGTTAAATCTTAAAAAGAAGTGAAAAGATAACATTTTTATAAGAATATATTTTGTATTCAGTATTTTAAGAAGCGTTCAGAAATTACTCCGAATTGTTTGCATTCACCTTTACTAGCACGTTGTCCCTCGGGGACCGTGAGACTTCTTGTTCACGCTCTGACTCGGAGTTGGAGAGGTCTTTGTAATTGATCTTGGTGTTCGCTGCTCTGCGTGGGCGTCGGGCTCTCCCGTCTGGAATGATCTCATCTGCCTTCTTGGTGATGTTTTTCTTGGGTGTCTTCAGAAAAAAATTTCCCAATGTTATACCAATATTTGAGTTACAAGTACAAGTTATTCACTGTAAAACTGAAACTATGATAACACCTACATGAACTCTTTCTAGAAATAAAAAGATTCATGATTAATTTTAAAAATGACTGCAGAGACAGTTTTTTAAAAACAACTGGTATACACCAGAATATTACTTAGCCATAAAAAAATTAAATCTTGTCATTTCCAACATAAAACCTGGAGATTATGGTAAGTGAAATAAGTTGGACAGAGAAAAACAAACACCATAGGATTTATATTATATGTGGAATTTCAAAAACAAAACAGAACAGCAACCAACTCATACAGAGAACAAACTGATGGTTGCCAAAGGCAAGGGGATTTAGAAGCACAAACTTCCAGTTACACATTTTTTTAAAAGGACTGGATTTTATATTTCCATTGCAAATATCTTCTCTACCACCTTTTTATCCCTGCGATTAAAGCTTTGATTTATAAAAGGAGGAAAGAGTAAGAGAAAGGCATCAGAAACACCCGTCAGCACAAGGAAAGGCAGACCTGAGACAGGCTGCCTGCCGGCCGAACAGGCGGGAGGTAAAGTGAGGCGCGAGGACGGGAACAGTCAGGGGACAAGGAACTGATAACAAGGATAAAACCATGAGATGACAAATTTTTTCATGACAAGGAGAAAAAATATTTAAATGACTCTCTGAACACAGACTTCTGAGTTTACCATTTTAGATCTTGGTTGGTCTCTTTCCAAAAATGGTCCTGCAATTCAAGAAAAAAAGGTTGTTTTTAGAAGTGGGAAAAAACTGGCATTAAAATGTATTAGAATCTTTCTGCATATGTTAAAATCATAAAAAATAAGACTGCATCTTTAAACTCATTCAAACTTTAAATTTCAAGATGATTTGAGGCTAAATTGACATTGATAACTTGAAGTATAATATTTGATATGAATTACCAATTTTCCTTCTCCTTTATTTTATATTGTAAAACTTTTCAAACATACAAGAGAATATGTAATATGTTATAAAGTTAATACCATTGACATTTAAGAACTAGAATGCAAATATAATGTTGAATCTACTTATGTGTATTTTTTATGTGACCCTCCATACCTCCTCTGCTGAAAGATAACCATTATCCTGAAATCTGGTTCTCATTCACTCGATCTCAAAGAAAGTCTTAACTCACAGGTATGTATCCCTAAGCAATATAATGAAGTCTGTAAAACAGAACCATGCCATAAGTAATGCTCTGTAACTTGCTTTATTTTTCACTCATTATGTTTCTAAGATGTATCACATGCTGAGAGCAGCTTTAGTCCTTAATCCCTGGTTTGTGGTGGCAGCGAAGCCCCGGGAGAAAGGAGCCCAGCCCCGGCGGCGGGACGCTCAGACTCCGCTGTCCCCCCGGCCGTCTCGACAATTCGCTCAGAAGCTCTCCTTCCAAGGTAGTTACTGACTAGCATTCTAAACTCTCACGTCACTCCAGGATCTCTGATTGCTTCTCCTTTGTTAAAATGCCTTTACTTGCACATCCCCCCACTAGACTGTAAGTTCCCGGAGAGCATGGGCACCTTCTGCCCCCCCAGTGCTCCAGAGTCCGCTCACTGTGACCAGGCCCCACGGGTCCACCCACGTTCTGGCTCCCGCGGGACCGCGTTCCCCGGGCACACCCTGCTGTTCCGTGTTTCAGTCTCTCTCGCACGTGGCAGTTGTGCTGCTGCTCTTCCTCCTGCATACACGACTTGCCTCTCATCTGTTCTCAAGATTTAGCCCCATTTCTAAACACATGCCAAAGCTCATTTCCATGTCTCTATTTTAGTTTCTTTTTAAGCCATCACTCCTCCCCCACCGCACAGGTCACTACTAGTTATTTTTATCCTGAAATAAAATAAAAGCTGATTCCCAGGAAAAAATCCCCAGAAATGAAGATAGTGTAAGGAGCCGTCTGGGACAACCTCAGGTGCACCACATTCGCATCCTGGGGACGCCGAAGGCAGAAGAGACCAAGAAATTGAAAACCTACTTGAAGAAATAATGACAGAAAACTCCCCTGATCTGGCGAAGTAAACAGACAAGTTGAGGAAGCACAGAGTCCCCAGACAAGAGGAACACAAAGAGGCCCACCCCGAGACACGTGCTAAGTAAAATGCGAAAGGTTGCAGACAAAGATAATCTTAAAAGCAGCAAGAGAAAGGCAGTTACCTACAAAAGAGCCCCCTTAAGACTGTCAGCTGATTTCTCAACAGAAACTCTGTAGGCCACAGGGATTGGCAAGAAAGATTCAAAGTGATCACTCCACCCAGCAAAGCTATCATTTAGAATTGAAGGACAGATAAAGAACTTCCCAGACAAGAGAAAGCTAAAGGTTGCATCACCACCCGTATTATATGAAATGAGAAAGGGTCTTCTAAGGAAGATGAAAAATATGAATAAAATGGCAATAAATACATACCTAACAGGTGAATCTAAGAAATCCAAAGAGGCAGAACAGAAATAGATTCATAGACAAGAAGAACATGTTGACCCTGACAAGAGGGGGGGATTAAGAAGTACACACCGGCTGTGACGGCACAGCCACGAGGATGTGACGTGCAGGGAGGGAGCATGGGCGACGATACTCTAACAACTGTGCACGGTCAGACGGGCACTAGACGCACAAGGACGAGCACGTGGTAAGTTACGTGATGTCCCGTCACGGGAGCGTGCACCTGACACTAATATAACACTGTGTGTCAACTGTAATTGGAAAAGAGAACCGTAAATAAAAAAGCCAATGCCCTTAAAATAAGTATAAGTTAACAGCTCAGAGTTATGTTGTCTTCTATTAAAAATGGAATATATAAAATCTTTGATTCTACTGTTTTATTAAACATTGAAATTAATGTTAAGCAATGAAAATAGTTGTTATTTCTAGCCCCAAACTCGTACCTCAAACTCTCCTCCAACCACTTCAAGAGATTTGCTTAGGGAAAGCAGAATCCATTTGCTAGGAAAACATTTTGTGGAAGATTTAGGCAAAAATATTTCTGCAACAAAATTGTTTTCCTTTCAATGTATTTTTATTGCATCTATGTGAATTCCTAAAAAGTATGTGTCGGTGAGGCAGGGAATGGGATATTATCCAAACTTTGACTGTATTAAGGGTGTTGGGTTCGTGGGTACTTAATATATTCATCGCAGCAAAGCGAAACGGGACAGATAATCTCGGTGTACGAGAGTACACCGCGGACCGACGATCATGGCAAGGCAGATCTCGTGTCCCCGAGGCCCCGTCGCAAAGCGGCAGTGTACAGATAACCGTATCCCCTAAAACAGTAAAAAGCACAACCACGACAGTGTGTGTGTGTGTGTGGGTTTTCCCTCTTTTTTTCTGTTCATAAGGGTATGTAACTAAAAATACTGTCCACGTGCAAAACCAGACTTATCAGCCACCAGAGCATTTCACATAGGTGCGACAGTAGACCCGTCGGCAACATCTCCCCAGGCAGTGGTTTCTCACTTGGTTTCCCACTGCTCCGTCTCCTCTTCGCACCTCTGCTTCTGCCGTACACGGCCAGCTGCGGTCTGGGCTGCGGCTCCGCCAGCCAGCTGATATCAGTCTTGGTGTCATCGCATCTGTACTCGGTGTCAGTGTCACTAAAGAGGCTTTTCTTTTTGTGACTCGTTATAATCTATTAAAAAAAAGAATCCTCGTAAAAGATGAGGAAATGTGTCTTACACATCATGCAAAGTAAGATCAGCAAAAAAAAAAAAAGTCCACTAAAAATCCAGAAAAACTAACAGCACATGTTTTTAGCATACTAATCCACCTGGCATTAGGGACCTATTCAAGAAAGGCACTTGGAAATCTAGATCAGAGAGCAAAATTTGTATTTTGTTGTCAGTGTCGTTATTAAAGGTTAAATCAGAACGGCTCGCTTCTGCAGAAATGTAGCCTGTCACCATCAAAGACGGCAAAGCTGTCGCGGGCATCACTGGGTGATCACAGCAGCTCACAGGCCGTGAAGAAAAGTCATAATGAGAACATGTAATTTCTGAGGAAACAAGTGGTCCAATTATTTCTGTTTTGCAGTTCTGTGATAAACTTTGGTATTGGAAAATCATTGAAAGAAGTACTAGTTTTAATAGACATATCAGGATATTATAACTTACTCTTTTATCTTTTGTTTTGAGAGACGGTTCAAGTTCATCATGATTCCTTAAACCGACCCTTAAACAAAAAATGCATTCATTAATTTTTATTAATTTTAAGTACTTGTTTTCTTAAGGTAGCATGCACTAAACAGTCAGACCTGGGTTTTCGGCCTTACTCTACTAATTCAGTAATATCATGCTGGCTACGCGATTTTTACTCTCTGACCTCAGTTAACTATAAAGTTGCAAGGTTAGATAAAAATACTACTAAATCCTTTCGGCTTTATCATGTAAGATATACAAGTAGTATTAAAGTGCACAGAATCCGCATTATTCTAGAAGTACAGTTGACTGCTAAACTACATTGGTTTGAACTGCACAGGTTCACTCATACATAGGTGATTATTAGTAAACACTACAAATGTGTTTTTCTCTTCCTTTACTGTAAGAATGCAGCCTATAATACATATGACATACAAATATGTGTTTATCTGCTAGTTATGTCATCAGGCTTCTGGGGGAGTCAAAAGTTATACACAAATTTTTAACTGCAGGGAAGTTGGTGCCCCAATGCCCATGTGGTTCAAGGGTCAGCTATAGGTGCTGAAAGAATAGGGTCATAGCCCTGGCTGGCGTAGCTCAGTGGATTGAGCGCGGGCTGCGAACCAAAGTGTTGCAGGTTCGATTCCCAGCCAGGGTACATGTCTGGGTTGCAGGCCATGGCCCCCAGCAACCACACATTGATGTTTCTCTCTCCCTCCCTTCCCTCTCTAAAAATAAATAAAATCTTTAAAAAAAAAGAATAGGGTCATAATGGGAGTAATCTTGACAAGGGCCCTTTACCTCACTCTTTCAATATATTAAAAACTCTCTAGATAAACTGGGAGGAAGTATTTAAGAAAAAGAACAATTGAGATAAGCACATTTTAATCCGATCCCACTAATTATAATAAAGCACTTACAACTTTATTGAATTATCCACACAGGCTTCTCTAGTTGTAGCTTGAAATTCCTGGATCTATATTGTGAATAAGCATTACATTTTTTCTACTGTCAAAAGAAGGTAAATGAAAACTAAAAGAAAGTCTAGTTTCTATCATGCCATATACCCATAAGCTGTAACAATAAAACTAAGCTTACTAAAATGGTTTCATATTTAAGAAAGCTAGTACTGTAAAATATACTAAAAATTAGTAATTGTTTTAAAATTTTAAAACAATTGTAAATTTAAATTGTATCTAAGAAAAGTGATTTTCTTGATGAAATAGTCTGAATTCCTCTATGTCCCAATTACTCATTTTCTCTACTTCAGACAAAGAAAATTAAATACACCTATGTCAGTACCACAGAAATTTAAAAATACTTAAAACTGTATGGAAAAAGACTAGACTTCAGGTGGTAAGCACACAATGGAGCGTACAAATGTTGCATTACGAAGTTGTGCACCTGAAATTCCTGTAATGTTATTAACCAGTGTTTCTCCAATATATTTAATAAAAATAAACAATGGAAATAAAAGATACACTCTAGTAACTGCATAATAAATACAAAATAAATATAAAATAACAGATTTCTAGCTTACTCCAAGTTTTATAATAGGCTCATCAGTTCCACTCAAATTAAAATTGTAAACATCATTCCTGTAAAAATGAGAAGAAACATTAACTCCATTCTATAATAACTTTATTTTATTTAAATATGAAGAAAATTATAAATTTCATGAAAAATTACTTACAATGGGTATTCAGAAGTAACATTAACAAAAGTAGTCTTCAGTTGTCTATAACTTTTTCTCTGAACCTTTTCCTAAATACAAAAGTTTACATAAAACCATTCAAACTTGTACATTCCTACACTCGGCAAATAAATAACATATGCAATTAAATTTTCACATCATTTTCTAGTTATTTTTCCACTAACATAAACTTCACACTTGTAACAGTTTCCTTAATGTGAGTTAAAATAAAAGTATTAAACATCCATAGTTAAAAATATTGAAGACTTCGGTATTAACTAAAAGCATAATGAAAGTGTAAATCAAATAACTTCTTGTACATAGGCAAAACGACCTCACTGGCATTCTACAAGCTGAATCTTGGTGACTGTAGAACCACACATACAAAGCACTTGTTTCTTGTATTCATTTGCTTTAACTTCTTAAATAGAAAGACTTTCAGAGAGGCTGAGGTTTATGTAAAATCTCATATAAAAGACTCAAAATTACATCAATCAACGAGTCCTATTAGGGACAAATATGTGTAAGATTACTCCTGTAGCCTGCTGTTCAAAATATATTCGACCTCATCAAAAAATAGGGTAGAAAAAAAATAGGGTAGAGAAGTTGTTAAATAAAATGTTAATGAAGTAATTGGTTTGCATTCTCACTGAAGATATGTTTTTATTGATTTTGGAGAATAAAGGTGGGGGTGGAGAGAGAGAGAGAGGAGAGAAGAGAGAGGGATGTCGATCGGTCACCTCCCGCACGTGCCCACCCAAGGACGGAAACTCACCCCCGGTATGTGCCCTGACTGGGAGCCCGACCTGCAACCTGCTGGTGCCCAGGACTGCGCTCCAGCTAATCAAGCCACCGCCATATTCGCCTTCAGTTTTTAGTATTTCTTTTGGCTATTTTATATAGATTTGCATTATTCCAAAAAGTTTCTCTCTCTATTAATTCTCTGATCACTGACTTAACCTTTTTAGTATGATTTCTGCCAGTGTTCAGATACATGTGTTCATCTTCTGCATGGGGGTGTGTGCTAGGTATTTCAGAAGATACAACGGTGAGCAACTATATTAAAGAAGATACAAGGATGAGCAAAGGTGGTGTTATACAAGACACAAAGATGACTGAACAGTTACGCTCTTGGGAAAGACTGAAGTGTTACAAAATAAAAAAGAACTGCAATAGTGAGGTAAATATCAAAAAGGTGAAAGAAATCGTGCAGACTCAAAATCCTTGGTCATTTGGATTCTGAATCAGAGTACCTCGGAAACTTTTTGTAAAGAAGGTAGACTCAAGTAATCCCTGCAAGGAGGAATCAAGTTTTCACAATCAGAAAAGGCGAGGGCCTGCCGAGCCAGTTCCAAATTCTTTCCAAAGGTGGAAGAAAAAGAAGATGAACACTTCGAGGAATCTCGAGTTGTATTTCAGCTACACCAAACATGCCCAGGAAACCACTAGGAAACAAGAACGACTTCTGAAGGGACTAGGGAGCCAGACTAATTCTCCACACTCAACTTAATAAGCAACAGGGATCAGAGAAAGGTTTTGAACGGGAGAATGAGTGACAAGCTTGAAGCTGTGCGATTTAGAAAGAAAACAGCTGGCATGAATGAATTGGCACAAAGAAATACTAGAGGCAACATGACTTACATTAAAGGCTATTGTAGTAATCCAGGGATTAGAAATTTAGAACTCAAACTAGAAAAACAGGACACTGGAACAGGCAGGAGAGGGAAGATTCAAGAGGAACTTACAAAAGGTAAACCTCAAAATTTGAAATTAAGTGGAGAAAGTAATTGTGAGGAATAAATAAAAGATAACTGATAGTTTAAGCCTGGATAAATAATGATTTTTAACAAAAATGGGGATTTAAGAAGTATCTAATTGTCAGGAGAGAGACAGCAATAGCTAGAAAAAAATGGAGGTACACTGAATCATAAAGTAAAAGTATCATACGCGCGTGTAATGGGGCTTTTGCTTTGAAGAGCAGATTAGAGAGCTTCTTCGAGTACTTGCCACTAAACAGTCGTTAGTTTAATCCGCTTTTCAATAGCTGACAACATCACATCGAATTCCATCCTACCACTATTCTATTTTAGTGTTTACAGTCAGCTACCGTAGAGTTTAACTATGTGTATATTCGGGGTCAATAAATGAAACCTACCTTACTGAGCTGTAGATCAGATTTGTTTGAAAAACCACTGTAAAAAAAGTTTTGTCAAAATTATAAAAGCAATTAAATATCAGTAGAATGTTTTTCATAAAAGGCATTTTCTGTAAGGTCAGTAAGTCTACATTCAGAGTGCTATAAATAGCTGAAATGTGACAGCACTAGTCTCATATTTGTTCAGCTTCACTCATAGTGAACAGCAACAATAATACTCCATTCATTCATGTAGCAGGAGGTGCCAAGCAATTTAAATGGAATGCTTCTGCCACGAGAGTAATTTTTTTCATGCCCTATAATAGGACTGGAATAAATTTAAATGTGAATGGAATACACATTTACTATATGAAAGTAACTCATTTCAGCCCATTTAAATTTCATTTCATTTCATTAAGCAATATATTTAAATATTCTTCATTTTACTAATCAGTAGGCTCAATAAAAAATTCCTGTAAGTCTGTATCCTAAAGATTTATTTTTGAAATAGTATGCTGTATAAATATGATGTTTTTGATACTTTATAAAATGTAATTTGATACTAAAATGTCTAATATCAAATTTAGTTCTAATTTAAGTAGCTACTATTTATAAAAGTATATATTTTCTACTGGAAAGTTACATTGTTTTAACATGTTGAAAATCTTAAAACAGTGTAAAACTGGTTGTATGTGTCAGAAAAATATTCATTTCTGAAATTTAAGAACATACCTGTTAATCACAGACCCCTTTGATTTTCTTGCAGACTGTGCACCACCCTTCGGTTTGCATCGCTCACTGGTTTGGCTGGTCAAGGAAACTGCTGCAACAGTAAGTCCTTTCCCTTTTGACTTTTCTCTCTGAAACAATTTACAATGTACTTAAGCACTCTACAAGTTAACCTTCCAATGAAAATAAGGGCTGAAAAAAATTTTTTTTAATTCCGGTTCTATGTATAATCACAAAGGGAAATAAAGGGGGTCCAAAATTATTTAATAAGTCTGGGCTTTGTTAGGCAGTAAACTAAGTCAGGATAAGTCTTATTTAACATATAGAAAGAACTGTGCAGAGTGTTCTGTAGATACTACTTTTTAAAAGTTTCTATCCATGGAAAAACAAAAATCATATAAAAAACTAAAGGAAACTAAAAGTTGGTTTTTTGAAAAGATTTATAAAATTGATAAGGCGCTAGTCAGGTTAACTAAGAAAAAAGAAGCAGATATTAAAGACAGAAATGACTAATATCGAAAATGAAAGAGGATCACTATTGATCACACTGACATTAAAAGGATAATAAAGAAATACTAGGAACAACTCTATGCCCACAATTTGATAACCTAGATTAAATGAACTAATTCCTTGAAATTCTACAAAAACTCACAGAGAAATTGAATCAATAATTAATACCTTCCAATACAGAAAGCACCAGGCCCAGGTCAGTTTACGGGTGGGTTCCATCAAACATTTCAGAAGAATTATGCCAATTTTCTACAATCTTCCAGGGGACAGAAGCATGGGGAATACTCCCTAAATCATTCTGTGAAGCCACTATCACCTCATGAACATAGATGCAAATCCTCAACAATATATTAGCAAATTAAAGCCAACAATGTATAAAAAGAACTGCCTACTATAACCAAGAGGAATTTATTTGAGGTAAGAAGGATCAACTTTTGAAAATGAATGAATGTAATCCATCATATTAATAGGATAAAGAAGAAAATCATGATCATGTCAACAGAAGAATAAAAAATTTGCCCAGATCCCATTTCCATCCATTCATGATAACAACTCTCAGAAAACTAGGAACACAGGACAACATCCTCTACAAACAGAAAACACAGCCAACATCATACTTAATGGAGAGAAACTAGATGCTTTCCCACTAAGGTCAGCAGCAAGGAGAAGTCTGCTCTCACCACCCCTACTCAGCATCACACTGGAAGTTCTAGCTAATGCAGTAAGACGAGCAAAGGATAAGTGGGATACAGATTGGGAAGGAAGAAATAAGACTGTTTTGTTCCCAAATGACATCATTGTCAATGTAGAAAATCTTACAGAATTAACAAAAACATTCCTGGAACTAAAAAGCAAGTATAGCATGGTGAGAGGATAAAAGCCAATCACTTTCCTATATATCAGTAACAGTTAATTGCAATTTGAAATTACATTCCATTTACATTACCATTCCCAAAATGGGATGAGCTACAAATATAAAAAAAGCACACAAGATCTGTATGAGGAACACCACATGATTCATGAAAAAAAAATCTAAATAAATGGAAAGGCTCAATACTGTCAAGATGTCAGTTCTTTCCAATTTGATTTATAGATTCAAGGTCATCTCAGTCAAAATCCCAGAAAGTTATTTTTTTGGTCATCAGCAACATGATGCTGAAGTTTACATGGAGCAGCAAGAGACTCAGCATAGCTAGCACCATATTGAAGGAGAAGAGCAAAGTTGGAGAACTGACACTTTGCCAGTCCACCCTACTTTCAGGCTTCCTAAAAAGATGGCAGCATCCGTACAGTACTATTGGCAAAAGAATAATCAACAGAATAACAGAACAGAACAGAACAGGGAACCCAGATACAGGTCCACATAATTATAGTCAACTGATGTTTGACAAAGGAGCAAAGGTAATTCAGCAGAGAAAGGACAGTCTTTTTAAACAAACGGTGTTGAAACAACTGATGTCCACATGCTAAAAAACAAAAATTCCAGACACAGACCTTACATCCTTCATGAAATTAACTAAAAAATGGATCACAGACCTAAATAAAATGCAAACTATAAAACCCCTAGAAGATAACGTAGGGGAAAGTCTAGGTGACCTCGGGTTTAGCAGTGATTTTTTAGATACAACACTAAAGGCATGATCCATGAAAAAGAAAACTGATAAGTAGGACTTCGTTAAAATTAAAAACTTCAGCTCTGTGAAAGACACTGTTTTAGAAAATGAAAGCACAAGCCACAAACTGGGAAAAAATAGCTGCAAAATACAGTGTAATAAATGACTTGTATCTAAATTATACAAAAAATGTGAAAACTCAATGATAAGGAAGAGAACTGGATCTTAAAAATTGGCAAAGGATCTGAATCAGCAATCCAACAAAAGACAGGGGTGGTGAGTACACGAAAAGGTGCCCAAACAGCATGTGTCACCAGAGAGCTGCAAATTAAAACAACAACCAGATGCCTCAGCACCTGTAACAAAAGCTAAAATCTAAAACACTGATAATGCACAGCATTGGCAAGGATTTATACTTTTTAAAAAAAATTATTTATTTTTAGAAAGGGAGAAGGAAAAGAGAAACATCAATGTGCAAGAGAAATATCAATTAGTTGCCTCTCACACACCCCCAACTAGGGACTTGACCCATGAACCAGGCATGTGCACTGACTGGGAATCGAACCAGCGACCTTTCAGTTTGCAGGTTGGTGCTCAACCCACTCAGCCACACCAGCCAGGGTAATACTGGCAAAGATTTAGATGAACAGGAACTCTCATTCATTGCTACTGGAATACAAAATGGCACAGCTACTTTTTCCACTTTTGGAAGACAGTTTCTTATAAAACAAAACACTTTTATCATATAGTTCAGCAATCATGGTCCTTGGTATTCTTCCAAATGAGAATACTCTCCCTTGGACTCTCCCAAATGAGTTGAAGTTTATGCCACAAAAAACCTACACACAAATGCATATTCATACTTGTCAAATAATTATTCATAATTGTCAAAATGTGGAGGAAGCAACCGTGATGTCCTTCAAAAGGTGAGCAGATAAACAAGTCTTGGCACATCCATACGATGGAGCATTACCCAGCAACGAAAAGAGCAGCCATCGGGCCCGGAAAGGCCTGGAGGGACGTGCAATGCACGCTGCTGAGTGAAAGAAGCCCGTCTGAAAAGCCACGTACTGCATGGTCTCCGCGGTGCGCGCTCTGGGAAAGGCTCGACAGTGGAGCTAGTGAGAGAGTGCGTGCTGGGAGTCTGGGGGAAGGGAGGAAAGGAGTCAGGAGGAAAACAAGGGAATTTCAGAATAGTGAAACTACTGTGTATGCTACGGTAGGGGTGGAGACATGTTGCTGTACATCCTTGAAAACACAGAACAAACAATACTGAGTGAACTCTAATGTGAACTATGGACTTTAGTTAACCATAATGTGTCAGTATTGGCTCATCCTTTGTAACAAAGGTACCACATTAGTGCAAGATGTTAATGATAGGAGAAACCGATCACCTGTATACCTAAAACTTCTCTAAGAAATCTGTATTAATATTTAAAAAACTGGAACTACAAAGAATTATTATCTGCATAATTTTAGAAAGCTCTACCAATATTTCTTAAAGATGTAAATTCTTTTGATGCTATTTTCACTTTTCTGGGAATCAGGCATATGTGTTTTTAAAATTATAATAAAATACAGCATAAACATAAATATAGCAACATAAAATTTACTATTTTAACCTTTTTAAATTCATATATTTTTCTATATAATAAAGTTTTACTTATTAGCCTTCTGAAGATTACCATAATGAAAACAAGGTTTGGCTTGATTAAAATGTATCAAAAATGAGCCTCCCCTAAAACAGTGTATGATTTAAGAACTTCTGGTATAATTGGAGCCAATCTGGGAAATCTGTACCATTGAACTACAGAGGTTCTATCCTCTGGGTTTATTCGATGAACAGAAAGACAGGATCGACACAGACCTCAGAGGAGAGGACCCCATGCGTGGGAAGGGCAGGAAGTCGTGCCTGATAAAGAAGTGATGCCATGAGAGACTGGAGAGACCTTCTGAAAACACAAAGTTGATTTTTTTAAATTTTTTTAATCCTCACCCAAAGATCTGTCTATCGATTTTAGAGAGAAGAAGGAAGGGGGCGGGAGCGGGAGGAGGGGAGAGGGAAGTGCGAGAGCAGCGTCGGTAGGTCGCCTCCCCTGGGCGCGCTGGCCGGCCAGGGATGGCACCTCCGCCTTCGGTGGCCGGGGTGACGCTCCAGCCCACGAGCCACTTGGCCAAGGCAGGAAGTTGATTTTTAAAAAGCAGAACACAGTTTAGATGATCAAATTTTTGTGTTTCCAGGAAAAAAGAATGACTAGCTCAGGGAAATTCTGTGAAGTGATTCTAAATTTCAAAGAAAACAGTTTTAAAGTTAAAACTAAAAAAACCGATCAGTATTCCGACAAAAAAAAGAACCACAATCACCAACCAACCAAAAAAAACCTTGCTTCCCCTGGGGCTAAAGGAACTAAATAGCTAAGACTAGAAAGAACAGCATACAAAGAACCATGAAAAAAGTAATCCAAGAGGATTTGGTTCAAGAAGAAAGTAGCCACCCTGGCCGGTGTGCGTCAACTGGGTGGAATGGTGTCCCACAAACCTAAATGGTGGTGGGTTCGATTCCTGGCCAGGGCACATATCCAGGTTGTGTGGGTTCGGTCCCCAGTCGGGCGTGTGTAAGAAGGCAATCAATGTTTCTCTCGCACATCAGTGTTCCCTCCCCCTCCCCCTTTCTCTAATAGCAAATAAAAACATTGTTCCCAGGGGAGGATGAAAAAGAAAAAGAAAAACAGCAGCCAAATTAGGCTCAAAAAGTGAGTTGCAGATTAAAAATAATGAAGAGTAGTCTGGTCAAGACAAATGAAGTAATACCTAATTAAGTACAATAATTGCAAATTATTATTTCATTTGTACACTGAGATGTTACAATATGTGAACATTTTACATTTAGAAATTTAGAAATTAGAAAGTTGGCTACCAGGTATTAATACTTTGGAAGATACATGAAAATGACAGCCTGTATACCTGGGTCCTTAAAGAATAGCAAAAAAAAAAAAAAAATCACATTACTGGCAGTGTCTTAGAAATGTATTATCATTTAAAAATTTTCTTAATCTGCATCTTGATAGAAGTGACACCCCGCCCCATAGAAAACAAACAAAACAAAACGACCGTGGGAGCGGTTGCGGAGGGGCAGCGGTCCGACTCAGAGTGCGACTCAGAGTGCGGCCCACAGGGGCACTGGGAGGAGCCCTGCAGAGGACAGACAGAAGGGGAGCGGACAGACAGAAGGGGAGCGGACAGAAGGGGAGGCTCCGACCGGGGCACAGTGATAGCAGGAGACGGTATCCCTCCATCCCTCTTACATCCTTCCTTGAAAACCCTCGTGAAACTTTCCTGCAATAACGCAAGCGATACTTCAGAAGCTACTACGTGCGAAGCTGTGCTAGGCCATGCAGGAAAGCAAAGGCTGAGGGGGATGGTCGTGACACTCGCAGCTGAAAATGGAAAACCCCCCAGAAACAACCCTTCACTAGACAGACAGGCGAGCGCCGTCTGAGAGGCGCAGGCACACACAGTTCTCCGCGCGTGTTCAAGAGAATCCGAGGGACAGGGTGGGAGAGAGCCAAGGCAGAAACTAATACAACATTAAATGCCAGGTGTAACTGAAGATAAAGATATGTATTCCTAAAATTAATTTCACCTTTAAACTTGAAAAATGTGTAACAGAAAATTTAATGTGACTAGAGACGGAAAAGCGACCTCCAGGGCGCATTCACGCTGCGCCCACGCGCGCGCCTGCTGCGCACCGGCGGCCGTGCGTTCCATGCGGGCGTGTTCAGGAACAAGGCGTTACAAAGGTTCTTCCGCGGCGACCAGTCGAGCTCCTTTCACTCTCGTATGTTACAAAGCAGGCACATTATGGGCATGCAGAAATAAAACATACTGAAAACTCACCATTTTTTTTTGTTTCAAATCCCAGGCATTAAGTTCAGACATTAATCTTTTCCTTGATTTTCTGTGACTCTTTGCATTATTACTAGGAGAAGGGCTTTTATCACAAACAGCAGTATTCACATCTTCTGACAATATGTATTTCTTCCTATAGATGAGAGATTCTTCAACTGTCTTATTTAGGAGAACTGACTTAAAAGTAGTTTCAGATTCAATATGCCAATCACTCTGCTCAGTATTTTCAATATTTTTCTGCTCTGAATGTTGACTGGGTCGTTGATCGCTTCTTTTGCAAATATCTTCTGCTGTATCTATTTTGTTATGCTGCATTCTTTCTTTCTTATATTTCACCTTTCCTGTTTCTTCGGAATTATCATCAGATAATGAAGAGGATAATTTTTGTTTTGTAACTTTTTTGTTGATAGCAACATCTAGTGGGAAAAAGAAACTAATCCTTAATAAGTTAATAAACTGATAGTGTATAAAATTTGTTAAAACCAAAGAGATTGTCAAGCATTTCAAGAAATGAGTATCTCCCTGAACTATTTTACATACAGAGAAAACTACAGTTGACCCCCAAACGACATAGGGTTAGGGATGCCAACCCCCACAGAGTCAAAAATCCACATAGAACTTTTGACTCCCCAAAATGTAACAACTGATAGCCTGCTGCTGACCAGAAGCCTTACTAATAACATAAACAGTCGATTAACACCTATTTTGTATGCCATGTACATTATATAATGTATTCTTTTCTCTAGCTTACTAGAGAACCCCATGTCGTTTGGGGGTCAAATGTCAAGAAAATCATGAGGCACAGAAGATACATTCACAAAACGTATTGACAAACATCTGCACACAAGTGGACCCGTGCCGTGCAAACCTGCGTTGTTTAAGGGCCGACTGCTATGCCTCACCTTGAGTAAATGCGTCTCCTTGTGAAGAAAGGCTTGCTCTTTGCTTATTGCATAACTTAATATTGGTTACAGGTGTCCAACACGCCCACTTAGAGGGTGTTTTATTTCCATGGCTGTTGTAGGAAACACCAGGAAACCTGGAAAGTAAATTCATTTGCTTAACATAGCACAAAACATTAGCTATGACTGATATAAGACCTTGATTTTTAAAAGTTTATCAATGTTAATTGATAGCAACTTTTTAACAGTAAAGCATGAAAATGTGTTCATAAGTCATTATGAAAGTTAAAATTTACCACAGAATTGCTCAAAGATGAAAAAGTTCCATTATCGTTACCATATTTATATATTCCCAAACTAGTTTACATCTCTTTACAGTCATACTTTATTAGTTTTTAAATCTCATTCAAGTTTCAATTTGAAAGGAGTTATGTTGGTTGATCAGTATAAAACATAGACTATTCCCCAATGTGCTATCTTAATACTTGAGAGATTATTAATGTTGGAAGCAATAGTCTGTTTTAAGACTACAAAGGCCTTTTCTTTTAAATTTGTTGCGTTCATCTAAAAGTAACAATATATGCAGAAAGATTTGATGGGTTTTCTCATACTTACATAGAGTTTTCTATTTTTCCTACTGCCTGTGAATCAGGAACAACATACTGGGGTTCATCTAAATAAAACAAATTTATGGTATTTTCATTTTTTGGTGCAACTGCAAGGTAAACTTGGTATAGATTTTGATCAAGGTTTACATACTGGGAGGGAGAAATTAATGGATTGCATTTGCCCCCCTCGAGCCCAAATATCTTGGAAACAGAGACTGTTCTGTATTCCTTGTAACCTCTAAGTCCCTTGCAAAAAGCTGAATACATTTATTAGAAATCTTTCTTTTACAAATCAATGAAAGCCAGTGAGGCAAAAGGGAAGTATAGAGAGAAGCATATATTTGTTATAAGAGTCACTGAGATTACACCAAAAAGTACTTACTAAAATTTTGGTTTAGGAATTCAGTGTCCTTATTTTCTGTCTTTTCTAGGACGTCAGCAGTTTTGATCTTCTGTAAACACAGAAGACATGTTAATGTAAATGTGAAGTAGGTGTTACATGAAAACAACTTGTAAAAGTCAGAGTGTTAGAGTAAAACTTTCATAATCAATGTGCCTTGCTATTAAAAGCTGGATAGTATTTCTATTTATAGTTGACCCTAAAACAACTTGGGGGTGGTTAGGAGGACCAACCTATCACTCTGCCAAGTTTGCATATAACTTGTGACTCCCCCAAAACTTAGCTGATAGCCCACTGCTGACTGGAAGCCTTACTGAGAACGTAGGCAGTCGGTTAATACATATATTGTATGTTAAAGGCATTACATATTATTACAGTAAAGCTAGAGAAAAATAAAATGTTAAGAAAATCTTAAGAGAAAATACATTTACAGTATTTATGAAAACAAAAACAAAACCCATGCACAAGTGAACCTGTGCAGTTCAGAGTCCTGCTGTTCCAGTGGCAACTGCACCTCATCAAGGTGATGCCCGTTGTCAAACACCGCCTTTTCTACATTATGAGAAAGTCACTTTCACTGCAGAGAAAGGAGGCAGAAGATCCTACAAAGTTTCTGATGTCTCCATAACTACTAAAGTAATTCTGTCTTCCTCTGTAACTGACAATTTCTGAGACCCTCCAAGGCACATCTCCTATTGTTTTGATCTGATAACACGCATTTATTTTGTCTTTTCACTAATAGACATGAAGGCATTGAAAACTTTATAAAACATTAAATGTCTTGTAAAGTTTCGCCCATTACACAGGTAACTTCTTACATATATACATATATACATACATATACATATATATACACACACACACACACACACACACACATATATATAGCAAGCTTCCCTCTCTGCATGGCCACAGACACTCTCCCAGACCAAACAGAAGCCTGGCGTCCCTGGCAGAAACACAACCTTGCAGACCGGGAGAGTGTGCCTCACCCTGGCTCTCCCCCCGACTTCACCTGCCAGGGGTCTTCACCCCGGGGAGGAGCAGGAAGCCGTGAGGGGCAGGGGGTTTGGTGCCAGCCGGGACGCTTACCGCCCCAAGCAGTCAGTGCCACACCGCGGACCTGAAGTGCCCTGGAAAGAAACACTCAACTGGACGATTGGAACCGTCACTTTAACTGCTTTTCTAACACCTTCACCTCTTGCACCCTTTATCTTTCTGCCACATAACCATGTACATTTTTCAAATCACCGTCTATTCTGTGTTACTTTACACCAAGGCCACTAAGCTTTGACAGAATATTATAGGTTCCTGAACCAAGGCTGTGATCAAGTTCAGTCTCTGATTTAAACCGGGCCCTCCACACTGCCTACCACTTGTGCTCATTCTTGGCTTGTCCCTGCACCCTCTGTGTCCATGTGTGCCCAAGAGAAATTCACCTCCTCACCCTTCAGAGGAACAAAAACTACTAGGTGTTCTTTATCTACGACTGATCTGTATCTCTGATTACTTCCTGATTCTCCGAGGGGCAGCTTCCTCTTGTCCTTTCCCTGCTCTGTCCCTTCAGTTACCTGGAATAATGCCCTTGTCCATTTGCATAACCTTCATTTACCTTCCCCAAAATCAACTCATTCTCTGTCTCCTTAAAAAGACTCTCCTGACCTTCCCCCTCCCCCTCCAGCTCTGGGGGTAGGCACCAGCCCCTCCACTAGGTTCCTACTGCACCCCATAGGTATATCTGATAACACCCAATGTTATGGTGATCTTATCAATTTGTCTAATTCCCACACTAGACTTGGAGATACTTAATGACAAACTCCACTTGTGTATCATATTTCTATACCGGAACCATCCCCATAATAGACATTAATTAATATAACCAAACAAAGACTCCCTGGCCAGTGTGGCTTCGTTGGTTGGAGGGTCATCCCATGGACCAAAAGCTCACAGGTCTGATCCCCTGTCAGGGCACATTTCCAGGTTGTGGGTTTAATCCCCAGTTGGGGCACATATGAGAAAGCAACCATTCATGTTTCTCTCCCACCAGCCCTCAAAAGCAATGAAAAAAATGTCTTTGGGTGAGAATTAAAAAAGAAGAAAAAGATTGTAAGCCCATTCTTCTACCGAATGTGTAAATCAGAGTTACACTGAATGGATATCCCTAAATTTTTTTGTCAGCACAGTAAATGAGTTGCACCTGACAATGACCATATGTTCAAGAACAACAAAAGGTATCTTTAAAAAAAGCAATGCCTTAAAAGGAGACGCTCACTGCCTGTAAAAGAAGTCAGTTTAATATGTATTTCTATAATAACGTGATAAAAATTTATTTTAAAAAATGTTTTCAAACTCGAGTTACTTTCTCTGTATCATCCCCTTTACTTCTTCCGGCAAGTGACTCAGACTGATGCGATACAGCATTGTCCACTTCGCGTTCCAACGTTCTGGAAACACCAGGTTTTTCTGCAGAACTCATCATTTGCAGTGGTGGTTTAATTCTTCCTCTTCGTGGCGTTGCTAAAAAGGAGGACAAAGGATTCGTACATTTGTGGGGTGTTAAAGTTACATATTGCTATTATTGAGATCCTCTTCAGATGAGGAAGGCAAAGAGGGAGGTCCCAGGATGAGCTCCAGTGTCCGGCTTAGACGAGTCAGTGAATGTAGATACTGTTCACCACGGCAAGAAACAGAGAACAGAATCAGCAGGGAGTCGGCGGGGTGGGGCGCGGAAAGGTGGACGTATCTCAGACCTCAGTTTGGGGAGCTCGCCGGACATCAGATAACTGCCCGGTAGGCAACTGGATTTGGGGACAGAAGGTAGCTATTCAATTGTCACAGAGATGAAATAAGACAGTGTTTGTGGCAACTAGTATACAGTAGCAGATTAGTTCTACTTAGCTCTTACTGTGTACCAGGTGCTGTCCAAATGTCATGTGAATGATTTTTACCTAAACCTCTGACAACGTGACGAGGTAGACAAACTTCAGTTCCATTTCACAGAAAGGAAACTGGTTCTAAACTTAACTAGAGGGTCATCTGTACCAAGTTCACTCTTGGGAGTGGCGAAACAAGCCCCAGTAGCCGGACTAATTCAATGTTTTATCACTATGTTAAGCTGCTCCCACTTAAATTATAATAAATTATTAATGCTGGATATTAATATTTTGAATAATGTATATATGTCAATACCCATTAAACCTTTTAGACATTTGAAATTTCTTGACAATAGAAGACATTTGTGGTTTGTAGTTTTCAATCTTTATGTCCCCAACTTTCCTCTAGGTAAATTATGTCCAGAATACCCCTGAACTTAAAAACGCCTACTTTAAAATACAGTAACTGTTGTTAGAAACCCTTTAAGACCACAAACTCACGTGTGCTGATTGAAAGTAGCGGGCTTCTCACGGTGTACCTTTCTGCACCAGTAACAACCATTGAGGCTTCAGACATTTTTCTCCTGCCAGGAGTAGTTATCTTAGACCATGAGAAACAACCACAGTAAATACACAGGATCTTTTGAAATTAAATATCCTACAATTTTATCATAACATGTTTAAGTATCATTTTACCTTGCCTATATACAAAAGATATGTGGCATTTCATAGACAGCATGATAACCAGAAATTTTTTTGTTTTTGGCTGAATCTTCACTAAGGATTTTATCCTAATGTTTGATATTGAGCAAGTAGCCAAAATAAGTAAGGATTATTGTTTTAAACAATATTTATAGCCCTGGCTGGTATGGCTCAGTTGGTTGGAGCATTGTTGCATAAACCAAAAGGTCGTGGGTTTGATTCCAGGGCAGGGCACATGCCTAGGTTGTGGGTTCAGTCCCCCTTCAGGGTGTATGGCTGAGAAGCAACCAATCAATGTTTGTCTCTCTCCCTCCATCTTCCTCCCTCCCTTCCCCTGGGAGAAGATGAAAAAAAAAAAAGAAGTAGAATACTTACAGAACATCTAGGCATGTAAAAAACCTTTTTAAATTGATACTGGGTTTATCTAGTTAACCAATGGCCCACAGTTTCCTATTCTATTTCATGTAGATGATATTTGGATACATATTTATGTGAACTTGTTTGTGAATGCTTTCATAACATTAAGCATTGTCTAAAACTTTCTCACATTTAAACAATTGTACCCACATCCTGTGAGGACTAAACTGCCCTTGGAGTAGAAGCAGCTGCGGGAACCCAGAAGCTCAAGGACGTGCAGGCTAGCGGCCCCACTGAAGACCTACGCTCGGCCTCACGCGGGAACGACCGCTATGCGCCGTGGAAGTCGACAAGTGGAGGAAGAGACCGACGGGGCAGGAGTGGCAGCGGGTGAAGAGAGACACAGGAAAGCAACCGACCTCCTTAAAGGATGTGTTGACAAAGAGCAAAAGTGTAGTCCCGGAACAGTCAAGGCTTAGACTGAGTAAGACAGACACGGACCACAAAGTTTTCTGAGCGGAAAAAAAAGCTAATATTAAGACTAATCAGGGGGAACAGTGGGGTGAAGACCAACTCGGAGGTCCCTGTGCTGGCCTGGGCTCGCTCCTTGGAGCAGCAGAGGAAAGGGAACGAGGGGCGGGGTGCGGGCCACGCTGGAAACCAGCCCCAGCACGGGGCGGGTGTCGGGGCGAAGGGCCAACCCGGGATGCCGCCGTGCTGCACTGTGGACGAGTGGAGGCGGACGCACACCCGAGGCGGCAGATAAAGTAGGCGGTCAGACTTCAGGAAAGGGCGTGGAGAGACTCGGAGGAGACGTTGGAACAGTAAGTGGAGAAGCAGCTGTGGAGCCTGAAGAGCTCAAATTACGCACCGGAAGGAAGCTCGCCGGGGGGGGGGGGGGAAGGCACGGAGACGTGGGGCGTGAAGCTTCCGAGCAAACCTCCCTTCGGGAGGCGCGGAGCGAGGGTCTCCGCTGGGGGACCGGCAGGGGTGCAGGACGGAGGCGCCGAGGCACGGCGGGCTGGGAGCGGCGCCCAGCATCAGTCACGTTCTGGCCAAGGAGGCCGAGGAGCTTGGCTCAGGGACGCCCGGGGGCTCTCCAGTGTGGCGCGGGGAGGGGGACAGAGCGGGAAGGTTCTGTGGGAAAGGGGTCGTTCCTTGCCTAAACATCTCTCACTCGGAATTCCCAGATGTAGAGTATACCCTGCACTAACCCTTACACATACACACAATTTGCTAAAACACCATCTTTTGTTTTTACTTGTAAAAGGCAGGAAAAGTACTCTGAACTGTTATAGAGGCTTTTTTTTCTGTAATTATATATAGCAACAACTGGGTGTCTTTTGTAAATGGATGAGTGTTTAACATCGCATTTACCTTAGGCTGACTGTTTTTTCTGTCCCCTTGAGAACCGTTTTGGATGTGTTTTTGAGGTTTGGCAAATTCCTTTTGGGAGTTACGTTTTTCTTTTGAACTAATGAGTTCTTCTGCAACTGGGGAGACTTGACTTTCTGGTACTAGAATCTGTAGGAGAATGAGGAAGAAAATACTTAAAACTGTAAACCATAGGATGTCCTCAAAAACCAGTGCATATCTCAACAAAGCGCCCGTTCACCTCACACTTCCCACGGTCAGTTCTTTCCATCGTCCACACACTGTTAAAATTTCTAGTCCTACAAGGTAACCCAGCTAAAAGCATCCACTTTTTCAAATGTTAACAGGCCTGACACAAGCTTCTGCATTAGTAGGACATATACTGCTAATTTTTAAACTTAAAAACACTAGTGTTGATTAAGAACTAAATATCCACCTTTGGTACTAAAATAAATTATCATTAATAACATGTTTAAAAATCACATCCATCACACTGGAGCACCATCCATGTTGAAATGCTTTATTTTTTAGATATTGAACCTCCAGCATGAACTTTATTTGTGTTATTATTTGTGTTAAACCTAGACCAATGGTTAAAGTCAAGGAAGTCAGACACATACCTGTGATCCACTTGCATCGAACAGTACATGCACAGATGTTTTGGCAACTGAAATACCCCGTTTTCTGATAAATTCCTAAAATTAAATTAATTCAAAGTGATGTAATTTTCTTCTAGTTCTTTCCACTTTAATGCAATTATTTCCTACCTGTTTCCTTTAAAAATTGCCAAATCATCTCAAGTCATTATTTTGTATGTATAAACACCCTTCTCAGAACACTTGAACTTCCTGGTAAGGACCCCTCACACCCACCGTCTCTGCTACTCTTCGCCATAAACCCTCGGCGCCGTTACAGACTGAACACATGCACCCTCACCGCAATCCACGTGGAAACATAACCCCACAGTGAGGGTGCAGGAGACAGGCCCGTGGGAGGTGACTGGGTCCCCAGTGCAGAGCCCTCCTGAGCGGGATGAGTGCCCGATAACACAGACCCAAGAGAACTTCTTCCCCACCCTCACCCCCACCCACCACAGGAGATCACAGTGACAAGATGTCTGCTATGAGCCAGGGAAAGGGACCCTACCAGAAACCAGATCTGCTGGTACCTTGATCTTGGACTTCCCAGCCTCCAGAACTATGAGACACAAATGTCGTTGTTTAAGCCGCCCACTCTATGATATTTTTGTGTTAGCAGCCTGAACAAAGATACACACTATCCAGATTCGTCAAGTGACCATCTTCCCCAAACATAACATGAATTGTCACCTTAGGTTCCCAGTTAAACAGTATCCAACTCACAATGTCTTCCACAGTCGTGGGAAGGGTCTGACCTACTCTATCCATCGACTTCAAAGGCCAGTCGAACCCCATCTCTACGACTCCTTCAATCTGATTCCTAACGAGCATTCTCTGTCCTCAACTTCTATGCTTCATCTTCCTTACGCCACTTGTTTACATGCATCTTTGGGAGTGCAGCCTGTAATTCTCCCAACTATGTTTTCATCTTGAAAACAGGGCTTTGTCTCATTTCACTTTTTAAACACCTAGCAGGAATTCACTGAATGTTTTGAGTACCTGCTGCTAATTTTGTCATCTGAGATTTTCCCGGACAGGTACATCAGAGGGTATGGCTGATGACCTCATGGCTAGGAACAATGCAAATGTAAAAAACTAAAAATCTACATGTCATTTTAAGAATTTTAGAAAAAAGATTCAGTAAAACTTAGAAGCCCAAGTAACCAAAAGTTTCCAGAATACGAAAATGAATCTTTATTAAAAACATTAAACACTTACCCTATGTTTGTGCACACCAAACACTTTTTGTGTCACATTAGTGATTTCTAATGATGCATCAAAATACAAGAGCAATTTTTTCCCTTCTCTTGTACTAATTTTCAAAATATTTTTCAGAATTACAGTCAGCAGCTTCTTTGATTTTCTCTCTGTGTACATACACACACACACAAATACAGATTACTTTATATTCACTTCTATGATACCACTATAGGTATACTAAAAATAAGAAAAACATATAACATATTAATAAAAATAACTTAATAAAGTTAACTTTCAGGATTTAACACTATTTAAATTAATTCTAATAGTATGTATGTAAACAAAGTAAACTTATTTTTTAAAAGTTTTAGGTGAATTTTATTTTTCAGAGCCTCAGTTTCCTGATCTATAGATTACAGGGTAATACAATAACTAATGAACTAAAGCCTGAATATATTCTGGACACCAACAGGTTCTTAATAAATATTCCTTGAACACATCTCAGAAAACTATTTTCTTCATTTGAAAGAAGGAAACAAAAAATAGCTAATTCCTTAAAGAACCATATTTCTGTGCATGTGCGCCTGTTCAAACAGTGCTGCTAAATCCGTGGTTACTGCAAATAGGTTGACAGTAAATAAACAGCAAGTAATACAAACATGAGAACTGGGAAACAGGTGAGAATACAATGCGCGACCACCTTCAGTGAATTTAGCAGTCCAGAGGGAAGGAGACCGTCAATGCCAGTTTGTTGGAGGCATCCCTCTCCCCTGCTCCCAGAAGTCAGCAAAAGATCGCCTGGCACTTCCGGAAGGCGCCTGTGTGATGGGCTCACGGCCGTCGTGGCCCTGCCCCACCTCACGTGGTGGTCCTCTTGCTGATTGAGAGGACCCTATACTTGCCCCCCCAAATAATTTTGGGCAGAAGGAAAACATCTTAAAGGAGAAAGGCCACGCCAAATGGAAAAATTTGTCTCTACATCAGGAAAAGCTTTGCTGGTCACTCAGTGACCGAGCCTAAAGGGCAAACACCCCGACAGGCTAGCGAACTCGCATTCTTGCGAGGCTGACCCGAGCAGGAAATGTCTTGCTTGCATTTGCAACTACACGGTCATGAAACTTTCAGAGTAATGTCCTTTGATTGACTGAGAATTATTAATTGCTTGAAGATGGTGGCAACACTTTCCGACTCAAACAGTGCCAGTGGGCTTTTTTGAAAGCAAAAAGTCATGAGTTTCCACATTAAGCCATCAGGCTTTAGAGATGAAGATTCATTCCACTTAAGACAAACTCATACAAACAGAAGGTGGAACTGGGTGGGGGGTGAAAGGGAGTTGTTTAATGGATAAAGTTTCAGTTTTGCAAAATGACAAAAGTTCTGCAGATCTGTCTCACAACAGTGTGGATATGGTTAACATTATTGAACTGTACACTCAAAAATGGTTAAGATGGTCAATTTTATGTTATGCATTTTTTTACCACAATAAAAAAAAAGAGAAATTGGGTGAGGAAACATTCTGTACTATTTTGGAAGTACAAGGTTCTTATATTATACATAAAGGGGTATAATATTACTTAAACATATGTACTGTCAGGTTAAAGATGCATCAAGTAAAGTCTGTATCAGCTGCTAAAAAAGGAGTATAAAGCCAACAAAAGAGATGCAATGAAATTATTCTAAAATCAATTAATATGAAGGAAAAAGAGATAAAGAAAAGAAACATGGCAGGTAGAAAAAACAAGAACTAGATGGTAAATTTAAAGCATATGAATAATTACATTAAAAAAACAAGATCCAGTATATGCTGCCCACAAGAAACCCACTATATATGTATAGATGGTTCTTAAATACACAGACACAAAAATAAGTTTAAAAGACAATATATACCATGCTATAGCTAACCAACACAAAGCTGAAAGGATATGCATGTATTTATTAATGCTACATAAAGTAGATTACAGAGCAAAGAATACTACCGTGGACAAAAGAGGGTCATTTCATAATGATCGTTAAGGAAATACATAAGCAAGAGACAGGCTGGGAGAAAAATACTCATGGAACATGAATCTGTCAAAGAAGTAGTACCCAGTGTGTGTCTGAACTCAAACACTTAATGCAATAAGCAGTCCAGTAAAAAATGGACAAAATATTTAAACAAATACTTTGCAAAAAGGAAGATGCACAAATGGCTGCTAAGCACATGAAAAAGTGTCCAACATTCCCCGGTCACCAGGGAAGCACAAATAAGAACTACCGTGACACGCCGGTACGGGCCCACTGAAGTGACCAGCATGTCCTAGTACTTGAATTTGTGGAGGTACCGGTCGGCCCAGCTGCACAGTTCCGGCCAGCGGTGGTGTGCAATCCCAGCTGTGCGAGTGGACAGCTGAGATGTTCGGATCTGATCACGCAAACAGGACGGACGGGCAAGAGCCTTGAACACAGTAACAAGGAAGCGACTGGTCATGGGTTTCAGCCCAGCCAGGGGAGGAAATACGTGTAGGAGGAAGACGGGAGATTGTGGGAGGGGGAAATGTAACAAATTTAGGATGTGAACATAAGGAAAATGTTGACTTTGCTTTCATTAGCTTATTTCTTTTCCCAGAAAACATGCGATTTCTACTCCATATTGGAGGCACAAAAAGAGAGTTCCAGAAAAGATCCATACCTTCAATGCTGTATGTTTGTACTTTATCCTCAGGAACAGTGACTGCTTCCCACTGATGATCCTTAAAATTTAAAGACAGGTCTTGACCATAAACAAATAATTTACTCTTTCTTTAAAGTTTCTTTAAAGACCATTTTTTCAGTTATATAAACAATGGTTATTTACTACTAGGTAACCAGCTGATATAACACAATTCTTGCTCCATCAATTGACTGCATAATACATTATATATGTCACATTTAATCTATTTGTTCACTATTACATGGAAGTAATTTTACGGTTGCCTATTCTTGACCAAAAAAGAGTGATTGTCCATTAATACCTTTTTAAAAATAAGGTATTTTAAATACCTTTTTAAAATAAAAGTTACCAAATCCTATCTTTTCTTTCTTTGAAATGTTTTGTGAAATACATATTCTTTAATTCCCAGTTATTGTCTTCAGATTCAAACACTGAATGCACATTAGTAATAACCTAAAATGTGTTTTTTCTTCCAAGTATTTTCATTCAAAATTTGGATAACTGAATAAAATGCTGAATCCACAAAAAAAAGTCATAGTGAACATGAGATACCATTCCTAAAAGATGGAATCCTGAAACTTCCCAATAATCTTGTGAGAAAAACAGATCCAGTTTTTCAGTTGTTAAAGGACAACTCATTATCACTCTACAGAAATCGCCCTGGACCGGAGCCAGTCTGGGCTGCAACGGCAGTCCCGCGCTGACAGCCCTCTTCAGTGAGGTGCTGCGGCTCCCACCCCGAAAGCTCCAGGCGAGGAAAGGGCTGGAGTCGGCTCTCCCCACTGCTCTGAGCGGCTGTTTCTCGGTAAAAAGCTGGCTCCTCCGAGGCCATACGGCGTGTGCCAGGACCTACTGCTGGCTGTCACCATCCAACTTCATAATGACTTCCTGCACATGGAGGTACCTGGTTCACTGCCTTCCTTTACACTTTTTTATATCATGGAAATTTTCAAACAGATTTTTTAAAAGTAGGAAAAACATAATATAACAAACCCAAAATGACTGTTTACCCAGGTCAACAGTTGCCAGCACACTGTGTTCATCTCCTTTCGTCCCCACCCCCACTCCCCCGCGTTACGCCCACTTCCTCTGGGCATCGGTTTTCGCTCCGCCTCTCCCTCACCCTGTCACCGATTTTGAAAAGCTCTTATCCTTGAAATCAAGAACCTCACACAAGCCCCTGCCTTGAACCCACGCCGCACGGCTCGCTTCTGCTGTGCCCTGTGCCTCAGCTGGACGTCCTCTTTTCTCCGCGCGGTCCAGCTTTCCGGGAACGCCCACGCCGTGTCTCCCCAGGGGCCCGTGTCTCCCCAGGGGGCCCGTGTCTCCCCAGGGGGCCCGCTCTCTGGACAACGCTCTGTTGACAGTGTCGGCCATCCGCTCTCATGAAGACACCGTTCCCTTGCCCTCCATGACATGATACCCCTTTAACTTGGTCTCTTTTGGCTGATCCTTCAAGTATCCTTCATTCAGACTAGAGTCTCTTCTCCCTACCCCGTATAAATCTGTGATTTCCACAGTTCTGCCATCTAGGCATTCATTACGCCCCATGACTCTATCACCTGTCTATAGATAGCTTCCAAATCTGCACTGTGGCTCAGGTCTCTACTGACCTCAGGCTGGAATGTCCAACTGCCCGCCAGACATCCCCCGCTGGATATCCCACAGGCGTCTCCAGATCAAAGCCCTCCAGGCTGAACTCATCATTCCTCCCCTGCAGAGCCTCTCCTCTGATGGGACCATCCAGTCACCCAGTTGCATGAACCCTCCTCCTCTTTACTACGAACAAACCACCAAGCCTGCTCACTCCGACCCCCTCTCAAGTCTCCCTGGAACCCACCGTTCCCACCCAGCCCACTGTGACCTTCCAGAGTCCTGCCACCACGACTGCTCACCTGACTTACAGCGAGTCTCCTAACTGCTCCCAGGTTTGTCCCTTTTTAATCCACTGTCCCCACCAGGAGACTCCTGTACATGAGTGTGGTCCTTACCTCTGACTTATAACCCTCCTTTGCATTTACACTGCCGCCTTATTTCTTTCCACTCTTGTTTGCACTCTTTGCACACTACGTATTTTTCAGTTCTTTGAATATTCTATTTATTCACTCTTATAATAAATATGCATAGCTATAAATGAGAAAGATGGGTCCCTGATTTCATGAGTCTTACATTCAACAGGGTAAAAATGGACTAAAAACAATAAATGTAGTGATTTTAATATAAATACTATAAAGAAGATAGAACAGGACAGCGTGTAATGCCGTGGCTGGGAGGCTACTTCAGACCGAGTTCCCAGAGGACACTGGACACCACTCTAACGAGGCGGTCTTCGGGCCAAAGGCCACGTGGAGAGGAACTAGGACACAAAGAACTGGAGGCGGCCCCTACGCAGAAGAACCAGCGAGTAGCAAGCCCTAGGATGGGCACGATGGAGAGACAAAAGAAGGGTTTTAAGCAGCCACTTCATGTGGAATGGCTTCTGGTAAGAGAACACAGAGATAATGTAATATTGCCACAGAAGCCAGGGGAGAGGATTCTAAACACACAAATACTTGGGGAAGAAGAATGTCCCAGCACCCCCACGTCAGTGTCTGGAACACAGCAGGCATTAAATGCACTTTATACTAGCCCAATCATGTTTAATACTGTAACTGCTTGTTCTCTTGTCTGAACCATCCACTAGACCAAGCTGAGTGAAGGCAGGAACTACATCAGTCCAATTCTATCCTCTTCTCCCAAAAGGGAGGTCCAGTTTCTGAACAAAACCTAGTTAAAAGTATTCCTGTAAGTCCTGCAGGAATAAATACACTAATGAAAACTGTCAGTGCCCCCGAGAAGCAGTGCTAGTATTTGGAATGCTTTTAATTAAGCAGTCTAAGGAGGTACTATAAAATGCAAAGAAATAAAGGTTTGTGGCAATCCTAAGAAGCATCTGATTAATGTTCATCTGTGAGAGTTGAACTGGAACAAAAAGCAGAATGTTACAAGAGATCAACTCAAAGGACTAAAGCTTCATTATACTGTCAGATGCCATGATTGAATTAGTAAATGCAGATCAGCTCTTAGATATTGGCACAGAGATTATATAATTTGAGCTGGAAGTATCCCAAAATACCAACTATTAAATAGTAGCTATTTGGAAATAAAGGTCCGTGAATGTTCCTCAGGTTAAAAACAGGTCAGTAGAAAGCATGCCACCTAGTTGGAGGGTTCGAACAGAGCTGCAGTGCAGCACAGGAGGGCAAGACCTAACACTCACTCCCAAATACTCCCGCGGGAGTCGGCTCCTCGCCGTGTTCGAACGGAAGATTATATGAATAAGACCACTTGTCGTTAACTGTCAGTATGATTTCTGAGTGCCTCCGTATTTGAGTAACTTATTTTTTTCTAATTTCAATTCACTTTATTCATGTGAATGTTAAATTTTATCTGAAAGTAACATGGAACTTATTTCTGAAAAGCTTATGTTAAACAACTAGTATTAAAATTTAACATTAATTTTTCTGTTGCAGTAAAGCATCAGAAATAGTTTTCATGTCTAATTAGCTTGATATGTTACCATGCTAATCAAAATTGCTGGGATAACACTGAAACATTAAAATAGCCACAAAAATATACAATGAATTCTACATTCTTAAGCTGAATTAAGACATATATATATACACACACACGCGCACACACACACACACACACACATATAAAAATAGTACAGAGGTAATAAAACTTACATCATCATCTCCAGCAATGTAGAATGATAGAGACTGGCTCCCAAGATTAAAATCTATCCAGAATTCCTCAAGTTTTTCATCTGATGGTATTTGCAGCTAATAAAATAAAGGTATAAAAGTAATATACACTATGCTCTCAAAAATGACAACAGAGAATTATAATCATGTAATATTCATGGTTGAGTTTTTCTTTTTCTTTTTGAAAAGAGGATAGCTGGAAGGTGAGGGAAGATAGAGGAGACAAGTATTACATTTAAATCAATTTAGAAAAGAATAAAAAAATTTCTGTTTAGTATTATAGACAGAAATTAGCTAGCTCCAGGCAATCACAAATATTCCAAGTGCAAATAAAGGTTGAAAGTATTTGAACATATTCATCAATGATAAATCAATAATAGGCTTGATTAAGGAAACAATAAAATTTGAAATACAGTCTTTGCATTTCATTTATTCTGAACTACAAATATGTCATGTCATAAAATGTGTCAGATATAGGATACTAGACCAGCTATATGTGTGATACAACTATTTTTAATGCTCTTGCCAATTTGTAATCTGTACTTCAAATGATCCTTGCCTCAAAATTCATTCAATAACTAGAACATGTTAAATTTAAAACTTACCTCATATTTATCAAGAAATGCTGATAAACAAGGAAATGTAAAGACCCTGAAATAGAAAGTTTGAGTGTAAAGTTCAATAAGACTTTACAACAGCATAAGCTTGACTAGTCATACAAGTCATGCCTGGGATCAAAAGAAGATCAGAAAGTGGTCATAACAATGAAAATAAAATCATATCTCCTTCTTTATTACTTTTAAAAGTTTAATAAAAATTTGTTTCCATAGAGAAAGCACAACCTGCCATTTTGACTGAAGTGGTTGTACCATATTACATTCCACGCTGTGACTCGTCAGAGATTGCTATTTTACTTTTACTCTTAACACAATGGGAGTTCCCACGGGGCTCAGATGGGAGAGGGAGAGAGCTGAATGACACTCCTAATGAAAATGGCTGCGTTTGGTGAATACTGCCTTGGTCAGGTACAGTTATGAGTCCTACCATATAATTACCTCACTTAATCCCCACAACAAACATTGAGTAGGTATTACTAGTATTACAGCTATGTTACAGCTAAGGAAACAAGCAAGTAAGGTTAAATAATCTGCTTAGTGTTGGAATGGGGAGAGAGAAACTGTGACTTGAATCCAAGCAGTATGACCCCTTGCACGCACGCTCACCCTGCCGTTCCTTTCCCTAGTAAGTAAAGTACATGTGAGCTCAGCCACCCAGTGTGTCCTGAGCACCCAGCTACTCTGTTCTCCTGTCACTATTGAAGCGATAAAAATTTGTGTCACCTATCCTTACATGCTCATTCCTGAGATTAAATGATCTGTAGTAAATTTACCTTCTTTTGTCTCCAAGCATGCCATTTACAAGGTTGAGAAAAATCCTGCAGTCCTAATTTTTTTTAAAAGAGAGACTTTTCATAAACCATGGTAATTTTCAAAAATGATTGTTAATTTTTTTTATTTTTACACCACTTACTGTTTCAAATTCAGAGTCCTTAATTCCTTTAAATGCATTTGCAATAAAATCCATTGAAAACCACTGACATGCCAGTTCTTGCCTTTGTTTTTCTGTTGTTATTCTACATAAAGCCTCTACGATACCTACTTGTAAGTCATAATCTTGAAAAAAAAGGTAATGTGTTATTTGAAATTATAAAAATTAAGAATTTATAAAAGTCAATATATTTTATAAGGTATTAGAACAAGCAATATAAAATATTAGTATAATTTACTCATCTTTTGCCATTTTTTATATGAATTAGAACTAGCTCATCATAATAGAAATGAATACAGCCCATTTAACAAAACAAATTTACCATCAGAAGTAAATAATTTTTGAGCCCTGGCTGGTGTAGCTCAGTGGGTTGAATGCTGACCTGCGAACCAAAGGGTCGCTGGTTTGGATTCCCGGTCAGGGCACATGACTGGGTTGCGGGCCAGGTCCCCAGCAGGGGGCGCAGGAGAAGCAACCACACACTGATGTTCTCTCCCTCTCTTTCTCCCTCCCTTCCCTTCCCTTCCCTCTAAAATGAAATACATAAAATCTTAAAAACAAGAAGTAAATGATTTTTTAAAGGATATTTAAAAAGAAATTTCTAAATATTCAAAGATTGCCATTTCATTGTTATCAGAGTTGTGAATTGTAAAATAACTCATATAATAGTCTGTGAATCACAGAATCTTTGTCTTCCTTTTATGAAATGTGATGTTTAAAGTTATTCCAAAGTACTTTAGGCCAGTGGTTTATTCTACAATATATGTAAATCACCACATCAAAATTTTCTCATATAAAAAACTTAGGGGGGAAATTCTGAGTTATTTTATTAAACACATTTAAAAATAAATCTATCAATCCCAAGAATATTTAACCCCCCAACTTCATAAAATACCACTTGAGGAACTTCCTGGCAAAAACAATTCAAATCCATTGGAAAAATAAGTTAATAATCATAATTCTATTTAAGTACAAATTATATTTAACAACTCCTATTGTCATGCTTAACTGTTATTTCAATCCCACAAATATTTATAATTTACTTATTCAAGTAATTAAAATTGCTTGACTATATAGTTTATAATTCCCTCACAGAATTTCACTGCATTACAATGTTAATATTATGTTTTGACTAAAAATATGCTATCTATTAATAATTTCAAATATAAACATTTTTTTAAAACTTACCTCCAGCATCTAAAATCCTTTTTCCCATACTGTTCCTATGAATCAAAATAACAGATTATGTACTAGGCTAGTATCAATTAAAGAGAAAACCCATATTTTGCCGGGGGGGGGGCTTCACTAAAATTTACAGTTGGCTAGTATCACACATTTTCAAAAAATATATCCATAAATTATATTAGAAAGCTAAAACAGTTGTATCAGTTTTAATTATTAATGCAACTCGGTTGCCTTATTGCCTTATAAAACATCCTTTAAACTCTTGACTTTAACCACTAATTAAAGCAATACAGTACAAATAATTACATGAGAATTAACATTTCTTGGGTCAAGAGTATTTTCCTGGCATCTTGAGGCATTTTGTCAAGCATAGCATTCATTTTTTTTAGAGTCTAGAAAAGAAAAAAAAGATAATTCTTAAATATTTAGAAAAATATTCTAGGTACATAAACTTAGAAACCCATTTTTTTAATCATAGCACTTTATGCATGGAATGGAGAAGGGTAGGGGAAAGACTATGAAGTATAAAATAGTTAATATAAAAAACATGAAACAATGTCAAAAAAAGAATATGCTGTGATTTCTATGCTTAAAACAGTTATATTCTTCACAATATGATACAAATGTACACACATGTACACACTATTACAGGTTATTTTAGCATTTAAATGGTTAAGAACTCCTAATGTCTGAATGGTATAATACATTTCCATACGAACCGTACGTACACATAAGCCCATACAGTTACAAGTTTTCAGTAAATGTTAGGTAACACATTCTCACGGCAGGCACTGAACAAGAGTACATATATACTACACGATAAATAATTTAGTGCCAAGATGCAAATATTATTCAATTTGATAAATTGCTAGCAAATTTTCTTCATTTTCTCATTTTTAGGTTTCAAAAGAAAATCTAACAAAGACTTTACCTCCTGCTGGATACAAATATTCACTCTTGAGTCTATAACCAGGGCACAAATTCGAGGTATGAAACTTTCCATTACTTGCTTTTTACCTGAATAAAAGTGTTAAAATTATTGATAACTGTGTATTTTAAATTCCTTTAAGTGACAAGCTTCACTTCTATGAGCGAATGTAAAGGAAGTACTGGTTCGGTTTAGAAGGCCCACGGGACTCACCTGGACATCAGGAAGCATAAAGTTCCGTCCTGGTTCGGTACTAACTAGCTATGCGGCTCTGAATAAAAAAACCACTCAACACACGTGACTGATCTCAATTCTGGCAAAGGAATCCAAATCCAGCTTCTCCCTTCAGGCACATAACGCACTTTTGCGCATGAAATACATATACTTCAAAAGTGGAGACTTCTGGAGTGGGGTTTTTGGAAAGCTGGCCCCATTAGTAGTCATGCTCAAAAACTCCGTAACAGCCACCGATCTCGCTCCAACTCATGACGGTCTGAATATCTGGAGCTATTTCTAGGAGTCAACCCTATTCCCAAAAGACTAGGCTTTATCAATACTAAACATATTCAAAGGAATCTTCCACATGCTATCCCATAATACAAATTTAAAAATAACTTTAAATAATGGCAATACTATAACAGAACCTTCCAAAGTGACCACATTAAAAAAATCACTTGATTAGGGGAAAAGATATGATAATTTACTTAAAAAAAAAAACAAACCCTGTTTGATCACTTTATAGTCACTGGTGGTTTAAGACTGTTTTTCCCCTAAAAATGTACGATTTCAGAATATATTATGCTAATTGCACAGAAATCATTGAAAAAGTAGCATTATTACTATTGAAATAGAAAGCAATTGATCTTTAAAACTTTTTGGCTTTGAAGGCAGCAAAAAGCAGCTGTTTCTTTATTTATAAATAATTCACCAGCCTTAATTACCAATCCTAGGTGATTCTTTCTCAAGCAACACAGAGATAAAGTAAGTCGGAGGGACTGCTAACCACTAGACACTGACTAGCCGTAAATGAAAGGAAGAGTTGTAACATGTCCTACATTCTCAGTGTACTATTGAAAATTTTGTTCCATTGGCTCGAGGGTTGGCAAACTGTGCCCCACGAACTAAATCCAACTCACTGCCTGTTTCTGTATGGCTGTATTATTCATTAGCAAGTGCTCTGTGAAATTATTTGAATTTATCATGTTTTATTGAACCAGCAGTGTCAAGGTGAATTTTATTCATTTTCATAAACTTAGTCCTCATCAGTTACCAGTGAACAACTCTGGTAAATAGCTTGCACTGCAGAGGTGATAATTTTTTCAATGAATTCATCCCAAAATTACAAGGCAAAATCACACTGCATGAGAACTGTGCACTTCAGTAAAGTTGCTTCAATGAAACTAAAGTTATCTAGATCGCAAGTCCTGCCAAGCTGCCTTCTGTCCTCCCTAGGGTGTCGAGTTAGTGACATCTCCATTCCCACACCAACTGACAGGGGCTGTATTTCCTTCAAGTGCCATCTGTGGGTCCAGCAGCGTTTTTGGACACTGAGGTAAGTGCAAGAGAAAATTCCCTTGTGGCAAACTATTTAATTGTGTAATTGAGGAGCTTCACCTAACCTTCAATCAACAGTGATTAATCTGCAATACAATGGCATTCTAAAAGGCAAATATTAATAAGAGAAACTAATATAACTCTATAAATGCTTTCCAAGTGATGAATATGTTCAATTAAAAATCATGCTTTCAAATTGGTATCAGTATTTGTCATTATCTGCATGAAAAGACATTTTCTAATGCAATATAAATAAAATTTCATCACAGATAAGCATCAACAAATGAACATTTGTAATCAATTTTGACAAAAGCAAAAACTAACTTTGCACCTGAATAGGTGAAATGTCATCTCCTCAAAAGAGTGCTGTTTTCCTTATTAGTATACCCACATTACAAAAACATTGTACTCAATCATTATGTTTTGAATTGCATCGATAAAATATTTGTGGAAATTTGTTTTCTTTCTTGTTATCCTCTATTTTTCTTGGCCCACAAAACTTAAAATATTTATTATCTGGCCCTTCACAGAAAAAGTGTATTGATCCCTGAATTAGATAATGAATTTCTAATATTAGGAAAACACTATGATAATTGCAAAATTATACTAAAACTCTAACTGCAAATTATTGTTCCACAGAAATAAAATGTTTATTATACCTTCATCATTGACGTCATATATGACCTGAAAAGTAAGTGAATAATATTTAATTTATAGTTTACTATCACATCATAAACCATTATAAATATTATCAAAATAACATTAAATTTGAACTCACCACATAATTATTTAACTTTTATATATTAACTAATTATTTAATTACACTACTCAGGATAAATGTTTTATACAATCTGAACAGGTTAATCCAACCAAGTCACAAACCAATCTTCCAGTGACTTTTAGGCTCAAGGCATATAGGACACATATTGTTTTTAAATAAACCCATGCTTCATAACATCAGTTAATCAATGGATTTTACCATCAAAAGATCAAGTAAGTCTTCTATCATATTTGTAAGAGCTTCATCTTTTGAATTTCCTCGACTCAGAAGTATCTCCTTGGATTTTTCAAACCAGGAAACCATGTAAAGAAAAATGTATATACTAATCACTTTGAATTCAATTGTGAGAATGTACTTATCTATCAGTATAAATAGTAATCCTTGGAATAAAGAAGTAGCAAAAATAAAAAAAGTCCAGTATTATATCAAAATAAATTTATGCTTTTAACCATCATTATTGTTCTGGGTTTTGGTAACTCACTATATTTTCCCATTGTTTAAATAGGAATGAAGTTAATCCTAATTCTAGGTATAGAAGACCTTTATTTCCCCCTTCAAATACCTAGTTCAAGTACACTCAAATAATAAGTGAAAATAAATTATCACAAGTTAGATTACTTTAGCATTGTTACTATGGGAAAATTTTTGGTATTTTTTATGTTCTATTAATTCTGATAGTTTGAGCGTAAATGACATCTCAGACACTGTTCTTGGCACTGGGTATATTGCAATGAAGAAAACAAATAAAACTCAATATCCTACATTCTAGCATGGCAGACGGACAATAAATATTACAAATTAATAAAGTCAAATAGTGACTAAGATAAGCTAAAGAGAAAATGAAGTAAGGGCCCTAAGGATCTCATGACCCTAAATTCACATGATTATCGAGGAGCCTGTGCACAGCTTCCTTGTGACCTTTATCTTTGTAACACCTGTTACAGGTTATACAGATAGTTACTTCATCTCAAAGTTTTACATGAACCCCCCATATTTATTTTCAACAGCTGGTACCATTTATCTTATTAGAAAGCACACCTGTAATCATATTTCCCTCACATGAACGTTACACATTCTATACTTATCTTTTGGACTAGTCCTTGTTTTATTAAAGTTAGAAGTCCAGCTTGCCCCAATATACTGATATTTCTGCCACATCTTCCAAAAGAAATGAAAATGATTGAAACAGTTTGGATATCCTTTCTATTAAGTTCCTAAAATGAAAAGCATACATTTAAACATCTGTTAACACAAAATAGCATGGAACTGGCATTGTGCTAGAAGCTTTATAATCCTCACACACCCTAAAAGTTAGCCATTATCATAATCTTCAAGAATAACAGACAAAAATGTGGTTTAAAAAATGCCTAAAGCCAGTGAATGACAAACTCAGTACAAAAATGCAGAGCTGTATACATTCAAGAAACTTTAGACTATGATGCAAAGTTAACCTTCCAGTTCTAGAAAGTTCCATGTATCTAAGATACAATAAGGCAAATCTCAAATACTGATTTTCAATAATCACATTTCTCACCTATGAAACTGCCTTACATATGATAAATCAAGTCCAAGGTTTTGGACAATTTTTTAAAAGTGTTTGTAAGCACCAAGCATTGTCCATAGAACATGAAGAATATGCTGATAGTTTATTAAAAATAGGTCCAGTTGTTCATTTATTTTTATGTTAGTGTTTCCATTACCATTTACTCCCCCACACCCTCCTCCACCCCAGTCACCACACTGCTGTCACGTCCATGAGTTCTTTCTCTCAAGAACAGATCCAGTTATTTAAACTCCAAACAGTTAACCTATTTTCCCCAAACAGTAACTCTGTGAACACAGCTATTTGTATATTGTATTTAGAAAATGGTCCAATATGCTATTTGGAGCTCATCAAATAAAAAATTAAGAAAAGGAAGTGGTAAAACAAGCACTTATTTATATAATTACAAGCAAGCTTGCCAAAGCTTTTTTTTCATGTCTTCCAATGGAATGCTTCTGCCTCAAAAAAAGACTGCTATATAAAGATTTTAACAATCATTCAACAAAAATAAATATTTACCCTGCATATAAGGTCATCCAACTTGTGGAAAAACTGTTTGCTGCATTTAATCTTCACATCTTCACAAATATCTATTTGTAAAAGTGTTTTCAAAGGTCTGAAATCATTTTTTCTTAAAGCATCATCAATGCATTTTTCCAACTGCTACAGAAATACAGATAATGGGCACATATATTGAATCAAAACCAAAATTAGTCACCTTAAGCAATCTAGTAATTTGAGAATTGTTTTCACATCAACATTCCCAGAAGGGCTTATATAATATTTTTTTAAAAACTGCCCACTCTTAAATTTGGAATAATGTAATTAATTAATTAAGTTTCTTTGACAAGACTCTATATAGGAAAAAAATATATTTTACTAATTTCTACCTCATGTCTTAAATTGGAAAGTCATTATTATGTTGAATTCAACAAAAATCTGTTAATGAAAGAAGTAAAATAAACTTTGTAGTAAATAATCGATAATACCATGGATAAAGCCTTAACATATCTACCAACTTCTTAATGAGGTTTAAATAGTAAAAAAGGAAAAAAGTTGCATAAAGACAGATAAAAGCACTATTTAGAAACTATACCAACCAGTATGACTTCAGCATTTATATATATAATGTATTATATTACAGGTGCACAGCCATGTGCCTCATAACGAGGTTTGGGTCAACAACGACCCCACACACGTATACAATGGTAGTCCTGTAAGATAATGTAGCCGAAGTGTCCCTGTTGCCTAGTGACATGGTAACCACTGTAACCTCATATGACAGGCAGCGCATATACACAAACCTACTACACTGCCAGTCATAAAGTTGCGGCACATGCAGTTACGCACAGGACACGGTACTTGATGATGGCAATAAACGACTACGTTACTGGTTTATGTATCTCCTGTACTATACTTACTGCCTTCGAGTACACTCTGTCTCCTTAGAGACGTCCGCTGTGAAACAGGGCACCCTCAGGCCTGCGGCAGCCTCACACGCCCCTGTTCACCGCATCTCCCGACTGCACCGTTTTCTCTCCGTCTGACCTCACCTCGGGTTGTCTGTGGGTTTATCGAGCCCGAGTGCACACGTCTGTCAAGTCTGCACCAGTGGTGCTGTAACACCCCACTCACCCACTGACTCGCTCAGACCCTGCAAGCTCCACTCAGTGTCTTTAGAGCTGTACAATTTCCCACCTTTTGTGCCATGTTTTCACAGCAACTTCTCTGTATTTGCATACACTAATACTTACCACTGTCTTATAACTGCCTTAAGCACTCAGTACAGCAACGTGCTGTAAGGTTGTGGCCTGGGAGCCCCAGGCGCGGGGCCACGTAGCCTAGGGTGTAGCAGGCCCTACCGTCCAGGTCTGTGTAAGTGCATGTGAGGTTCGCACAACGGAAGTGCCTAACGATGCCTCTCTCGGAAAGCATCATTAAGCAGTGCATGACTGTATAACCTTTATAAAATCTGCATCCCTAGTATTAATGTGAACATCATTAATAAGGAACTTTCATACTACAGTCAGATCACCAGGCTTGGGTGTGAACTGCACAGAAGTTAAATAGCTAAAACCTACTGTTTACCTAAATGAAATATCTTACAATTTTAAAGCTTGATACGATAATACCCAGGTATAAGTTTTACACATGATTCAGCGCACTATTCTTTTCATTGTAAAAGATATATAGCTATAGATATGTGTAATTAGCATCTATATTTTACATGCTTTTAATATAGATTTTAAAACAAACTATTGAAAAAATGAAAAGATAACATTTTAATTTAAATTATTCTCCTCTGTCCACTTCATGAAAACAAGAAAGCTTGTCTTTCCTAAAAATATAGCACTTAATGCCTGTAAATAAACACACAGTGACTTAGGAACTAAAATATTTGCTTTTGGTCCAGAACTACATACCTGGAGATCTGGTCTTATTGGCATTTTGACTTAATTTAAAGTGGCAGGTCAAAACAAACACCTATAAAAGAAAACATACACTTTCTGCATCTTATAGTCTGTTCTACATATTTACAGTTTACAAATCTTAATACTGTATGCATAAATAAGCACTGCTGCTTATTTTAAAAATATATATATAAAGTAGTGCCCTAGCTGGTGTGCCTCAGTGGATTGAGCGCAGGCCTGCAAGCCAAAAGGTCACCGGTTCGATTCCCAGTCAGGGCATATGCCTGGGTTGTGGGCCAGGTCCCCAGTTGGGGGTGTGCGAGAGGCAACCAATCAATGTTTCTCTTCCTCTCTTTCTCCTTCCCTCTGTGCTCTCTAAAAATAAATAAATAAAATCTTTTTTAAAAAAGTAGTGGGCTGACAACAGTTAAATAGCCAAGAATTTTCCCAAAGTAAATATAAATGTTCACAAATTAAAAGAGTCCAATGCATTGCAAGGAAGATAAATAAGAAAAAAGTATATCTAGACACATTGTGAGGACATTCCTGAACAAGAATAAAAGGGAAAATTTTAAGTCACCAGAGCAAAAACAAACAGAAGCATGCAAGTGATTCTCAAAATAGCTGATATTTTGAGAAGAGAAACAAAACATAAAAACCTTTAGCTAGAGGTACCAAGAAAAAGGAAGACCAGGGACACTAATAAAATTGTAAATGAAAGAGGAGACATCATCACAACTGATATCACAGGAACACATAGGAGCATAAGAAACTATAATGAATAATTATACTCCAACAAGTTGGACAGCCTAGAAGAAATGAAAACTACAAGAAACATCCAACCTATTAATACTGAATCGATCATAAAGTAATAGAAAACCTGAACAGACCAATTACAAAAGGAGATCAATTCAATAATCAAAAACCTCTCAGCAAATAAAAAGCTCATGACCAGATGGCTTCACTGGTGAATTCTGCCATACATTTAAAGAGCTACACCAATCCTTCTCCAACTCTTCCAAAAAAAAATAGAAGGAATATTTCCAATTTTTTAAGAAGCATCACTACCGTGATACCAGAGTCAGAGCAAGGATGCTACAAGAAAAGAAGTTACGAAGTTCAAGATGAAAAGTTACAAAGCACTGAAAGAAAAAAGTGAAAACTAGAATTTTATAGCCAGCAAAGATACTATTAAAAAATAAAGGGAAGAATCATCTCATTTGATACTAAAACACCACAAAGTCACGATTACTAAAAAAAGTATTAAGAATAGAAAATAGGCACAAGAATCGATAAAAAACAGAATTCAAGTGCATACCACCCAAGCACATATTGAAAGCTCATATGAGTAAGGTTTTTGCATATCAGAGGGGAAAAGCAAACTGGTTAATAAATGGTATGAGGAAATTAACTCACCACATGGAAAAAAATAAAATTAAACCTCTAACTCCCAGCATCCACAAAAATAAACTCTAGATGAATTAACTACCTAATGTAAAACGATAATGTTTAAGAACTATTAGAAGAAACTACAGGGGCATATCTCTCAGACTTTACAATATGGGAAGATGTAAGACATAAAATGCACAAACCATGAAAAGTAACAGGAAGTTTTTGGACATCACTGTCTCTCTTACACTCGCACATGCGCGACCTTGTTAAGCAGCACACAGGACTCTCCAGTCCCTCAGCCCCAGCACTGGGTACAGTCCAGCACGTCCTAGGCCCGTGAAGACGACCTTCACGCTCGTAACTCAGGCCACCCGGCCCCAGGGAGACACTCCCCACGCCTGTGCCTCTGAAAGAAGGGAACTGCAGTTAGCTACGCTGTTTTCTGTATTTCGTGTATGACAGAAATCTCCCCAAATAAAAACAAGCTTAAAGAATTTCAGGGGTGGAGGGAGCCTAAAACAATGCTGAGCAGGCTGGAGGTTGTGCCGACTCTGACGTTTTACTCTTCGCTTTGGAATGGAGCTGCAGTCGGAGCAGTCTAAGTGCTCTCGGGAAAGAGAAAAGGCAGTAATCAACTGTCAAATCCCTCCTCTGGCAGAGTTCACAATCGATTCTTGCATCAGGAAGAATTGCTTCTTAATAATGCCAAAGGTCCAATTTCTTTTCTTCCTATTCCAACTTGTGGCGCAGGAAGCACTAGCAACTTTGTGTTCAGTATTTGCAACAGTTGCACAGAGTGATTCAGGAATATTTGTAGTTCTAAGCAATTCCTATTATTCTATAATTTGTATCTATGTAAATCTAGACAAAACAGCATGAACATGATATGGACTCTTCAAAAAAATGGCAGCTAGATGGCAAGCAAACACTAGAATGGTGATTAAGCTTACTTTTATAAAAATATTTAACAAGCCCTGGCTGGTGTGGCTCAGTGGATTGAGCACCCACCTGAGAACCAAAGGGTACCTGGTTCAATTCCCAATCAGTGTACTTGCCTGGGTTGCAGGCCAGGTCCCGAGTAGGGGGCTCGCAAGAGGCAACCAAACGTTGATGTTTCTCTCCCTCTCTTTCTCCCTCCTTTCCTCTCCCTCTAAAAATAAAGAAATAAAATCTTTAAAATATTTAATAAGATTTACTTATTCAGCAACAAATAATTTTAGTGTTATTAAGACAATTTATATTAATGTTTAATAATAGTTTTTTACCTTAATTTTCAATCTTTTAATATTTTAGGGAATTTTTAAGAAAAACACTTTTGTGCTTATTTCATGTTTTGATACAAATATATTCAAGTTAGTATATTTTGAATGATCACATATCATTTTAATCCTTAAATCAGTCAATAGAACATAAAATAAGTAAAAGTCTTGATGACATATTCACTGATTTTGCTAAAATGAAAAAATTATGGTATACTAATTTCTGAACTATGTAAGTCATTATTTTATTACATATCCAAATTCACCAGTCCGTCAGCAAATATACATAAATGCATTCATTTTTCTTTGATATTTCTCCAACACTCGGTCATAAAAATAGCTTTACATATATTTTTTACTCTGAAGCAATGATGGTGTATTTATGAGACTGAAGACTAGAACACTTTATTTCGATTTTAAAACATTAAAATTTTAAACACACTGCATAAATGAGTGGAACAACAAATAGATGTCTCTCCCTTCCTCCATCTCTGAAATCAATAAATAAAAACAAAACTTAAAAAAACCAACTTAATGGCATTTTCGAAATGTGTCGACTAGATAGTACTCTTCGCCTAGAGCCAGTGGCTGTTGGCGCAGGCCCTCACCGCTGAAGGAGTCTGAATTCGAGTGTAGTTCTCAAAGCGCTCCGAGGCAAGAAGTATACAGCACAGGCGAATTACCCGTGGCCAAGAGGCACGTGGAGCTAAGGAGTTGGCTTAGTTTCTACGTCTACCCGTGCGCAAGAAGTCAGCAGAAGGAAAGGGGAGTTCCGTGTCTGCACGAGCAGGTCTCTCTGAGCGGGGAGAGCGAACAGTCCCGTCACCCCTCCCGCCCCACCCCGAAGGCTGAACTCCCCAGAGGCGAACACGTAGCACCCGTCCGTACTGTCCGTTCGAGGCGTCACACCTGCGCGACCCCAAGGGAAGGCTACCTCCAGGAGCAAACAAGCGACACGTTTATCTTCTCGCCGTCACGAGCTCACAAGCGTCCGCCCGAAGCCCCGAAGCACCGTGTCACGGCGCCAGGAACAGCGCGGGACGACGCAGGACACGCAGCACGGAGACATTTTTCCAGAGGGCCGGGCTTTGTGTCACCAGGCAGGGTCTGGGCTCGGGTCTGCTCGCAGGCAGAGCGGAGGACCGGCGCGAAGACGAACGTGCCCAGGCACGCGGAAGAGAGGCCGGGGTTTAAAAAGGCCTAAACAGCCTGGCGGATGGGGGAGGCACACTGTCCCTCGGGGGCTGAACGAATGCAAGCGGCGGCAGACCGACTCGAGGCCCCCGCTGCCGCCCTACACTTCCGCATGTAAATGAGAGGCCAACCCGGGGGAAGGGGAGGCGAGAAACAGCATCTTCTGTATCGGCGGAAATGTTAACGCACCTATTGAATAAGACACTTGTAATGCCCACCCCTGAAATTCAGCACTGAGGTCCATTTCATTTGTATCATTTTTCGGATACAGCAGGACTCAAACAGTGGAAAAGACGAGCCCAAGCAGACAAGCTCAGGCACAGGAAGACAGCGGGGGCAGGGGGCGGGGCCGAGGTAGGGGCGGGGCCGAGGTAAGGGCGGGGCCGAGGTAGGGGCGGGGCGGGGCGAGGCAAGGCATGGGGCGGGGGCGGGGCCGGGGTGAGGGCGGGGCGGGGCCGGCGTGGGGCGGGGCCGAGCAGGGGCGGGGTTGAGGCGGGGCGGGGCCGGCGTGGGGTGGGGTGGGGCGGAGCGGGGGCGGGACGGGGTTGAGGCGGGGTCGAGTTGAGGCGGGGGGCGGGGTGGGGCGGGGCCGGCGTGGGGTGGGGCCGAGCGGGGGCGGGGCAGGCGTTGGGGCGGGGGCCGGTGTCGGGCGGGGCCGGCGTGGTGTGGGGTGGGGCCGAGCGGGGGCGGGGCAGGCGTTGGGGCGGGGGCACTCAGTCTTTTCTCAAATGCGCGTCCCCCCGTTTCCAAAGCTACCCTGTGGGTAGCGGGGAAGGGGCCCTGGACCCGCCTTGGCCCTCCACCCTGACGCCACAACCACAAGCCCTGCCGAGCCGGCCCGCGCGGTTTAACCCGCGTGGCGGTTCCGGGCTACACCGCCCGGACACCGCGAGGGCTCGCGGCCTCGGTCGCCCCCGACCACGCCGCTCCTGACCGCCGTCGCCCCCGCCCAGGACACCGGGCGGAGCCGGCGCTGCGCGGACCGCCCCTCGTTTCCCCAGGCCCCCGCGTCTCGCGCGAAGCGCGCACCGTCCTCCGGACACCAGGCCGTGGCCCACTGCCTCAGGCCCGACGCCGCGCCGGCGGGGCCGTGCCCACCACGGCTCCTTCGCCGCGGGACCCGACAGCCAGCCCGCCTCCCTCCGGGCGCCCCGCCGCCAGAGGCGCCCCGCCCACGCGCCCGGCCCCACCTGCCGGCTCTCGGGGGGCATCCGCGGTAAGCCTCGAAGCCAACGATCGCCGGGCGTCGCGCCTCAGCGCCTCAGCCGCCGCGGCGGTATTTGAGCCGGCCGACTAAAGGTGGGAAGCGCTCGTCCAATCAGCGCCACGTGCGGCCCGCGCCGCGTCCAATCAGGGCGGCCGCCCGGCCGAGCCCCGCCCCCGCCCCGTGCCCTCGCGTGCGCAGGGCCGCACGAGGCCCGAGCCGAGGTGCCGCGGTGGGCGTGGCTCGGGTCCTCAGGAAAGTGGGCTTCCGGGTCCGGGACCCCACCCCAGCCCCACCCCTGCCTCCTGCCCGCCCCGCTGTGAAGGCCGCTCCCCCCCCCACGGCCCTGCCGCTAGGGGCGCCAGCGTTTCTTTCCCTCCCCCCCCCGCCCCCCGTGGTGCGAACGTGCCCCAGCGCCCCGGCTGGACGCCGGACGGAAGGACTGGTGGGCCCGAGGAGACCCCCGGGCTCTCCCCACGACCGCCTCGGAGGCCTGGACGGGGCGGAGTGACGCGGAGGCACCAGCCGAACCTGCGAGGATGCGAGGACCGTGCTCCCTTTACAGAGTTCCACGCTGCCGGCCAGCAGAGGGCAGCAGAGTCGCGCCCGGGCGGGTCCCGGCCGGCCGCAACGCCTAACCGCCGCAGCCCCGCCCCCGGCTTCCGGCCGGACACGCCCCCGTCAGTCAAGCTCCCGCCGGCCACGCCCCCTCCAGCCAACTGCCACGCCCGGGCCGGCCCTATCCCCGCCGGCTGCCGCTCCGCAAGGCCGTCGCCCCCGCGGCTCTGCTGCCGGGGTTTCCTAGAAACGGGTGCCGCCTCCTTCAACAGCCGGAACCCAAGACCCCTGGAGGAAATTAGACCGAGACCGCCTGGGCGTGGTACTTACCGGGTGGGATCGGCGGTGTATTCCAGGCTTTTTACAGTGTTTCCATCCAAACCACCCGTTTAAGTGATAAAAGCAAGGATGCTTGTTGCGTGAGATAGACGATCGGTTCAGAAATGGATGCAGCAGATACTCCAAAAATTAAAAATAGTGATTTCTCACCTTGCCTGCCACTTCGTAGTAGAGAGGTTAGTCCTTTTATTGTTTCACGGGTTCAAAAAGCACAGGAATTGTTTACATAAACATCACCGAACTATCTATCACAAGGAAGAAAAAAAAAGCCACTCATTTTTTTTAATTTGAATTGTTTTAAAATAGATTTTTAGGTGATGGTGTTAGCTGGGAAAAAAAAAACGTTATCATCATCAAAGCCCGTCTCGGGTGTAGGTTTCCATGCTGACTTTGCTGTCTGCCAGCTGCGGGATTTTAGGTGAATGGGTTAAACCCCTCTGAGCTCCACTCGCTTCAAACTAAGAAAAGTGGGGAGACTACCTACCAGGTGGTGCAATTTTCAGGATTAAATGAAATCCAATGCAGCACCCAGCACCGTGGGCAGGCAAACGAGAGAGGACACAATAAATGTTTGATTCCTCTCCCTGTGTGCAACAAGGCTTTATCCTCGAGTCCCAGTCGGGGCAGGCAGGTAGACACCAGCCACTCCACACACGGGACCCAAGACGCAGTGTAAAGGAACGACAACACTGTCCCACCCCCTGCCTTCCTCTGGCCGGGGTGTCCAACCTTTTGGCGTCTCTGGGCCACACTGGAGGAAGAGTTGTCTTGGGTCACCCATGAAATACATTGCAACAGGTCATCACACACAAAAAAACCCACCCCATGTTTTGAGGAAATGTACGCTGTTGTGTTGGGCCGCATGCATAGGCATCCTGAGCTGCGCGTGGACTGTGGGCTGCAGGTCGGACGCCCCTGCTAGAGTTTTTTTCACACCTGACTTGGCACCAGTGATGGTATTTCACTTTCTTAAAGACATAGGCACCTGTGCTACTGAAACTGAGGTACCAGCACACTATATACATATGTATGTCTCTCTATATTTATATACATATATAAATGTACATATACATGTATGCCTAATGTATATATAAATATTTGGCAAGGCACTAAATTTGACTGTTGTAGGATGAATAAGACTTAACTGTGAAATGATTTAAACAAGAGGTTTCTAATACCTTGTTTCTGTAATATGGAGACAAGAAAAACTCATTCCAGCTACCAATTTGAGCATATATAATTTAATTTTAGGCCTGGGTGAAATCATCTTAAATGGCAGACATTAAAATGTGTTTGGGGAGACAACAATTTTCACATTGCACTACAAAATGCGAACATCTAATCCACGTAACTGGGTTTCAGGGTGTGAAAGTTCTTGTTAAACTGAACCTGATAATACAAGGCAAGTGCATTTAAGCTTTTAAATTAAGAAATGTTGATGGTTTTAAAGGCACCCTGAGGTTCTCTTAATACTGGTGATACAATGTTTACTTTATACCCCACGAGCAGAACCTTTCTGGCGAGTGACTTTCACACGGATTGGAAGATTCCCTACGTGCCTTCCTTTATACAGCAGTACTTTGGCAGCTCTAAGCTCTGCGTGTGAATACTCAGGGTCATTGTCTCGCGCCCTGGGCCCGGGCCAAGGGCATAGCGTCCAGGGCTCTCACGGGCGTGCCAACCTAACTGGACAGCTCCTTACACAACAGGAAATGCAAGCAGGCCTCTCTCTCGCGCGCATGTCAATGCGGTGCCCTGAGCTGACAGCCGAAGGCTGCTCACCTCCATCGCAGCACTTGAAACCAAAATCCCGCATTCTCACATCGGAAGGCACTCCCTCCAGGTCAGAAAGCTTCCTCCTTGGACTTGTAAAGACACAAAAGTCGCCACCGCAAAAAACAACTTGGTCAAAAGGCAAAACGCATCCTCCTCACACCGACTGAAGAAATGTCAACGAGCGTTGAAAAATTTAGAGTTAACTCCTTGGTGACAGCTGTCACGAAACTGTACGCTGGCTCCGGCGGTATCATCGCTGAACCCCGCCAGTTGCGGGCCTTGCCCCCGGGGCTGGGTTTCCCCACATCAGCACCAGCACCTGCTGTCGGAGAAGACCACTGCTGAGCGCCCAGGGACAGCACCCGCCCCTTGCCGGCGGTTCGAAGTCGCTGTAGCTCTCTGCGGAGGACAACGGCCTCGGCTTCTCGGTTGGCGATTTTTTCTTTACAAAGGAAAAGCATTTAGCACTCTAAAACTGGGAAGCCAATCCAGACCATGTTAGACACTCCCTGACCTGAAGTCACAAATAAAGTTGGCAGGTAGCCGAGAAAACCAGGCGTGTATAAATGCCATTTAAAACCATTAAAAAGAATAAATATTTGTGATTTCTCTTTCCTTAGTGCTCTCTGGCTGTTGCTGAAAACACCTACATCTACTTGGTGCCGTGACTGCTGAAAGGTGCCCGCTGGGACCCCCTGACACTTAAGGAGACGCAAGAAGCCATCTGAATCATAAAAAGGTAATTGAAAAGGACACGGTTGCCTGAAAGTCCATAGAGTCGCCTGGAAATTTGAATAACTTGAGGCAGAGTTTCTCACCACGTTTAGGCAGTTCCAAACCGAACCAGAATGGCCCGGATCCATGCAGATACGTGTCACCCAGCCCGCACCAGAGAGACAGACACATGAAGCGAGAGACCTGCAGAGAAGGAAAGGTTTAAGCTGCTCCCTCTTTCTCGGCTGTGATGTAGGGGGCGCACAGCCTAACCAGGGCAGGCTGGAGGCCTCGGAATGGTTGTGTGATGACTGATGAGGCATAAATTTCCTGCCTATTAATAGTTTCCCACCGTGAGAGGTCCCCAGACACTGGCAGCACACGTGGTCTCAAGTTTTCCTCGTCCCAGAGCAGGAACGCCTCAAGGGACCGTGAAGGGGATCACACTGGGGCACAGATACGCAAGACCGATTTTTTCTTTTAGCTTATTAAATCCAGGATGTTCCCGAGAAGGCATCCGTTAGGAGTCAAAGTCCCAGCGTCACAATGATAATAAATAATAGCTACGTTCCCGGAGACCCAGGCACGACACGTGCAAAAGCGTCAGGCCTTACTAGCAGGAGCACGCAGGCCTGTCCCCCAAACCCAGCCGGAGCCCCTCCCAGAGAGCCCGTCGCTCCCCCGCATCTGCCGCCCAGCACCCCTCCCCCAGCGAGTTACACACTCCGCCCTCTGGCCACCTGAGGCTACTTTTTACACCAGGCGACACAGATATCTCGAGTAGACGACAGGATGGCCACCGTCAGGGAACCGTGCAGCAGGACGTGAGGTCAGACTTAGGTTTGGGGATGGGGTATATACAGGTCAGAGCCGCGGCCTCTTCCCCGAGGGCCCAGCTGGGCAGGCACCGCGGGCGCGGGCAGGGGGCAGAGGCGCCGGGCCCCAGGCCGCGCCGCTCAGATGAAGTGGATCCAGCTCTCTTCGCACTCCCCGCGGGGCATGTGCAGCTCGTGGTTGCGGCAGGTGAGGCTGTAGTCGCGGCCGCCGTTGTTGTCCCAGTGCTCGGCGCCGGCCACGCGGTAGCGCAGCGCGAAGTGCACGCGGGAGCCCAGAGCCAGCAGGAAGGGCGGCACCGGGAAGCCGAAGGCGAAGACGTCCTCCGTGCCCTCGGAGCCCGCGGGTCCGCGCCACCTGGCAACCGCCTCGTGCGTGCTGCGCCACTCGGAAAAGGTGTAGCGGACCGCCACCTGCTTCTCGAAGGCCACGTTGCGCACGCGCACCGTGCCACTGACGCCTAGGTCGGAGCAGGTGACGCGCTCCAGGCACACCAGCTGCCGCCCCAGGCGCTCGCCGAAGTCTGCGGCCTCGACGGGCGGCGGGAAGTCGGGCACCAGGCACTGCAGGGTGAACTCCAGGTCCTGGCGGCTGCAGCACAGATCCGAGTTGATGGCGAGCCGCGACAGCACGTGCAGAGGCACCGACGGGTCGTCGCCCGCGTTGAACACCTTGACTTGGGCCAGCTCCAGGCCCAGGGCGTCGGCGAAGCGCACACGGTGCTGCCGACTGCAGCCCCGACGGCACGCAGCGCCGGGGGCGCCCGCAGCCTTCTGGCGCCGCTCGGGCGAGCTGGGGAGCGAGTGCGCCCGCCGCTGGATGATGGGTCGCAGGCTGGGGTCGCAGCCTGACGGTGCGGACGGCGGCGGCGGCGCGCGTCCCGGGATCCCGGGGGGCCGGCAAGGCCGCCGCTGCGGGGCTGCGCTGCCGTCCAGGTCCGAGAGGCTGCTGAGGCTCCGCAGGGCGGTCTTCCGGGACCCCAGGGCGCGGGGCAAGTCTGCGGAGCCCGAGCCTGCGGACATGGCCCGGCCGGCCCCCGGGTGTAGGGGTAGGGGTCCGAGGGTCAGCCTCCGACCCCGCCTCCGCTACCCTGGCGGCGTCCGCGGCGGCGCTCAGAGGTCCCCGGCCGCCCGCCGGAACTGCAGCCTGGAGGAAGCCCTGGGGCCTGCTGCGCTCCCCGCTCCTCTGCCGCTGCGCCCCTCGGGCTCGCCCCCAGATCTCCCGTTGCTTGCCGCGGAACAGAGCCTGTTTCCCGAGAGATGAGAGCTGTCTCCAGGGCAAGCCTCTCGGGGCCGCCCGGAGAGCGCGGGGTGACACCTCCTCTCGCCTCCCAGAGGTTCTTACGGGGAGGCTGCGCCCGTGAGGCGGCCCCTCCCACCTCCCCGGTCCGCGACGTTACTTACGCGGCTGCAACTTGTTCGGATGCAACTTCCCGGTGAGCCTCCGCCCCGCCCCTCGTGACGCCGCCCGGGCGCGGGCTCGCGCGGGCCGGAGCGCAGGCGGGGAGCCCGGCCGGGCGCGCGCTCACAGCGGCGCGCAGCGGAACGGCCTCCCGCCCCGGCGGCGCCGGGAAGGAGGGCTGGCGGCCTCGTCACGTGTCCTCGGCGATCGAGAAACAGGTCTGATCAATTTCTGTCTGCGTCTGCCTGGCCCGCGCGCCTATCGATCGTAGATCGGTGTCTGCACAAACGGAAGACATGGAGAAATGCATGCTGCGGGTCCCCGGATTCCTGGGTTACGGGGGCGGGGCGGGGGGGTTGCGGGCGCAAAGACCGGCCTTTCCAGGGGCTGGTCCTCTGGCTCCTGTTGAGCCTCTAGGCCAGCCAGCTCCTTGGGCACGTGCACCGCCCGCAGGACCCTCGGTGGGACCGCGGAGCCCCGCCGCTGCGTAGGGAGGCGTCCTGTCCGCACATCACCCACAATGCTTTGCCGCCCCGGACCGCCAGCCCGGTCCGGGGGGTGAGGAAGCGGGGAGGGGCGGTGCTGCTCGGGCGCCTCTCCAGACGCCTGCGGGAGGGGAAGACGTGGGGACGAGAGTTAACACCCTGTGCTGGATCACGCAGCTACCCTTAATCTGCCTCTGGCGCTCGCTCGGGAAACAGACTTGCAGCCTTCTTCCGAGGCAAGCCCGAGCCACTGGGGAACCAAACTCGCGCTCGTTTTCCGCATCCTCAGGGCCTTGCAGGCGTGCATCCCGGTAATTTCGTGCAGAAAACCGAAGCCTAGGGAGCAGTGTGGGGCCGGGAATTCTAGAGGGTTCCCTTCTGCTGTCCGGAGCAGAAAGCAACCCAAACGGATGGAGGAGGGCTGGCAAAGAACGTTCTGTGCATCTAAAAATCAATCAGGCCTGCGGACGACGGCATAGTGCACCCACTGAGAGCGCCCGGACGGGATTTCTGACACCGTCATATGTCAACTGACTAAAAAGGCATACTGCTACTGTGGAAAGTAACACAGGAAGAAAATAAAAATCTTCCACATCCCACCTCTGTCTCATTTCAGGGGGAGGCAGGGGCTAGCCCCAAAGTCAGCATGCACTTTCAGATCCGGGCCCTGTTAGGCCACTCACAGTAGGAGGTATGAGTCAACAGGACTTGGAAAGGAGATAAGATGGGAGGTGCACCATTTATCTGTTTATAATCCGCTAATGGGTTGATGCAATGACAGTGGGAGTTGACAGGGAGTGTCCCCAACCCTGTCTGAGCTCCCGGAGAGCCACAGTCCTGCCCCTTTCCAGGCACCTTCTGCCCTGAGTTGTGAATGAGCGAAGGGCTGGATCCCGGCCCTTTGGAGCAACGCCTGCCCTGAGCCTGGCGGGCTTCCTCCGCGTGTCGCCTCCACGGGGACCGTGTGTGCGAGAGCCTAGTCACAGCCTGTCCGGTAGTGTGATCTCGTGTCCAAGGTCTGCTGTGCAAACAGAGCGGGCAAAACACAGCTGTGAACCGAAGGCCACCCCCCGACCCATCTTTTCACGCAGTGCAAATGCTTACAAACAGGCCAGTGAACACCAGCCTGGGTCTGGATGCAGGACCACGTGCGTTCAATGCTCACTGACTGTGCTGCTGTCCCCCGATGGGGCCGACACAGAGAAGGTTAGCCTGGGCCCTGGGCAAGGATCACAGGCAAATTCCGAATTTGTGAAGCGTTGTGTATTTTTAGAAACAAAGTGTTCCATATTTTTAGAAACCAACTCTTAGATACAGAGAACAAATGGATGGTTGCCAGGTGGAAGGGGAGCAGGGCGGGGGGATGGGCGAGAAGGGGAAAGGGATTAAGAAGCACAAACTACCAGTTATAAAGTTAGTCCCGAAGGTACAAAGCACAGCACACGGAGTACAGTCAACACAGCTGCAGTAACTGGGTATGGTGTCTAGGGGTACGGGCTTACTAGCGGTAATCACTGAGTCACATGAATGTCCAATCCCTTCGTTGTGCCCCTGGAGCTAATATAACAGTGCTGGTCGCCTGTACTCAAAAATGAGTTGAGAAAATACTTAACCGTTCTGTTGCTTGCAGTTCCGGTGGTAAGGAGCCCTTCCCAAATATAGGAGGAATAAAGAAGTTACTTCCGCAGCTGTCAGCACCTTCCAACGGGTTGAGCAAAAATATTTCAGACGCTGCAGAGAAGGTGATGTAACCTTTGCAGGAGGGCCTCCCTTAGATTTGCCCTGTTTTCTGTTTGTTTGCTTCATGAGTGCGTGTGGTATTTATTACTGCTTGTCTGCGTTTCAGACAATCCCTCCAACCCTAGACGATGACCAGCCATGTGACTTTCTCAAGAGAGGGAGTGGGGTGAATGAATCTCATCAGAAAAGCAGGTAAACAGTTTTCGTAGGGCTGCTTTTGTCTCGTAAAATCATGTTATCTCAGTCACGGGCTGACTGCGAGTGTCTGCGGGCGAGACACACACACACACACACACACACACACTTGTATTTTTATCTGGCAGAAAGGAGCGAGCCCGTGGTTTAAACATTGCTAGGGGGTGAAAGTTCCAGAGGCCGTCCCCGTGGCACTGTTAGCAGAATCACCCGTTGCAGGCGAGCCCCTGAATCATCCTGCTATGTCAGTTCCCTTTTCCCAAAAAAGGAAGCGGATTATAACGCCCACGGCCGCCCCGGGCAGCGAGAGGTAAACCCACACGCTCACCACGTCGGTGATGAGAGCTAAGCCCTGGCAGCTCCTCCCGCCGTTCCGCGGCATCTCGTGGGCAGCCGGCATGCGGTGGGCAACGATTGCACGTCCTCCCTGCTCATGACTCAAGAGGTAACACACTTTCAAACGTGCTCGTGTGGGCAGACGGCTGCGGGGGTTTCCAAAAAGCTGTTCAGCAGCCCTTTTTTTTCCTTTCTTTCTTTCTTTTTTCCTCCATCTGACTTGTCGGTCCCAGGGTATGGAGAGGTGTTATTAGTCTTAGTAAAAGGCCACGTCCTGGGTAAGTCCATGGAAAAGGAAATATTTCCAGTTCAGACACGAGCCCCTGCCTCCGACTGAGTCACCCGGAAAGAACGAGGCGAGGGAAGGGAAGCTCACAGGGCTGGGCGCCGCCCTCCACTCGCTGCTCCCTGGGCCAGCGCCAGCCCAGAGCTCCCGCTCATGCCGTGTCGCAGGACACCGCGCAGCTGCCCCTTTAAGGACAGTGGCCCCGAGCGTTTCCTGTGTGCAGACAGTCACTCGCTTTCGGTGGAGGGTACAGGTGGTACACGCCACCCTTTTTCGCGTTAGGGTTTCAGTTGGCCCCGGGTCACAGCGCCCCCTAGTGTGTGCTCTCAAACCCGCCTCTGACCTCTCGTGGACACGGCCCTGGAACCAGGCCCGTGAAAGCCAGCGGTGGGTTCCACTCGTGGATGTTGTCAACTACCGCTCAGCATCCCCAGAACAGGCTGAGGTCTCTCACAGATTCTTCCTCCCAGACCGGCGTTTCCAAAGCGCACACGGCGTGGCCTGGGGTGATCCCATGCGCACTTGAGGAAAGGTCCACGCCCTCCTCCGACGCTGGCGTTTGATGCAAAACAGCACCCCTGCCTGTACTTCCCGCACCTGCGCCAGCTGACGTGCTGTTTCTCAGCCGGGGCGCTGGGTGGACACAGCTCTGGAACGTGCAGGAACCGCTGGCTCTGGCGGGGCGCGAGGCCCTCCCCTTCCTGGCCCCAGGGCACCGCAGGGTCTGTTCCTGGGTCGGGGGCAGGCAGACCCGCCTTGGGCATAGGTACTAAGAATCGCAGTTTTGTTTCTCGCAGCGCTATGGATGCTGGCCCATCTTGGACTAAAGCGCCACGTGGGAAGGACTCTTCAGGAAAAGGGCAGAGTGAGCCCCGAGCCGCCCGCGTGCCCCCCGGACCCGAGAGCAGCGCCCCGGGGGTCTCCCGGCCGGCTGCGGAGGAGCCCGGAGGCGGCGTTTCCCCGGAAGGCAAAGCCGCGAGGAGCCCGCTGGGGGCCGCGGGGAGCAAGCTGTTTCTCGCCGTGCGGTCGATGGGCATCCTGAAAGGAGATGCGGACGAGGACAGCGCCAGCGACCTCTCCGACTCGGAGCGGATCCCCATCGCTCCCTCGCCGCGCACGCCTCCAGATCTCCGCCTGCGGGCGGAAGAAATTGACCCGGCCTGCTTCGATCTGGACCTTCACCCGGGTCAGGGCCACGCGAGGGCCCAGTACTGCTACCCGGACTTCCTCCCGCCCCGATGTAGCGCCTGGGACCTGCGGGGCATGGCCATGCTTGTGCACGCGGAGCGCAGGCCCGGCGCCGTGCCGCGCACGGGCGGGCTGCTGGGCAGGTTCGTGGACCGGCTGCTTCAGCTGGAATGGCTGCAGATCCAGACCGTCCAGGGCGAGAGGGCCAAGGGCGTCAAAGCCCGGCTGCCTGCTGCGCCCGGGGGCGCCCTGCAGAGCCCTGGGAGAGGTAAGCTCCCCGCAGGGGCTGCGTCCAGGCCCCCCCAGGACGGGGCTCCCAAGCCGGGCCCCGCGCGAAAGAAAGGCCTTCCCCGCACACAGGGCGTGCCGGCGTGCTACCCCTTCGAGACTCCCCCCAGGCCCCTGGAGGCGCTGAGCGGCAGCAGGCTGGGCTCTCAGAAGCAAACCCTGGACGCTCGGACCGAGGAGAAGAAGAAGTGCACCAGGAGCCTCCGGCCGCCGCGCTGGCACCCGGCGGGCGGGGACGGCAGCCTCGCCGTGGAGAGCAGCGGCAACCTCCGCACCCCCAGGCCGTCCGCCCCGGCGCCGGACGCCGCCGACGCCCGCAGGGCCGCCAAGCCGCAGGCGCACGCGCATCTGAAGAAGAAGGGACACGCCAACAGCTGCGGCCACGCCTCCCTGTCCGGGGAGAAGAAACTCAAGACGAACGGAGCAAAGCAAAACACACATAAACTCAAATAACGTCCGGGACGGCGGGCTGCGGAGGCCCGCGGCGGCCTACGCACTAGAGCGAGCTGCTCCCGACGCGCCGACGCTGTGAACTTAGGAGATGTTAGGACAGCCGCCCTGCGAGGACGAGGAGTCCCTGGTCCTGCAGGCCACCCGGCCCCACCCGGCTATTTTCCCAAACAGGCGTCTTGCGGGAAGACCCCGTTCGCCGTCGCAAGCGAATGGCAGCCCTTTGGGTACACATTAGCCGAGGTCCGCGCCATGTGAAGGAACAACTCCCCGGGGGAGCGTCGCCCCCACGGAACCAGAAGGCGCGTGGAGAACAGTGTGGGGGGCGCTCGGCTCCCTCCCGCTTTCCCTGTCCCCGCGCGTGGGGAGCAGCCCAGCAGCTCTCACGGGCGGGCGGGCGCTCCGCCTCCGAGGTGGGCGGCCTCTGGTGTCCGACCCTCAGGGGCCCTTGGAGCCTCTGCCCAACTCTGGGTCCCAGGAGCTGGGCCCCTCTTCAAGTCGGGGAGTGCGCATCTGGAGCCAAGTCTCTTATCACGGAGCCACCTGCTGTACAGAGGCCGCGGCATCCAGTGTTTTCATACACTTTCTCTGACGTGGGCTTGAAAAGAAGTAAAAAGGGGCATCTTCAGTTTACGGCTGGCGGCTCTCCGTGTCCTCTAAGCTGAGGACAAACGCGTGCGGCCTGTCGGGCGGGGGCGTCTGTGGGGTGAGGGGGCACTGCCACCGTCTGGTGGGGCAGCATGGGGTCCGTGCGTCCCAGCCCCCCCCCCCCCCCAGGCGCCCGGGAACACCGCTGGGTGGAGTTCGCAAACGAAGGGCCCGAGCCGTAGAGACGCTTGGGGCCTCTCTGAATGGAGCCGTCACCACATCACCGCGTTGGGGCCTGCATCCCGCGGCCTGGGGCCAGAACGGCGGTCTTCCCAGTTTGCCAGTTTGCGGGAGCAGGACCCCAGAGCCTCGCTGGGGGCGGGCTGGGCAGCGGAAGCGCGTGAAGCTCCTGCCTGTCTCCTGGCCGGCCTGGGGCTTCCTGCCGCCCCTGAGGTCTCCCCCTGTCGCTGCAGCTAAGAAACGTGCAGCCGCCCCGGGCCGTGCCGGCACCTTCTGCCGGCATTCTCGGAACAGCTCCACAGCCTTCGTTGGACTGCTGCTTGCTGTACAGTGTGTTGCAATGACGTAGCCGACCGTCCCCCTGTAAAGGATTATCCTGTTTTCTATTGTTTTATACAACGTGTTTCTCTTGTTTTCAACGCTGGGGGCGGAGGAGAAACGTGGCACTTCTCACCTGAACATTCGTCACAGCTTGCGGACGTGTCACCCAGCAGCAGTCAGCGTCATCCGGGGCACTGTGTGAGTGACGGCGTAAGGACAAGATACATGTACTTAGAGCCGTGGGCCGGCGTTAACTATTCAGATCCTGTGTTGAAACCTGGCTTCCGGCCACATGAAACAACGCGTAAACCGTGGCCGGCAGCCCTTCCCTCCCCAGACTCTGCCTTCAGGAACGTGCAGGGCCTGTCCTTCGCCCTGCACCCCCCCAGCCCGCCCAGCGGGGGGCAGCATGCTCTTGCCCGAGTCCCACACCTCCCCGTGGGGACGAAGGCTGGACGTCTGTGTGCGGCACTTCCATCGTCCCCAGGGTGGCACCCTTCATTCCCGGTATGGGAGCTGTGTGAGCTGTGTTCTAGAAGCGCAGGGCCGCTCTACTTACCTCCCCGCGCACCCCCGTGGCACCCCGCCTGTCCAGGGCCACCTGCTGCTTGTGAGCGCGGGCGGGTTAGCCCTTCCTGCGTGCCGGCAGCGAGCCCCGATTCCTCCTCTGCCAGACTTCCACCCAGCTCTTCAGGAGTTTCACCCATCCGTGTGGGCGCTCTCGGGGCCCCTGCAGGGTGAGGCCCACGTGGTTGGCTTTGCTGGCCTCGTGTGCGTCTGAGCTGATGGCCACGATGCGTAAGAGATTCAGAGCTAACGGCGCGAATGTTACATTGGTCCCTTGCTCTCAAATCGGAGGGTGTTGCTTCATTTGGGGATTAGTCATGAGGTCGCGCGGCAAGGCAGTGTGTAAAGCCTGGAGAAGTGACTTTGCTCGCCTGGGCTCTTCCTCAGGCCGATGGTTTACTTTTACCCATGTCACTGTGACGGGCTCAGGCCCACCAGGGGCGCACGCGCAGTCTCGGCGTGGTGACTCGAGAAGTGTTGTGACTCGGTGTTGTGGCTTCCCAGGTGGATGGTGTTGGAAAGTGAAGCCGTGAGCTCATCCAGCTCACGTCCAGGCCACTGAGCCTCTTGCCAACCTGGCGACAGAGGCCGCTGTGTTTCTGAGAAGTGCCTCCCTTTTCTGGGGAGCTGTTTACCTACGAGGTGCATTTAAACTGAGGGAAACAGCCCAAAGTGTGAAGAAGTAACGACCAAGAAAATTCAGAGAGTGGAAGAAGAACACCAGCCTTGGAATCAGTGAGTGGGGAAAGTTTTAAACATGCACGAAAGTGGACTACAGATCTCTGCCAGTGTTATCTGCGGCTGTTTAGGCCTGGGCTGTTCCTGCAGACTTGACGCACTAAACTGGCCGAAGGGTTATAACAGCTTGGCGGGGCGGGGGGGGTGACATCGGGGGCCTCAGACGGAAAGGCAGAGGCCGTCGCCAGCCCCATGGAAGCCAGCGGCCAAAGGGAAGATGGTCCGTGGGGCCCTCAGGCCTGGGAGGCTAGTTCCCAAAGAGACTAAGAATCCCTCCTTCCACGATGCACTAGGTACTCCCTCCTTCCGCTTTCCTTCATGCTCGCGTCCTTGCCCAGTTACACGAAAGCAAAACTCTCGGCGGGGGTGTGTTTCGAGGTGGCAGAGCGGCACTATTTATGATTTATTTATTCACAAACGTGTGCGGAGCCCCATTCCGAACGGCCCGAAAGCACGCAGTGTGTTGTTCGCTGTGCGCTGGGGGGACCACTCCCGCGCGCTCGGTTCCGTGTGCAATAAAACCGAAGCCTCGACCGAGTCTGTGTGCACCTGCGGCGTCCCTTCCTCGAGACCGACCTCGGGCGGCGGGAAGGCGCCCGTTCCTGGTTCTGCGTGGCTTCTCACGCTGTTCCCCCCAGGGTCTGTCTGTCCGTCTCCCCGGTTCGACCGCAGAAGGGCCGGGGAGGACACTCCGTGCCAGCTCCTTTCTGAACCTGGAGCGACGCCCCCGCGCCAGGGCGGGCTGTGCGTGGCTCCAGCCCCTCTTCCTCCTTTTACCCCCAGACGGTGTTGGGTGGTTAGGGGAGCAGGGTGGGGCGTCAGACGCCTGAAGTGACGAGCCGTGCGTGAGTCACTGGCGCCTCGGCCGGAAACCCGTGCCCTCTCTTTCCATGCCCTGCCCTCCTACCCGGGTTCGGAGAGGGCAGTGCTGAGAGGCCACTGTTCTGGACATGGGGGGGCAGGGGGGAGCGGGGCTGGGGGCAGGGCCTGGCTCCTCCCCTCCACTCCTTCCCCGCAGGCACTCAGTGGCCGCTTCTCATTTGGGGGCGGGTTAAACAAAATCCAGCCGAGCACACTGTAAAGGCCTCGGCCCTGTTCCGTGGTGTGTGGATCGGGCAGCGTCCCTCCCGGCAGAGAGAAAGCCGACAAGCGCCCTGTATGAAAGGTGTCCCTACCTCGGTCCTCAGGGCCGAGAGGCCGGGGCCGGGAGAAGTCTATGCAGGTTTCGGTTGTTACAAGCATTCCTCTCTGTCTCCCGCCTCCCCCACCCATGCTTTCCCGTCCACCACGGCCCCACCTGTCACAGAAGCAAGTCCGTGCCACCACCGGTGCCACCACCAGTGCTCGGGGCCCCCATTCCTCAGGAAGGCTCTCGGGGCCTGTAAGACTTGCCCTGGATAAGCTGCGGTGCTTTTCTCCTGTCCGTCTGACCTAGGACCCCAAACCTCGGGCCCAGAAAGAGCCCTCAGGGGTGAGGGGGAGTGGAGCTCGCTGCCCCACAGAAGGCCTGCCTCTTTGGCGTTAAGGGGTTAAGGGTTGTTTTAGGCTGGCTGTCTCTGAGACACGGGACCGGGACCGCAGGAGAAGCCCTGCAAGCAGAGTGGCGCTGGCCGTTGGCGAGAGGCCTGTCCCGCCACAAGGGCAATCTCCGCTGGGAAGGGAGTCCTCGCTGCACCAGGAGGGGGGAGCCCACCTACAGGAACTCCTAGGAACTCCGACCTTCAGGCAAGGGCTGAAATCTGCCTGACAGCCGTACCTTCTGGCACCGAATAAATAATTCGGTGCAGGATAAATACTCCGATGCTCTTCCCGAGGACGCCTCTCCCAGTCAACCTCCTTTTGTCTCGACTGGAGGCGGGATGTGAGGTGAGCGTGGGCAGTGTCTGGGGTCCCGCAGTTTCCCCAGGGCTCTCCTCTGGAGGTTGGAGGTGTGCGGGTCATTAAGCTGCTGTTTGCTTTTCTCCTGTTGATCTTTTATCAGCCGCAGGGAGGGGCTCTCAGCCAAGAACCCAGAGGGTAGAGGGAAAAGCATCTTCCCTCCCCAGAGGGTAAAGAGGAAAGCTGACCTCCCCGCCAGAATCGAAGTCTGCTGACCTCCCCGCCAGAATCGAAGTCTGCATCTTGGCCAGACGCTGGGTGGTTCCATTTGGGGAAACCTGCTTTTCTGGCACGTCAGCGTCTGCAAGTCTGAACTGACCGCCCTGACCGCATTCCACCTGCGGCCCGTCTCCTCCTGGTGCTCTGGCCGCTGACCAGTTCCGCTCACCAGCGTCCATCTTCTCCCCGGCCGGGAGGCACTGGGCTGGCTCTGCGCCTCCAGAACTGGCCGCTCAGGTGGACTCTGGCCTCCGATAATCCGGGCTGCGCGCGGGCACTGCTGAGCGGGGGTTGCTCACGCTCACGCTGTTGTCCTAGTGTGAACTGCAGGTGTGCGGTGGCCCGGGGTGGGTGGCAGAGGTCAGGGGATCTGGACACGGGAGCAGTCTTTTCTTAGACCTTCAGAGGGTTATCTGGAGGAATTTACTTATCTCCAGGCAACCAGGCACAGCTGCAAAGTTCCAAGGTTCAGTCCCCAGGCTGATCCCAGCGACACGTAAAGCCTGGTCCTCACGCTCGGGCTCTTTGGTCTGACCCAGTACCGCCAGCGCCTCCTTCCTCACCCTGCCCGACACGTTCACCGTGGTGAACAAAACTCCGAGAACTGTCAGCTTACACCGCGCTGGGAGCTGCCCCCCTGTGGCTGCAATGCGCTACTGCGCCTCTAGGGACGGGGACGCCAGGCCGGCTTCCCGGAATAAGGGAAACTTCAGGTCCCCCAGTCCTGTCTCACCGGAGACCCAGACGGCCGAAGCCCAGGGTCACCCGCGGAGGGAGTCAGGGCCTCGCTGAGCAGGGTTGCCCTGTGGGAAACGGGCTTCCCGCCCGGCTCCTTTTAAACGCTCGTGGGTGTTGGAAATGTGGTTGTTTTAAATACACCGGTTTCTTTGCACTCACAGCAAATAGAAGCGCGGAACCCTTCACGGGCATCCCCCAGCTCCCCTCCCCCACCCCGCGACCCCTGAGGTCGACACACAGTCTGTCTCGTCAGCGTTCTCGCAAGAGGGGCGTGCGACCTGCATCTCCCCGCCTGCCACAGACATTCACCGTGGCTCACAGCACCTGATCTCTAAATCCTGAGTGATTCCCACTCAGTCAAGTTCCCCAACAGACTGCCATGGAATAAAAATAGCCGCTTCAAAAAACGAGCACCAAGTTGTAAATGCAGTAATGTTATTGTTACTCTTTAGGCACAGGAACTATTTACAGACCTTAAAGTTGCATTGGGTACCCTCTTCAATAATAAGCTATTAATTCGGACTAAGATAATAAGCTATTTGAATTACAATGCTTGGCAGCATCTCAGAGAGCTAAGGGAGTCCAGTAAGAAGGTTCACCTGCTTCTCCTGCTAAAGAGCTGTTTACTATTTTAATTTGTTTTATTTATTGATTTGAGAGAGAGAGAGAGAGAAACATCAATTTGTTGTTGCACTTATTGATGCCTGGGTTGATTCTTGTACGTGCCCTGACCAGGGATCAAACCCACACGACCTTGACTCATCAGGATGACGTTCTAACCAGCTGTGCTCCCTGGCCCGGGGCCAGACCTGCTCACCACTGTAAACAAGGAAATGCGGTGGCACAGCCTATGCCACGGTAATCGGCATGCATGGGCGTCACGTTTCGCTTTAAACCTGATCGCTGCAGTCTGAAGTGCTGATGGAGTAGAACTCCCCTCGTGTCCTTTTCTTCCACGAGTCTAAGCCAGGCAAGCCCCTGGCGGCAGAGGGACCCTCCCACAGGGAGTCCCTTCCCCATCTCTCCTCCCTCCTTCTTCAACCCCAACCTCCGAAAGGGAGGTTCGTCTAAGCTTAAAAGAGATTTTGGTAAGAAACGTCTGTAAACCCCAGAGCCCTGAGACATGGTACAGATGAAGATGGTTAGGTTCTCTGGAAAGGAAAAGGTAGTCCTCCCTCCCCTCCCTCCCGTCCTCCCTCCCTCCCTCCGGAAAAGAAAAGGTGTAACCCTGGCTGGCGTAGCTCAGTGGATTGAGTGTGGGCTGTGAACCAGGCATTGCAGGTTCGATTCCCAGTCAAGGCACATGCCTAGGTTGCAGGCCACGATCCCCAGCAACCGCACATTCATGTCTCTGTCTCTCTCCTTCTCCCTCCCTCCCTTCCCTCTCTAAAAATAAATAAATAAAATCTTTTAAAAAAACTTGAAAAAAAAAGAAAAGGTAATTCTTTTCTTTCCTTTTCCTTCCTCTTTCGTTCCTTTCCTCCTTTCCTTCCTTCTGAAAAGAAAAAGTAATTCATTCTTCCCCTCCCTCCCTCCCTCCATTCCTTCAGAAAAAAAAGTAATTCTTTTTCTTTTTCCTTCTTTCCTCCCTTCTCTCCATCTTCTTTTCCGTAATAAAGTTACTTTTCTTGGAGTTCTTTTCCAGCTCTTTTGTTACAAAGGAGAGGGGCCATAGGAAACAATCCTAACCGATCCTGCCACAGGAAGTGGGGCATTACTAGACTTGGAGCCTTCACACGAAGAAACAAAAGCCCCACTTTCCCAGAGACGCAGGTTTCGGTTCTGCCGAGCCCTGATCCCGGGGTCAGGCCGGGTTGCCGTGGCGTCTGTGTGCACAGCCCGTGCTGTGACGGTGGCGGTTTCCTCCCCTCCCCTCCCTTCCTAGGAACCGTGTTTATTGTTCAGGAGGTCAAAGCTTAAGGCTCGGGCAGCCCCGCCCCTGTAAACCCGAGACAAGCCAGGGAGAGGGAGGGGAGCGCTAAAAGGAGAGTGACCGGGTCGGGGTGACCGCAGAGGGACTGGGGAGACAGTCCCGCCGGGAAGGACGGTGCCCGGCTCCAGGGGAGACCGTGGCCCAGGGGCACTTGCCACCGCCGGCAGGCTCAGGCCCCCACGTCTCTTGGGCATTGCCTCCATCATGAGCTCCAGGGCACCCCACCCCCTGCCGCTCCTCACACTGCTGCTGCTGCTGCTGCTGCCGCCCCCACAGGTGAGTGGGGCTGGGACCCACACCGCACACCAGCGAAGTCTGTGGGGACAGGGAGCAGGACGGAGTGTGACCCGGCGTGGGCGGGCCGGAGCAGGGCTGCGGAGCTGCAGCGTGCTGTGGGCAGCAGCGGGGCACCTGGGCCTACAGAGCGGCGTAGGCCACAGTCACCTGGGGGAGCGGGGGGCCCGGCTAGGGGGCTCCACGCAGAGCTGCGCGCACACCATTCCACCTGGGTTTGTATCCACGTGCACGTCTGCCAAGGGTGATTCTTCTGTCCACCCCTGACGTAAGGTCGGGGAAACCTCCTCAAGTGTGTCGACTGTTCCAGAAGAAAATGCAAGCGGGCACATTTTAGAGACCTTCCTGATCTATTGAGCGGTTCCTGAACCGGGCAGCACCCCATCTGGCAGACGGAGCTCTGGGTTACACACAGGCAGAGCAGGCGGGAGGGGGGGGTTATGCTGCCCAGGCGGACTGCGGCCCGGCCGCCTTTCCTTAGGGCACGGCGGGGGCTGCCCGCAGCTGACCGCACCAGGCGGAGCTCCTCACCAGGGAGCCATTCCGGGTTGACCGGGTTCAGAGCCCACCCCCGGGACAGGCCGGAACTGCAGGAAGGGAAGCAGTCAGTCAGTCTCCGTTTGGTGATGCGGGGCTGAGCACAGATAACTTCACTGGGGCCCACTGTTTTCTTTTCTTTTTAAAATGTATTTTATTGATTATGCTATTACAGTTGTCCCATTCCCCGCCCTTCACTCCCCTCCACCCTGCACACCCTCTCCCACCGACATTCCCCCCCTTTAGTTCATGTCCATGGGTCATACTTATAAGTTCTTTGGCTTCCACATTTCCCGTACTATTCTCGCCCTCCCCCTGTCTATTTTCTACCTACCGTCTATGCTACTTATTCCCTGTACCTTTCCCCCTCTCTCCTCCTTCCACTGCCCTGTTGCTAACCCTCCATGTGATCTCCCTTTCTGTGGTTCTGTTCCTGTTCTCTTTGTTCGCTTAGTTTTTGTTTTTGTTTTTGTTTTAGGTGTGGTTGTTAATAACTGTGAGTTTGCTGTCATTTTATTATACATGTTTTTTTATCTTCTATTTCTTAGATAAGTCCCTTTAACAATTCATATAATAAGGCCTTGGTGATGATGAACTCTTTTAACTTGACCTTATCTGAGAAGCATTTTATCTGCCCTTCCATTCTAAATGATAGCTTTGCTGGATAGAGCAATCTTGGATGTAGGTCCTTGCCTTTCATGACTTGGAACACTTCTTTCCAGCCCCTTCTTGCCTGTAAGGTCTCTTTTGAGAAATCAGCTGACAGTCTTATGGGAACTTCTTTTTAGATAACAGTCTCCTTATCTTTTGCTGCTTCTAGGATTCTCTCCTTCTCTTTAATCTTGGGTAATGTAGTTAGGATGTGCCTTGGTGTGTTCCTCCTTGGGTCCAACTTCTCTGGGACTCTCTGAGCTTCCTGGACTTCCTGGAAATCTATTTCCTTGGCCAGATTGGGGAAGTTCTCTTCATTATTTGTTCAAATAACTTTTCCACTTGTTGTTCTTCTCTCACCCTTCTGGTACCCCTATAATTCGGATGTTGGAACATTTAAAGATGTTCTGGAGGTTCCTAAGCCTCTCCTCATTTTTCTGAATTCTTATTTCTTCATTCCTTTTTTGTTTGATTGTTTCCTCCTTCCTTCTGGTCCACTCCATTGATTTGAGTCCCAGTTTCCTTCCCATCACTATTGGTTCCCTGTGCATTTTCCTTCATTTCACTTAGTGTAGCCTTCATTTTTTCATCTAACTTGCCACCAAATTCAACCAATTCTGTGAGCATCCTGATCACCAGTGCTTTGAACTGTGCATCTGATAGGTTGCCTATCTCTTGGTCACTCAGTTGTATTTGCTCTGGTGCTTTGATCTGTTCGTTCATTTGGGCCATTTTTTTATCTTGTCGTGCCTCTTATGTATGAGGGGTAGAGTCTGAGGTGTTCACCAGGGTGGGGCAACCCAGTTGCTGGTTTGTGACGCTATAGGTGGGGGAGGGTCCGAGAGGGAACAATGGCACTTGTTCTGCTGTCTGTTGGATTTCAGTCCCTTCCGCCGCTTCCCCCAAGCAAACTGGGCCCTTCTGGTGCTGGTTGCCGGGTGGGTGGGCATGTGCACGTCCTGGGACCCTGTGGGTCTCTCTAATGAACTCTCCTGTGAGGCTGGGAGTCTCACCCTGCACCTCAACCCCCACAGGTGTTTTCAGTCGGTGTTTCAAGGTCTTATTTCCGGCGCTGGAACCCTGGGCTGTGTGGTCTGTCCCACTCCCCAGTTTCGCCTGGTTTATCTGCCCGCAAACATGGGACCGCCAGCTGCCTTGCTCGCAGCACCCTGTTTCACAATCGCCGCCTCACTGGGTCTGCCCACTGGTGCCTTGTGCACCCAGTGCCTCTGCCTTTTTTTTTTTTTTTTTGCTGTGACCCCTCTCCACCCGGCTGCCCACCCCGCCCTTCCTACCAGTCTGGATGAATGTGTCTCCTTCAACTCTTTGGTTGTCGGACTTCTGTACAGTTCAGTTTTCTGTCAGTACTGGTTGTTTTTTTGTTTTTAAATTGCCGTTGTCCTTGTTTTGGTTGTGCGAGGAAGCACAGCGTGTCGACCTATGCCTCCATCTTGGCCGGAAGTCCCCGTTTCCTTTCTGACAGTCCCTCACTTTCGATCGGGCTCTCGGCGTGACACAATGCAGACGTGGTCACAATGCAGGACATTAGGTCCCCCCCCCCCGCCGCTGCCGCGCTGCAGTCCCCCCCGCCCCCCGCCGTTTCTGCCGGTTCTCTGTGTGGGGGCTCTCAGGCGGGAGGTCCCGGCCGGGGCCACCCAGGCTCCTCCGCTTCTGGCTGCAGAACTGGGTTACTTAGCTGACCTGGGTCCTCACCGTGGCTCAGGCGGAACTCCCCTGGGCAGCTGTAAGGCTCCCCGCGCCGCGTGCAGAGCTCTGCCCTGAGCCGATGCCAGGGCGTGGCCCGGGCGTCAGGTTCACACCGAACCTCGTTCACCCTCCTCTTCTTCGCCCGAGCAGGGAGCTGCCCCCGTCCTTCCCTGACCCGAGGTGCTGGGCGCAAACAAGCCAGGGCTTGGCCCCCGATGGCCCAGTGCCCGTGTGTCTCCTCCTTCCTGCTTGGCTGGCCGCCGAGGAAGGGCTGGCTGAGTTTGCTCGGTGCCCCTCTGCGACCCGCACTGCCTGCTGGCTCCCGGCCAGGCACTGCCGTCAGCACTGGGGCGGGGCGGGGGGCACAGCCAACAAAATGGGGGAGAAACCCCCGTCTGGGGCACTCACCCTCTGGCGGATCTTTACTTCCGAAGGCGACGGCTGCCTGGCACCGGCTGCTTGGCGCGGGGAGAATCGTCTGGCTCACACTTGGCCGTGTCGGGTTGCGAGTGCTTTAGCTGATTTAGCTCTGGGTCACTATCGACCTCCCCTCCTCCCTCCTCCGACCCCCAGTCTGACCTCCAGTCTGACAGTCTGTCCCTGCTGCGCGGAGAGCCGTCACATCTACCTCAGTTTCCCTCTGCAACCCCCACACCCTCGTTGTCACTCCGACGTGGAGCAAGTGACAGAGCTGTGACTCCTCCTCGTGTTCGCGTCACGCGCGAGAACGCCCCCGAGAACCCGGAGAGCGTCGGCCTCTGCGGGCTCACACCGGAGCCTGGGGGGTTTAAACGTGTTTCTCAGTTCCTTGAGGACAGCAGGGACAGGCCACGTGTTAACAGAACTCACACATTTCTCAGAAAATAACTACTGTGACAGTGCCCGTTCCGCGGGAGGGGTGGCACTGCTGCGTGTGTGTGCAAATCTCTTGGACGCCTGGCTCCTCTTTCACATCGCCGCTTCGCTCCCACGCTTTCTCCCCCTCCCCCGCTCTAAAAATAAAGAAGTGAAATCTAGCCCTGGCCGGCGTAGCTCAGTGCATTGAGCGCGGGCTGGGAACCGAAGTGTCCCAGGTTCAATTCCCAGCCAGGGTACATTCCTGGGTTGTGGGCCATGGCCCCCAGCAACCGCACATGGATGTTTCTCTCTCTCTCTCTATCTCCCTCCCTTCCCTCTCTAAAAATAAATAAATAAAATCTTAAAAAAAAGAAACACACATTTAATTAAAAAAAAAAAGAAATGAAATCTTTCAAAAACAAACAAAACCACACACAAAAAAAACAGCGGCCTATTCAGCCCGCCACCCCCCGCCACGCCCCACTCTCTCATGCATACTCCCCACGTGCTCCTCGGAGCGGAGCGCCGACAAGGTGTCCACTCCCGGGGGGCGGGGTCAGCGCCTTTCGCCGCTCCGTCGTTTCTCCAGTGATTTCAGCCATTAAGGGGCTTCACCAAGGGCTTCATTCTTTACTAATTATGCTCTTACAGGTGCCCTGATTTCTCTCCCTTTGCCCCCCTCCACTCAGCACCCCTCTCTCCATGCAGCAACACCCCCTCCCTTGTTCACGTCCATGGGCCATGCATGTAAGTTCTTTGGCAACTCTATTTTCTATACTTGCTTTTAACATCCCCATATACTATCTATTCTGTGCCCACCGATTTGTACTTTTTAATCCCGGCACCTTTCCCCCGATCCCCCCAGGCTCTCTGACCCCACTGGCCACCCTCATAATGTTCTCCATGTCTGTGATTCTGTGTCTGTTCTGCTTGTTTGATTAGTTTGTTTTTTAGATTCAATTGTTGATAGTTATGCATTTATTGCCATTTTAATGTTCATAGTTTTGATCTTCCTTTTCTTGAATAAGTCCTTTTAACATTTCATATAATAATGGCTCGGTGATGATGAACTTTAGTTTGTCTAAAGTGCTTCTGGGAAGCACTTTATTTGCCCTTTGATTCTAAATGATAGCATTGCTGGGTACAGTAATCTTGGCTGTAGATCCCTGCTTTTCATGACTATAAATACTTCTTGCCAGTCCCTTCTAGCCGACAGAGTTTCTTCTGAGAAATCAGGTGACAGTTTTATGAGAACTCCTTTGTAGGTGACTATCTGTTTTTCTCGTGCTGCCTTTAAGATTCTCTCTTTATCTTTAACCTTTGGCATTTTAATTATGATGTGTCTTGGTGTGGCCCTCATTATGTCCATCTTGTTTGCGACTCTGTGCTTCCTGGACTTGCATGTCTGTTTCCTTCACCAAATTAGGGAAGTTTTCTTTCATTATTTTTTCAAATAGGTTTCCAGTTTCTTGCTCTTTCTCTTCTCCTTCTGGCACCCCATGAAGGAAATGTTGGACTTCTTGAACTTGTCCCAGAGGCTGCTTACACTATCATTGATTTTTTTGATTCTTTTTTTTTCTTGTTGTACTGATTGGATGTCTTTTGCTTCCTTATGTTCCAAATCATCTATTTGACTCTCAGCTTCATCCACCCTGCTGTCAATTCCCTGTAAATTGTTCTTTATTTCAATGAATGTCTCCTTCATTTCTGATTGGATCTTTTTTATGCTGTTGAAGTATCCACTGAGTTCCTGAGCATCCCGATAACCAGTGTTTTGAACTCTGCATCTGATAGATTGCTTCTCTCCACTGTTTTTCGGTTCTCTTTCTGGAGATTTGATCTGTTCTCTCGTTTGGACCGTGTTTCTTTGTCTCCTTGTTTTGGCAGCCTCCCTGTGTTTGTTTCTATGTATTAGGCAGAGCTGCTTTGGCTCCCTGTCTTGGTAGCGTGACCTAAAGTAGTAGGTGTCCTGTAGGGTCCAGTGGCACAGCCTCCCCTAGCACCCAAGTTGGGTACTCCAGGGCGCCCTCCGTGTGGGCTGAGTACTCCTTCCTCTTGCAGTTTAGTCTTGATTGCTGTCAGTAGGTCAATGGGAGGGATTTACCCAGGCCAGGCCGCTGGTCGGACTGGCTGTGACCTCTGGCCAGCAACTACCGCCCTCTGTGGCTTGTGGAGGTGGTTGGGTGGTGCTCTTATGTGGTCTGTAACCATCTGCTGGGTGCACTTTCCTGGGTGGTGCAGGCCAAGGGCAGCCCCCAGCTGTGTTCTGTGTGGTGCCCTTTGTCATACGCTGTAAAGCAACCTGCAGATGGGTGCTGTTGGGGCTGGGCGTGGGCCTAGTCAGTGAAAGGTATGGGCTGGGCTCAGCTGGTACTTGTTTGAGCGGATTTGGGAAGGTCCGAGGCCCTCACCTAGCCCGGCCCCTCATATGGAGAAGCCACTGTGACCAGCCTGGGTGGGCTGGTGAATTGGATGGGGTGGGTCCTTAGGTAATTGTCAGCGGAGGGTGGGGGCCTTACTGTGTGAGCCAGGCTGGTGGAGATTCAGATGTGGCGCCCGCGGCCCTGTGAGGGGGAGGGCTCAGGAAAGGAACGACGGCCACTTTCTGCGCTTCTGTCTGGGAGAAAGCTGTCCCCAGCTCTCGCCCTGGCGCCTCACACTTCAGCTCCTTCCCTCGGGCCACAGGGGCCGTTGCAGGGGCTGCCCTGGTGCCGGAGCCCAGAGGGCGTGGGGCTGGGGTCGTGCGCGGTGCGGGGCCCTCCAAGAGGAGACGCCCGAGAGCCCGCAGTTTCTGCTGCCCACCCAACCCGCCCTGGTTTCTGCAGCCAGAAGTCAGGCGTGGGCACTTATCTTCCTGGCGCCGGAACCCTGGGCTGGGTGGTCTGGTGCGGGCCTGGGGCCCCTCGCTCCCGAGATGTCCCTCCACTTCCTGTCCACCACACGCAGGTTTGGGACCAGCCCGCTCCACATCTCAGGGTCTGCACCCTCCTACCCGTCTGGATGAGGTGGTCTCTTTATTCTTAGTTGTCGGACTCCCATGCTGCTTGATTTTCCGGCGGTTCTGGGTGGTCTTCGTTCTGTAGGTCAGCTGCGATTTCGCGGTGGTCGTGCGAAGAGGCAAGCCACGTTTACCTACGCCTCCATCTGGACCGGGCGTCCCAGTGGCTTTATTCTTAGATGACACTGGACGTTTGCTCTGTCTTTCTGCCCCGTTCCTGCCTGTGTCCAGGGCGGAGGGGCACACGGCAGCTGGGGGCCACGGGGGCCTTGCCTTCACTGGGGCTGAGCCTCCCGGGGTCCCACACCGCGGCCCTGCACCACCCGAGAGCACACCCAGTATCGTGCGAGAGCATGTGGCCTGGGGGGCTCTCCGGTAAGGTCGGGGAGCCGGCGAACGACACTTCGGAAACCGCTGCCCCAGAGACAGTTCCCGTCACAGCACTTGTTTTTGGTAACAACGAACAACTGGAGATAACCTAAGTGCCCACCGCCAGGAGAACGGATAAACAAATTGTCCTCTGTCCACACAGTGAGATGCTGTGCAGCAGTCGAAACGAATGGCCTAGAACTCTAGGTGGAACACAGCCACACCCACACATGCACCCACATCCACACACACACAGGCATACCGCATCCACATGCATGCACACACGTGTTTAGTGTGGGTTTTGGCAGACTCTGCAGAGAAGTCCCTTTCATTTTAAACAGCTTAACTACACACGTGTGGTTTTTTGTGAAGGGGGGAAGGTTGTTGAGACAGAAGTCATAAACAACCCTCCATGTGAGTCGTTACGGGAAGGCCAGGTGCCCCCTGTAGGACTCCCTTCCCAGCACAAACCCGGCCGACCCCGCTTAGCTGCCCAGAGGAGATCAGGTGCCTTCAGCGAGGTTTGGCCGGACACCGAGTTCTGTGACTTTACTGAGCAGTGTAAGATGAAGTCTAAAAATAAGGAAAAGAGAAAAGAAAAACAGAAGAAAAAGCCCCCTCGAGTCCCACCACCCACCAAGAGCTGGTGCCGTTTCTCACGTGCACACGGAAGTGCTTTGGTGGGCCCGTCCTCGGCGGACAGGGCGACCTCCCGCGGTGTCCATCATGTGGCTTTCAATGGCCCCGCCACTGGTCACGCCAGACCAGGAGTCTTGGGTTCATCCTCCTGTGTTTGCACGCAGAAGCGGCAATTAGGAGTGGAGATGTCAGAACAAGAAATGGTATCTGTTACACTGAATGCAGAAGTATTTTCCCCTCCCCCAATTCTACGTGATTTGCATTTCTACCTGATTTTGATGTTTATTCCCTACTAATTAATGCCATTTTAATTTTGAAGGTCAACCTCATCAGCAGCTCCCAACAACAACAGGATCCTCGGGAGCAAACAAAGGTGAGGTTCAGATGTCGGTTTCTCTAGAGACCAGCCCCGAGAGGCCCCCCAGGGCGCAGAGGCGGGCCTGCGGTGCTGCTGCGGGCGGAGGGCCCTGGCGGTGCCTGGCTGGCAGGGGCGATGAGTCAGCAGCTGGGGGGTCAGGGCCCGGAGCGGGGGGGGGCTGCCAGGGCGCCGCAGACTGCACTGCACACGGGGCCGGGTGTCTAACTGGCGCCCGAGCGCTCTGCGGCCTTCAGGGGCCAGCTGGAGGCGTGTCCGGGTGTTCGTGTCTCTGCGGCTGCAAAACGGAGGGGGCGGAGAATCTGCAGCGGGAGCGCGCGCCCACCCCGCGCTCAGGCCACCGCGGGACCACTTCCTTCCTCTTGTTCTTGTGGTCTACTCACTGGGTAGTTCAGTTTTTTTTTTTTAATTGCATTTTCCTGGACACAAATGAATGTAGCAATAAGCCAGGCTCATGTAATACCTAGACGGTAACTGTAAACGGTACACATAATGCAGACAAAACCACGTTGTTGAGTTCTGTCTGTATTCGCTGGCAAATCTCTGACCCCAGTGTCTGTGTCTACGTCTCTCTCCTCTCCTCTTCGCTGTCACAGGGGAGGTCGGCCGACAGAGGGGCGTTAGGGACCCGTCCGCACTGCGTGGGGCCTTCCTCCTCAGTGATTTCAGAAGGGGGGGGCTTTCTCACTCACTTAGCAACCACCTGCCTGTCCTCTAAGAGGCAAGCATGGGCACAGAGTCGGCAGCGGCCTCTGATGCCAGGTCCCTGAGCCCCTGGAACGATCTCGTGAATCACACTGACCATGGGGGGTGAGGGGTCATGTGCCTCACTGTTCAGAGGGGCTCCGCAGTGGGCTGTGAGCAAGCACGCCGCAGATGAGGGCATGGGCGGCGGCTGTGGGAATGCCGGAGAGGACGCAGGTCCCTGGCCAGCCCAGGGCCGGCCGGCCTCACCACCCTCCTGAGAACCAGTGTCACGGGCGCTTCCAGGGAGACGGCCACCGGCCTCTACGGCGGTTCAAGAGAAGATGGGTTGTCACCACCTTGGAACTGGAGGAGGAAGACTCGGGACCCTTTCCCAAGCTTGTTGGTGAGGTAAGGCCGCCGACACCCACTCTCATTAAGCACAGCCCCTTCTGGGGGGAGGACAGGGCCGTGGAAGGCCGCCAGTGGGTGAGGTGCAAGCCAGCCTGCTTGGGGGGAGGGGGGGGGCAGTGGGCGGGGCTTGGCCCGAGTGCACGACTCCCTGGGAAGTGCCACTGAGAAAAACAGGGTCAGTCCATTCCAGCCTCAGGCCTGATTTATTTGGCCTACAGAGTCTTTCTTTTTTTTTTAATCATTATTTAAAAATAAGGAGAGAGTGGTTCTCAGAAGCCGGGTGGGAGGGCAGAAGGGAGATGACAACAAAGCAGTGGGTGCCAGGGGTCGGCGGGAGGGCGTCACAGGGGACGGTTAGTGTTTAATGGGGACAGTTTCTCCTTGGCAAGATGACAGAGCTCTGGCGATGACGGTGGCCAATGCCGCACAGCAACCTGCGTGGACTCGCTACCCCTGAGCCGTGCACTTAAAATTAGCTAAGATGGCACATTTCGTGTGACATTATTTTAGCACCATAAAAAAAAAAGGAAAAATAGGGAGATTGTACTACAAGTCCTGCCTTTCAGAGGCTTTTTGGAAATTGGCAGGTCTGACCACCTGGAGCCCATTCTCACATGGCAGCCAGCGATGAGGTGGGCCTGAGGTCCCCAGAATGCCACAGTCCCCACCATGCCCTACCGCCTCCCTCACTCTGCGGCGCAGGACCAGCCGAGGCGCCGAAGGAGACACGGGTGACGGTGGGGATGCCGGAGACCGTCCACTCGGCCCGGGCGGTTCTTCCACTGCCTTCCTGACCTGGAAGGTGACACACTGAGGGATCGCGTCCCCCACGGCTCTGATGTTCTGTGATCCCTAGAAAAAATTAAGAGTAACTCCTATGTTTGTAATGCTTATAAAAATAGTGTATAGGCCTGTTTAAAAAACAAACAAACAAACAAACATCTCCAGGAAGTTTTCAAGCTCAGTGATTAAAAGTGTGAACCCCCAGGAGCTGGGGAGTTGGTACTGCAGAGTCGCCACAGCCCCGCCCCAGGAGCGGCCCTCTCCTCCCAGGCGGTATGGTGGGGTCAAGGGCGTGCCCGGCCCACAGGGCTGCGCCACAGGCTGGACAGGCCAGGGTGCGTGAGGGTGAGGCGGCCAGGGCTCGGGCTCCCTCTGAGCTCTCCCCACACGTCAGCTGTGCGGTATCACTTGTCTTTCTCTGGCTGGACAACGGATGTTAACAAACACGTGCGTTCTTCCTGGCACGCCCCTCCGGACTCACCACGTGCGTCTGCGCGGATGGAAGCGGGTCCCTCTGGGTGCGCTGCTGCGCTGTTGCTCAGGTTGCCGCTCCCGAGGCCCCGCCCACTTCTGGGAGGGGCGTGGGAGCCCCAGTCCCATGCTGTGTGACGGTGGGGGCGGGGGGCACCACGCAGGATCCCTTCCACTCAGACACGCGCTGCTGTCGTTCCCAGCTCCTCACTGTCATCACAAGTCCGCCTGCTCCTTGTTCCTGCCTCTCGGCGGATCCCTGCGTTCTTGAGGATGAACCCTGGATGTGCGGTTGCTGGGTCCAGCTCTTCACAAACGCCTCCGAGGCTTGGCCTGGCGGGGCGACGCGCACGGTGGTTTTGGCTCACTCTCTCTCTCTTTTCGCTCACTTTGTCTCCTCCCAGCTGTTCGACAACGTGTCCGACAACAGGTCGCTGGTGTATTTAATCAGCGGCCCCGGCGTGGACGAGTACCCAGAGATCGGTCTGTTTTCTATAGAAGATCACGAGAACGGGAGAATATATGTGCACCGCGCTGTGGACCGAGAGACGACACCGTCCTTTATGGTACCTGAGTTCAAGTTTGCCACTGTAAAGCTCTCGCAGGAGCCGGGTTCTGGGCGGGCCCGATCTGAGCTGGGCGCCGGGCCCCGGGGGGCTGGCGGCGGCGTGCTGCGCCGTGGCAAGCTTAGGCGTGCGCACGGGACCGGGTTCACTTTGTAACCTTCCTCCTGGGGCGATTGCCGCCGTCCGCGTGCCCCGCTGCACCCCTGCCTTCTGCGGGCCGGCACCCCCACACATCAGGGTCTCGGGCGGCTTTGGGGACAGAGCTACAGAGCGTTTATAAAGTGGGTGCGTTTGTCCCTTGATGAGTGACAGTCGAAACCTGTGGAGAGAAGCGCGGACAGACCGGCCGGGTTGCCCGATACCTGACGACCGAGGAACTGCGTGGCGGGCCCGTGCTGGGGCAGCAAACCGTCGGCCCCCACGGTGCCTTCTGTTCTGGTCGTTGCTGTCTGTTTGCTCTTAACATCCTTAACGATGTCTTAAGGGTGGGCGTGCACCGTCTTTTCTGAAGCGTGAGGTCCAGAGGGGAAAAAAAGCCTGGCATGTCTCGGACAGGTCCCAGGGTCCAGGGAGGTCAGAAAGGGAAAAGTTGGCCATGGGGTGGACGGCGTCCCTGCGGCTCCTCCTGGCCAGACTTTGAGGCCCTGCGCTCGGGCCGCTGGCTGGATCGAACCCGTGTTTCCTTCCCCAAAATACGCCTGTCCTTTCCCATGGACTTCTGCAGGGGCCTGGTGTTCTTGTTTGACAGTGAAGTTCCAGGAGGAAAGACATGGGGGGGGGTGAGGACTCTGAGCTGAGCCCCCAGCCCCGGGGCTCTCTGTCCCCTTTCTCCGGGTTTTCTCCCCAGCTCTTTGCATTACGTGCTGGCGGAGGGTCAGTGCCGGAGTGTTCGGGAGACAGAATGATGGTGGGTCCCCGGGGGCACCTCTGCTGTCTGGGACCACACGTGTGCACCGAGCTCGGCGTGACTTTGCAGCAGGGGTCCCGCGACACACACTCGCTCGCTCTCAGGATGCTGGGTGTGGCGACACCCTCAGCAGCTGCAGAGAGGAAGGGACCGTCCCTACTTTCCTGGCAGGCAGTCGGCGGTCTCTAGTGCGATCGGCAGAACACGGAATCGGGGCTCTTGTGTGACTCGGGCCGCCTTTCTGTTTGCTCGTTTTCTCATGGAGTAGTTCTTGCATGTGTGTGTGTGTGATAATGCATCTCCTGTGTCTCTCCGAGTCCTGTTCCGGCTCAAGGACAAGGATGAAAGTGGCCCGCTCTCCTTCTGCCCTGTGGCTTCCTGGCCCCCCAGCTAAGGGACGTGATGCCTCCGTCCCCGGAGCCGCCCCCGCCCCCACGCCTGTCCCTTTGTCAGTGCCGACTGCGGGGCGGCGGCTCGCTCCGTGCCGCTCTTCCCTTCCACGACGACTCCTCAGCCCCATGCACTGCGGGGTGGGTTTCGGAGACTCGGAAGTCTCCCAGCGAGCTGCCAAAGCAGCAGCGTCACAGCGCCACACGGGCAGACGCGGAGGGCCTCCTGGTCGTGTCCGCCGGCCCGAGCCTCTGTGCGGAAAGTAAAGGATCCCACACGTGTCTGTGCCCCCACGCACTCCGCACGCGTGGAATGGGGCTCACGGACGTAGCCGTTTCATACAACGGGTAGGACACAGGGGCGGAGGCTCCCCAGCCGCTTGCCCGAGTTTGCTCCAGTGGAGAAACTGAGGCTCAAACCTCATACTAACCAGTGATGTATTTCCTCAAGTCAGTGCCTTGATTCGCTCTGCCCGCGTGTGCTGAGCACCCAGCAGGCCAGCCCTGTGCCCAGTCCCCGGCCACCTGCTGGACTGGCCATCGGTGTCTGCCCCCGGGAGCCTGCAGTCTGGTGGCGGGGGCAGGTGCAGCCCACAGCCGTGCGGACGGTTGCTGCCTGGCGCCGCCGAGTCCGGGACCCGCGAGGCCGACCCGGCTCTCTGCCTTGCAGGTTCACTTCGACGTCGCCAGCCGCGCCACGGGGAAGATCATGGACAGCTCCTTCATCTTCAACATCAGGATCCGAGACGTGAACGACCACGCCCCCCGCTTCCCCGCCGAGGAGCTCAACGTCAGCGTGAGGGAGAACCACGCGGCAGGTGGGTGCGGCGGGCCGCAGGCTGCCCTTCCTCTCTGTTGCCCACAGGTGCTCCGGCCCCGGCTACGGGGGGCCCCTGGACCTAGCTGGCCTCAGGGGCACGGGGGCTGTTTGCATCCTGAAGGTCTCTGGCCCCGGGTTCGAGCGACATGCTCGAGGTCTCCTTCTGAGTTGGCGGTGCGATGATGTCACACCCAGCCCTCCGTCTGCGGGAGGGGCTGATGGGGAAACGCCAGCGCCCAGTGCGGTGAGGAGAGAGGGCAGGGCCGGTGTGAGTTCCTGAATAGCGCTGCGGACTTCCCACCTGGATGACACCTGGCTTCTGAGCCCCGCAGGCTCTGTGAGTCTCTAAAGCCAAACCACTCTTCCTGGAACGTGCTTCTGTTTTAACAACAAAAAGCGTTGTTCCGTTTGCGAAACGGTCTTTGGAAAACTGGGAAAACTCCAAGAAACGAAGACTGAAATAGGGAGCATCTTTAGTACTACCAGTGAGCGATACGCACCGTTCCTGTCACAGTGTCTCTTCTATCAGTGTTTTTCTTTGCGTTTTATGACTGTGTGTACACCCTGTATATTTATATGTGTACCTTCACAGGTTCTTATATAATTTCAAATGCATATTTGTGTACATGATTTAAAAAGTCATCGTAGTATAAGTATGCACAAACACATAGGCATGCTTTTTGATATGTGCATAATTACGAATTTGAAAAACGCAGTTTTCTGTTTGTAATCGAACCACATCCTACAACATCGGAGAGTGAAACATCTCATTTCATGGGTGTGCTTTAAGGCATTCGACACCCTAAGTGTTGGACATCCATGTTCCGTTGCCCCTTTTCAATTTCCATAAAATGTGCTTCCGTGAACGTGTCCGGACCACCTCTGCACCCCATTCCGGCACGAGCGAGTCCGGGCGGGTGCAGAGCCACCGCTGCCCGCTCCAACTGAGCCATGGGTTCAGCGTCCAGTGACCTCGCTTGCCGCCCACGTGTGGGCGTGGGCAGGTCCCCTGGGACGGTCGCACCTGACCGTCTGCACGGGTTCCTGGCCACCTCTAGGCCTTCCTGCTGCCCCTTGTCCCTCCCGTTGTCCGTGTGTGTTAGCGTGCTCGTCATTTTTCTTCGTGACTTCCACCTCCTTGTTCCATGGGCATTTCCTCTCCTTTCAGTCCGTCCTCTGTGAAGAGTGCCCACGCCTGCCCTTCACGTGTCAGATGTGTTCTCCTGGTTCATCGTTCCCGTTTAAATCCCGTCTCTAGTTGTTTTTTGGGTGTTTTTTTCTTTTTTTTTGCTATGCATTTGAAAGTCTGTCTCTCAATTCTGTCCTTTAAGTCTCCTGCATTTGTAATCTCTCGACCTTGTGATCTGGTGCTGGAGGTGTCCTTCTGAGTTTGCAGAACGATGGCGTGGAATGGGTACTCTGCAAACGCCCCTCTTCATGTCGTTTGCTCTGTCTAGCTTGGTTTTGTATTTAAATGTGTGGCCCTGGCTGGCGTAGCTCAGTGGATTGAGTGTTGGCTGCGAACCAAAGCATCGCAGGTTCAATTCCCAGTCAGAGCACATGCCTGGGTTGCAGGCCACGGCCCCCAGCAACCGCACATGGATGTTTTTCTCTCTCTTTCTCCCTCCCTTCCCTCTCTAAAAATAAATAAATAAATAAATAAATCCTAAAAAAAAAGAACTTAAATGTGTGAGCCGCCGTGGCGTGTGCCCCACCACCGTTTAGCAAAGCGGCGCCCCCCTGCTGGCCAGGACAGGCTGCCTTTGGTCAATAGTAACAGTTAAAAAATTCTTCCCAGGTCGACCTGTTTTTCAGATGTCAACAGTTGATTTAGATCAAGAAAACACTCCGAATTCTCAAGTCCTTTACTCCCTCGTTTCTCAAACACCGGTCCTTAAAGAAAGTGGCTTCAAGATTGACCGGAATAGCGGAGAAATACGACTCACAGGATGCTTAGATTATGAGGTTGTGTGGATTTTATTATTTCTAAACAATGAAATGTGTTCTCCACCCCTGAGCCCGGACATAGTACTTCTGTTTGTGGCGGGAAACCCTCGGTGGCTAGACTTACTTTTGAAATTGTCAACGTGGAACCTTTCTTAGCATTTCCCTCTGCCGTGTGTGGAGGCCGTGACTTCCCTTTCCCTCCCTGCACAGGCCGCGCCTCGGTTCACGCTGCTCGTCAGGGCGAGGGACTGCGGGGACCCGCCCCTGTCGTCCACGGCCACGGTTCACATCAGCGTGCAGGAGGGCAACAACTACAGGCCCACGTTCGCCCAGAAGGATGTAAGGCGCCTACTGGGGGTCCCCCCTACCGCCCCATATCCTTCTAGTTCTCCAAAATGACAGAGACGAGAGTCAGGAAGTGGCCGTAGGGCCACGGAATCATCTCGCAGTAATCAAATGGGCTTGCACGTTTTTCTGCTCTGTGCCAGACACTGAGCTCAGAACTCGCACGTGCGTAATTTCATCCCTAATTGTTGGAACCCCCCTCCCCTGATGTGTGGACACAGGGACCCCCCAAAGGGGGGTCGGAGGCGCCACACTCGCTGTGCTCCAGGGTTTCTCAACTTCCACCTCCCGACGTTTGGGGGTGGGGAAGTTGTGCTTGTGGGGAGGAGGCCACCCAGGGAACTGCAGGACGTTTGGCAGCGACCCTGACCTCTACCCGCTAAAGGCCAGCAGTACCCCTCCCCCCGCCGTGACAACCCAGAATGTCTGTAGATATTGTCACGTGTCCCCCGGGGGACAGAACTGCCCCAGGTGAGGAGTCAGGGCTGTAGAACAGGGAAGACACGCAGGTGGGGTCTGGCCGGGCCCCCCTGTCCCCTGGTTTATGATCGGTGCCCCACACAGGACGCCACATGCTACCAGACACGCAGGCAGGAGGAAGGGGCCCACAGTGGCCCGGACCAGTGTGGAGGCGCCACACTGCTGGGGGCAGGCAGGGCGGCCAGGGGAGAGCGCCCAAAACCCACCCGGGATCTGTTTTCCTTTTCCTTCTCCTCTTTTCCTCTTCCGTATGAACTTTTCAAAGGGCACCACCCATCCCATTTCTGCGTTCCTCTGGCCTCTGCCCCCACCCCCGCCCGCACCACACACGCACTGCACACACGCGGCCGTCCCCAGCCGGCACGTGGGTTTTCATCTTGTTTGTTGCACCTAAAACAAAACCTGGCACGTCAATAAATGCTACGAATCATTATGTTAAAAAAAAAGATCATTTAAAAAAATTTTGCCAGCTCTGTGAACCAAAGCTGAAATGTTCTCAGCGCGAGCACCTCCCAGACAGCGCAGAGTAACTGAAAACAACATCGATGGTGCGTGACCCTCCTTTCCAAACCCCTCTCTGGCGCGGTGAGGAGCGGTGCTCTCCCAAGCGGGGCCGGGAGACGAACACCCGGCACGTGGTCGTGTTTGCCTGGAGAAACGATCTTGTCCCCGACAGCGTGGAACAGCCGTTGGTGGGAAAGACCCCTGTTAGGAAGTGGGTCCAAGTACCCGCAGGAGTTCTATTTCCGGAGGGAGCTGGCGTCTTCAGGCAGCGCCCGCTAGGACGTGTGATCATTTTAAAATGCTTGGAAAACTGGGGCACGGTGTTGGACAGGAGAGCACTTTTCAAGTTCAAGTTGTCCTGCTGCAGGGCCCAAGTCCCGGGGAGGGGGGACGAGGTGTTTGCTGCTGGCGCCTGTTCTGCTGTGTCAGGCAGTTTCAGGTCCCTTGAGGTAGGTCAAGTTCAACGGCAAGAGAAACGTCCAGGCTACTGTGCACGAGCTGACTTTTCCTTCCCTGCTTTCTTTTCCAATTGCATGTCTGTGTCTCCACCACACGGAAACGATGACCACCGCCTCCCTCAGTATGAGGTTCGGGTCCCCGAAGGCCAGGTCCGCCCGGGCGCGTTACGTCTCCAGGTCCGAGATGACGACGCGCCGTTCACGTCGGCCTGGAGAGCGGAGTTCAACATATCCCGTGGCAACGAAGAGGGGCATTTTGACATCGTGACTGACCCTGAGACCAACGAGGGGATCCTCAGTGTGGTCAAGGTAAAGCCACACAGGATGCACACGGGCTGGGCGGCTGAGGACGCCGAGGCCGGAGCGGACCCCCGTGACCGGCAGCATGAGGGGAGCCGAGCCCGGGGAGGGCAGGGCCAGGCCCCAGCGCCTGTGGGGGTCCTGTGGCGCCCCCCCTGGCTCCTCCCACCAGGTTAATCTCGATATTAAACATGATGTCTGAATAGGCTTTAAGTACTTTGACACTTAATATTTTTAGACAAAAATCTCATAGATTTGCACAGGCCCTGAAATATTTATTTATTTTTTCTGGTGCGATAAAAATTACCTACCACATTTTCTCCAACCCCAAGAGTTCCTTGGCCCCCTTCTGAGTCTGACAAAAATGAGAACATCTGTGCAAGCGCCTGAGAGTATCATGGGCCGCCAGCACGCGACCTGCTGTGCCTAACGGGCAGCTGGCCCTGCAGCGAGGTGTCATTGTCACTGCCGACCAGGACGCCCAGAGAGGCTGGGGCGTTCTCCTGAAGCCACACAGCCAGAGCAGGGTTCAGACGGGCCGTCTGCCTCCAGGGCCTTCCGCGGCACCAGCTTGCAGCCAGAGCGCAGGTGGCCAGGGCGGGGCAGGCACGTCTACCCGGGATCAGGTTCAAAGGCAGGCCTGAGCGAACAGGTCTGTCTGGGGTGGGCCTGAGTGTCTGCCGTCGGAGTAGCGTGTTCCCTGTGAGACCATGCTGTGGCCCCGCGTGCCCGGGGCTGAGCGGCCCGAACAGCTCTGGCCTTGCGAGCCTTGTAAGCCGCTGACCTCCCTGCACCCGGAGAGCTGTGAGCGTGCAGGTGTCATCTCCTGCAGGTCCCCTGATTTGCAGCGGGGCCGTCACATTAATGTTGCATCAGGTTGGGCCTCTGTTGCATTTTTCATCACCCTCTGACGGATGGCGGCTCTTCCCCGCCAGGAGAGGGGAGGGGGAGGGAACCGCAGGAAGGGTTTGACAGCGAGCTGACAACTGCCCCTTGATCATTATCAAAGACCAGGTTAATAATTAGTGAAGTGCAGAGCCACAGGCACAGGCAGCCGGTGCCCCGGCCAGCAGGTGCTAACGAACTCCTCTCTGTGGGGGGCCTCGCAGGCCCTGGATTACGAAGCCCACCCCTCCTGGAGCCTCATCATCGTGGTGGGAAACGAGGAGCCGCTCTTCTCCTGCGAGGGCGGTAAGCCTCAGAGGCCGGGGCTGGTGGCCGCGAGCGCCACGGTGACTGTGCAGGTGACGGACACCAACGACCCGCCAGCCTTTCACCCCAGGAGCTTCGTGGTCAGCGAGGTCGAGGGCGCCAGGCCCGGCACCCAGTTGGGCAGTTTTAAGGCGACGGACCCGGACGGCCCTGGCAGCGGGGTCAGGTGAGGTGAGGTCAGGTGAGGCGGGGTGAGGTGAGGCGGGGTGGGGTGAGGCGGGGCGGGGAGCAGAGGGGTGGCTGTCGAAGCAGAAGTGTCCTGCAGGAAACTGGCTTCACTGGCGTTGCTCGCTGCCTGAGCTCCGCCTCCTGTGCCCCCTCCCCCGTCCGTGGAAAAATTGTCTCCCGTGAAACTGATCTCTGGTGCCGAAAAGGCTGGGGACCACGGCTCAACTCACGCTTTGAGAAAGATCAGATTTTGTTTCTTTTAATTTCCAATTCACTGTGAAGCAACAGTTTCCCAAAGTGTTTTAAGAGATGATTTACTAGACAGGTGGTTCCTCTGCGGGCCCCTCAGCCGGGAGCTGCGCTCGGGTCCGCGGCTGCGCCCCATTCTGACAGGTCCCGGGGATCCCAGAGCGCCGGGCGAGCCGCCCTGGCCAGTGGCGCCCGGCGCCCACAGGTGAATGACTGGGTTACCCGCGTGGGAACCCGCGGGCTCCAGGGGAGAGAGGCCCAGGCTTCTGCCACGAAGACGTGGAGCTACCAGCTGGGCCAGGCAGCCGAAGACCGGGTCCCCTGCGGGGTGGGTGTCCTCCCGAGGGGGCCAGGTCACGTGCCACCCCGCGAGGACCGGGCTCTGAGCCCGCAGCCGCTGCCGCCGATCTGTCACTGGAAGAGCAGTCTCGGGCTGTCGTCCCTGGGCCTGGTTCGAATTCAGGAATGCTCCTCACGGCTCGTCCTCAGACTTCCCCGCGTGACTTGTGGTGGACATCGCGTCCGCCGTGACTTGGTGATTTTAAAGACCGCGTATGTCTCCTCTGGCCAGGTACCAGCTGGTCCACGACCCCGCCAGCTGGGTGGCCGTGGACGAGCGCTCGGGAGCGGTGGTCACCAGGAGGCAGATGGACCGCGAGTCCCCGTACGTGAACGACAGCTTCTACGTCATCATCGCGCACGCTGTTGACGACGGTGAGTGTTTCCCCGAGACACAGCCTGCCCGTCACTGTGTGCGCCCACGGCAGCCGTGCTTGATGGTGAATCCGGGGCCGAGAGGCCCGGGGAAGGCGGAGAGCCCTCGCTCAGAGGCGACCGCCAGCCCCCGGGAGGCGCGGTCAAAGCCGGTGTCTGTCTCACCTGCTCGGGGGACGGTGGTGCGTGAGGAACAGGCAGCACCATGGTCCCCCCGTGCGTGGAATGGCTCACAAGCTCAGGAGGATGTGACCGCATGGGACAGATCTGTCATGACCCCGGTGGGCGACTTGATGAGCGTGTCCCAACACTTGCCTCCGTGACCCCCAGGGCCGAAGTTTTAGACCTCCTGGGACACAGAGTAGAATACACAGAAACCTTCACGTGCCTTCACTAATTGCATTTTAGGCAGTCCGAGGATTCAAACCCGGGGTCTAGGGATGAGGAGCTGATTGGAACAACTAACCAGCAGAGGGTGGGTTAGGAAGACAGCGAAACTGCGTTTCTAATCCGTCCAGGTGCGGGGGGAGGAGAGAGGGTCCCTTTTCCGGGGACTTAAGGAAATAAGGCAGTGGGACCCCGAGTCCCCACTGCGTGCGTGCGCAGCGGTGACGCCTTGCAGGCCCACCCCACGGGTCACAACCAGGTCACTGAGTCAGGAGACAGGCGTTTGCATCCACACAGCCCACAGCACACACCCACTTTCCTCCCATCCCGCCCCCTGCTGAACCCCCGGCACCGTCCACACTTCCTGCACCTGTCGGGTCTCCTTTCTGCCTGGCTGCCGATCGTCTGCGGAGGACCCGAAGGGGCGCTCTGTGAACCTGGGCAAACGAGACCCTCGGAGTTGGGAGGAGCGGGTGGGCAGCCCAGGCACCCACAGGAGAGCCTGTGGAAGGGGAATGGTTTCCGTGGCCCCCCGGGACGGTTGCCTCCCCCCGGGGCTCAGGGCTCCTGTTCCTGGGGCTGGCGCGCACGCAGTAGGCTCTTCAGCCAGTAAACAGTTCTTCCCGGACACCCCGAAGGCCGCCCGCCGCAGACCGGGACGGGGACCCTGTCGCTGCTCCTGTCCGACGTCAACGACAACGCCCCGACCCTGCTCCCGCGCTCGCAGTACCTGGAGGTCTGCGAGTCCTCCCAGGCCACGCCCCTCCTCGTGGAGGCGGAGGACGGCGACCTGCATCCCAACGCGGACCCCTTCACGTTTGAGCTGGACTCGGCCTCGGGAAACGTGGGAGGCGCGTGGAGACTGGGGGAAAGGCAGGGTGAGTATCTGTGCTGGCCGGGGCTAACTGAGGGCAGAAACGGCTGACCCTGGCCCAGACCTGGGCGCAATGCGTTTGGCAGCTTGCGGAGCCGCGGGACACAGCCGGGCCAGCCTGCGTGCGTTCTGGCAGAGCCGCGTGGACTCCAAGGACGTCCAGGCCGATGCCCGTCCTGCCGCGGCTCGGCCTTGCTCGGGGCTCCTTCACTGCCAGGCACGCTCTCCTCTGGGGGCTTGAAGGGCGGCTCCCAGGGTCCGAGGCTCATCCTAGCACCCGGCAGGAATCCCCAAATCGCCGCCCGGCCTGGCTCAGCTGCCCTGCGGGTCGCTGTGGGTGGGAGTGGGGAGGGGATCCGCTCCCTGGGGGGCCGTGAGCCCACACCTGGGGTCTGGGCTGGGGTCTGGGCTTGGCCTCTCCTGACTCGCGTGGGCCGGGGGCTCAGGGATGCGGACCTCTCCGAAGGAGACCTGGGGCGCTGGTCCCGGCAGGCGCCACGGGCACTGCCGGCCGCCTTCTCCTCTGTGCCCTCACTCGGGGCTCTGTGGGACACGGCTTGTTTTCGTGGTTGGGTGCACGTGTGTGGTCTCCAGACCCCGAGTGCGTGGTGAGGCACTGGACCTCGCCCCAAAGGAGGTCTGGCCTTGGCCTTGGCTTTCGGCAGCGGATCACCAACCTCTTGGAATGTCTTGCCTGAGAAAAGTGTTTTTTTTTGCGGGGGGGGGGGGTGTCTTGTGCCGATCAACAGGACCGGTGTGGTTCAGGGCGGGGCTTTGGGTCCTGTGGGCGGGCAGCCAGGTTTCTGGGACGGAGTCCCCATACAGACTGTGGTGGCCAGGCTCGGGCGGGCTTGCGTGGCTGGCAACGCCCCTGCATACCGTGCGTCATCGGTGCCGGGAGGTGTTGCTGTCCCGGCTCCATGGGGGGCGAGGGACCAGACGCTCTGTGGTTGGTGGTCTCTGGACTCTGCCCCACATGCCTCTTCTGTCGGCTGGCTGGCCTGGGAGCCCTTGAACTTGCAGCTGCTGTCAGAAGTGAGGGCGATCCTGGCGAGGGTCCCTCTGACTGTGCAGTTGGCTGACTTCCGGACAGAGCCTGGCCAGGTGGACGGCACTGTCCGCTGTCCACCTGTCTAGGTGGTGACTGTCCGCTGAGCGGCCGAACCTCAAGTGAGTCGATGCATTCGAGACCCCTTTCTCCCTGCAGGCCGGTCGGTTGAACTCGTGATGCAGAAAAGCCTCCCCCGTGGGGATCACTTAGTGCCGCTGTCCATCGGAGACCGACAGGGGCTGGCCCAGAAGCAGACCGTCCACGTGCGGGTCTGCTCCTGCCCCGACGGGGCCATGTGCGCAGCGGAGGCGTCGCGCGCAGGGCCGGGGCTCCTCCTGGGGGTCCTGGTCCCTCTCTGTGTGGTCTTCCTGGCTCTGGCAGGTCAGTGTGCTGCAGGGTGGCCCGGGCTGTGAGCCGGAGGAATGGAGCCCTCGGGGGCGGGGGGCCGGGGGTGGCAGAGAGCAGCGGGGCGCCCAGAGAAGGACCTGGAGGCTCACCGAGTTCCAGACCTGGTCGCACACGCTGCCCGTGTGGCAGAAGCGGCTTCCGTTCAGTAAGCAGCCGCCTACCGCAGTGGAAGCCCCGACAAGCTCTGCCGGAGGGCGACCCTGAGGCCTGTGATGACGCCGGGGCGGCGATACGCAGATGCCCGTCTGGGCTCCCGGGCTCGGGGACGGCGAACAAACAGACCCGGCAGCCCCAGTCACAGGGCACCCCCCATCGAGTCCACGCACAGTGACCCGGCAGCCCCAGTGCCATGGGCCCCGCTACACCCCGTAGCTGCAAAGACGCTTGAGGCCCAGGCTGGCCCTGCCACTCCCGGCTGAGTTACTTACGAGTCGACAGACACGACCCGCTGCAGCCTCTGACACTGGAGAGCGCACACCACTCACCCTGCTTCCCGTCTCTTCCCAGTTGCTCTGTTTCTCTTGCTGCGACGCGGTTCCCTGTCTGGAGCCAAGAGGCACAGGCGCTCGGTCCTTTGCGGGGAAGGCCAGCAGACCCTGATCACCTACAATGACGAGAGCAGAGCCCTCACAGCCCCAGCCGTGGGGTGCGGTGCGCCACCACCGGGGCCGCCGGTGACCCAGGTGGGTGCATCTTCCCTGCTCCCGTCCCGCCTCGCACGTCCCCGAGCGTACTCACGCGTGGGCGGCAGCAGAGGGGCAGAGCCGCCCCGGGAGTTCTCCCCTGGGGCCGCTGGGGCCCAGCAGGGTGCGTCTGCCGATGTCGGGAGAGGACTTCGATGGTCACAGCCTGGCCGGGGTGTGGGAGGGGGAGGGGAGGCTTTGGGTGCCCAGTGGGTGGAGCCCAGGGATGCCGCCGAGCATCACCCCGAGCCCGGGACGCCTCACGGCAGAGAGGGAGGTGGCCCCGGGTCAGCAGCGCCGGGGGCGAGAAGCCTTGTGTAGGGGAGGCTGGGTGTTACCAGGCACAGCTTCCATCAACGGCCCCTGTGCTGAGCTCACTAATTAACGAGTCCACGCTGGCTTCTCGGCCCCGCCTGGGGCAGGATAGGGCAGAGCCGCTCCCCCACCCTCACCGGCGGAGGCTGAGCAGAGCTCACCGGCCCTGAAGGACACAACCTGGGCTTTGCATCCTCTCATCCTCGCCACCCGGAGCACGTCACGTGACCCCCGTTCTGTGCCGTGAATCAGGGATGACACGGTCGGCCTCACGGGAGGCTGGAAGATGGTGCCCACGAACGCACCCCCCGGGCCCCGGCGCACGGTTACGGCCGGTGCCTGCTGGTTTTTCACACCTGCCGCTTCCGACGCTGGCCCTGCCGCGTCTCGGAGGTCCAGCTCCATCCGGGCTGGGCCTGGCTCCGCCCCGCAGACAGAGCACGGGGGCCTCTGCTCCATGCTCTGTGCCCTGTGCCCTGGAAGCCAGGGTGGCTGTGCTGACCAGTGAGCGCCCAGGAGAGGTCGCCAGGCAGCACTCTCTGCTCACAGAGGACCCAGGTTCCCACCGCCTGTTGTCTCAGACCTCGTCACACACACCACGGGCGCCGCCTCTGGGAAAAGGCCCGTGATGGACCTCGGCTGTGTGTCTGTGCTCCAGTGGCAAGGGCGGTTCTCTGCAGAATGGGGAAGCAAGAGCCGCGGGCCGTGCCCCTGGAGCACGGTCTGCACGTCCACGCAGGGGCCTTCCCAGGGCGCGGCCCAGCAGGCAGGAGGCCCGTCCGAACTGGCCAGCTGGCCGGGCCCCGCCCCCCGACCACGAAAGCGGCACTTCACCGGTTCTGTGAACCGGTCACAGACCGGTTCGTCTGTGTCGCTTGAAGAAGGAAGTGCTGGCACAACCAGCCGAGCTTTGCCCAGCAGAAGACTCACTCGGCCCACCCGGCACGCGGACCAGCCGAGGACCGGCCGTCAGAGGCACCGGAGCCCACGCGGGGCAAGGGGTCTCTGTCCACCCCTGGCACCGAGACACTCGTCTTCCCCTCGTCTCCCACTCACGGTTCTGGACACACCCCCATTACTGTCAAGGCATCTTTTTCTTTAAATCCCCACCCAAGGATGTGGTTACTGATTTTAGAGAGGGAGGGAGAGAGAGAAATACTGACCTGAGAAACATCGACCGGTTGCCCCCCCACCCCCACCCCGTTGGCGTCCCGACTGGGATCAAACCCACAGATTTCGGTGTCCGGGACAAGACTCCGACCAGCCGGGCCCTCGGCCAGTGCTGCCAAAGCACCGTGGGGCTCCGGGGACGGGGCGTACAGCGAACCTTGGTCTCAAGGACAAAACCTGGTTCACAGACATCATCTATGGGACCTCGACTGTCACACGTGAGGGGGATCCCCCAAACCCTGGAATTTATTGATAAGAGATTGGGTGATCATTCTGACATGTTTAAACTTCAGTCACCCTCGGAGTCCTCTCCGTGTGACACGACGTTCGGGCAGCGGACCCCACACCCTGGGCCCGCAAATCGCGGGGCTGGCCTTGGGTCCTGGGGGTGGGTGTGCCTCAGTCACAAACGCTGAGCCCCGGCCCACGAGCGGGGCTTGGAAACCGCACCCCCACGCGCCAGTTCCACAAAGCAGCCGGCAGGCTTGCCCACGGACCTCTGCCAGGAACGCCGACACGGCGTCAGCACAGTCTCCACGGCCTTAGTGCAGCACGAGGAAAACGGGGTGACAGGGAGGGTTCCTGGCTCTGTGTCTGCAGGGTCTCCCCTTCTCTCTCGCCACGGACAGGGGAGGCATGACCGAAGTGCCCTTCATCTGACCCTCCCTCGGGTGGGGAGAAGCTCTGACCACCCTCCACCTGGATAGTGGTCCCCAGTTTCTGGCCGAAAAAGGCCATGGACGCGGGAGCTTCAAGGGGGGCCCCCCTGAGTGGTGTTGAGGTTCTGCCCCCTTGCTTTGCAGGTTTACCCAGCGACCGAGGTGCCCACGCAGACCCCGGAAAGGAGGATGGGAGCTATGGCGGAGATGCTGCATCAGGTAGGAGGGTTTTCCCGCCGCTGAGGCTGGGCTGCTTCCTCCTCGGTCCCTGCCCGTGTCGGCCAGGGCTGCAGGGACGAGAGACCACGGGCGGGCGGCCTGCTCACCAAGCAGGCTCACTCCTCCCAGCTCTGGAGCCGGGGGTCTGAGACCAGGGTGCCAGGAGGGCAGGCCCTGGGGGCCCGTGAGGATGCCCGGGTTCACCTGTGGGCACTACGCCAGTGGACACGGGGCCAGGACTCGGCGCTCCCAGTTAAACAGGGAGCCAAGGAGTGTGGCTCCTACAGGCCAGAGGAAGCTGGGGAAAGCTGACCGCCAGAACGGAGGGGAGGCACGGCCGCCCACGCCCTCCTGCCTCCGCCCACTCTGAGACACTGGATCCTGACCCGCTTCCTGCGCTGGGTGGGCTCACCCGCTCAGGGACCACCGGGAGCTCATGATGGGTTAGGCGATCCTGCTTAACCCACTCCCACCAAGGCGGGGGGAGCCGGCTCCCTCCCAGAGATATCTGGGAGAAAATAGGCGAAAGCCCTTTAACCTCGTCCACCTGTCCATCCGTCTGTCCGCCCGTCCTTGCAACAAACGTGTATTCAGTCACTCAGACCAGAAAGAAAACAGAAAAGTTTCCGCAGAGAGATGCCTCAAGCCCTGAAGTCCGAGCTGGGGTTGGCGGGCGGGGACCGTCACTCAGGAAGGGGACAGCCGGTGTCAGGGTGCAGACGGTGGGTGGGGGGACTCACCCCCAATAATAAATCCTTAGTGGGGGAGGGACACTGGCCCAGGGCCTGTGCCACCTGAATCAAGGCGGAGACCAGCCTGGTCACACGCCCCCCCCAGAAGTCAGCTGGAAAGTGTGCCGGTGCCACCCGTCCCTCAGCTGGCCGCCTTTGCTGAGTCCGCAGAGCCTCCTGCGGCAGCGGGGGCAGAGGGACGGCCCCTCGTCCCACCGCACTGGCGCGTCCCTCGACGACGGCAGGTGAAGAAAACGCCCCGCTCGGGGCGAAGCCCGGCCCTCACCCCCTCTTTCCCTGGCCTTCCCGCAGCGGCTCCACGGCCTGGGCACGCTGGCCGAAGAGCCCGGGTCCCTGCCCCATGTCTACACGGAGGAGGGCGAGTGCGAGCGGGCGGAGACCCTGAGCTCCCTCGCCGTCTCCGAGGGGACCCTGCCGCCGGGGCGGCTGGACTGGCTCCTCGCCGAGGCCTGAAGACCGACCGTGCTGCGTCGGACGGACGGACGGACGGACGGACCACGTGTTTCCCCCTAAAGGACGCGTGTCACAGTGCATCGGGGTCCCTCCCCTCCACGCCCCTCCCTCCCGCCCCTCCCAGTCCTGGGAGCAGCATAAGCTATGAGTGTAGATGCGATGTTTTCATGTTCTCAGACCAGACGCCTTGAAACAAAACAGCAGGTTATTTTTTTTTAAACAAATTTGATTGGCCAGACAGGTTTTCCAGAGAAACTAGAGTTTTGTAATTCCTCGCTCCCACGAGCAGTCCGGCTCAGAGGGTAAATGAAATGTAGGTTAACCATGGGTTAACCAGCGAGGCGGCAAGAGCAGGGGATTTTGGTGGGGGGTGGGGGGTGAAGGTAGATATTTCAGTGGTCATTTATATTTCTGTAATGATGATTCTGTTTCAGTTTAAAAAGGAGGTAAATAGGAAAAGGTTTTCTAGAAGGTTTGTGATCAGTGTTTTTGGTGACCGAAAAGAACAAACAGTGAACCCTGGGTGGTGCGGCCAGGTGGTTGGAGCGTCATCCCGTAACCGAAGGGTTGAGGGTTCAATTCCCGGTCAGGGCGTGTGCCCGGGTTGTGGGTTCAGTTCCGGGCCGGGGTACGTATGGGAAGCAAACAGTCGATGTTTCTCTCTCTCTCTCTCTCTCCCCCCGCTTTCTTCTCTCTAAAATCCATGAAAAAAAAATCCTTGGGAGAGGATAAAGGAAAAAACAACAAAAATAGCGGTCCTTTCTACTTTTTGGGTACATAAATATGTTATGAGAAAAATGATTTTGCTTAAAACTTTATACTCAATACACACTTTAAAAATGAACAGACATCATTTATCTTGCATGGTATTATGAAAGTAAAAGGATTTAGTAGCCTTTTGTGTATAAATTCCAATTAGATCGTATCTTTAAACAAAACCACAAGCTTTAATTGTTTTTTTTACTGGCGCACTCGCCGCCGGTGGAAGTGTGGGGGAAGGGAGGGCTTCTTTGAAAAATGTCAGACAGTTTGAATTGGAGGCCCGTGCCCTGTGCACAGCCGGTTTTCTGGTCTGGGCCGTACGTAGATGAGCGGCCCGTCGGCCCAACCGGGGATGCTCTGGGGCCTCTGGGGCCGCTCTCAGGGCAACGGCTGAACCTGAAAGCTCTGCCTGGTGAATGAGCCTGATCTTGTGTAAGGGCCCTCGGGCGCCCTGGGCTGGTCATCAGTGAAGTGTCACATTAAAGGGGGCTCTAGCTGGCGTGGGGCTGAGGCCTCCCTTTTCCTGGCAGCGAGGCGGCAAAGACAGTCACAGCCCGGAGGGTTTGTGTGGGGCTCCCTCACCCATCCCCCCGCGCCCCGGGCACCCGAGAGAGAAGCGCTGGCTCCAGAGCTGGCCTGGACCGGGGGAGCAGCTGTGCCGGTAACACGGAGCGATCCCGAGTGGCATCTAGGACACTTTCTGGGTGATTCTCGAAAACAGGGACTTTCCGGAAGTGTGGGTTTCCAGTCTGCTGTGTCGGCAGGGGTCCGTAGGTGGTCTCTACACCTTCGTGGGTCCAGAGCAGGAGAAAGAAAACGGTGGCGTGGGGCAGATCTGTACCCTCCCCCCGCCCCCTGGCCCTGCCTGTGTTGTGAATAAAGTTTTATTAGCACCCGGCCTTGCTCACGTGATGTTTCCATTTCATCCAGGGCAGCTCTTGCTGTCACAGCAGAGACCCTATGTCCCCACAAAGCTAATGTATTTCCTTTCTAGCTCTTTGTGGGGGGGAAAGGGGACCACCCTTGTTTCAGGCCTTCTTTCTGGAAGCGTCACACTGTACCCCGCCGGGGATGATGTACCCACAGCCCTGCGCTCCACACGGATCTCCTGCCGCATAGCCCCGGGGCGAGGGGGTTCCCGCCCTTCACCGCTGGCTGCAAACCCCGGCCGAGGGGCGCGTTTGTGAATTCCTGCAACTGGGAGACTCTCCAACTACCTGCTTCCCTCCCAGAGCAACAAAACGCTCCTGAAAAGTCGTGAATGCCCGATGTGACAATTAACGAGGAGACCAGAACTCGGCATCTTGTAGACACTGAATCAGACATTCATTCACGTGGATTTTGTTGTGGCCTTTGTGCATTGTGCAGCCAAAGGCCGGATGTGTGTCTGGATTTCAGAGCCTGGCCATTGTCACTCACTGGTCTCGGTCGGGGGACAGTGGTGTCCGGGGGTGGGGGTGAGACGGCCCTGCCAGCACAGGTCAGAAGCTCACCTGGCCTAGGAGATGTCACCCTCGCCTTCTGACGCCAGTCTGCACTCACTGCACCCCCCTCCCAACTGATAATGGCCCTGAACGTCATGGATGTGGCTGGGTCCCCCCACAAGGCCACCTGCCAGGGCCATCCACCTGCTTCACAGGCTGCCGTGGGAGAGGGGGCAGCAGGGGGTCTGCAGAAGGGTGAGCCTCCAGGGCCGTGCCTCGTGGACTGGACCCCCGAGACTGGCAACGCCGCCAAAATAGGAAAGCTTCTCAAGGAAAACGCGGCTGTGTGAAGGACGCCCGTCTCCGAGGCACTCAGCGGTCCGAAGGCAGCCGGGGCCCCGAACGTTAAACGTCTGCCGTGTGTTCCCTCAGCTTCGGTCCTCCGTGTGCCTCCACAGCCGCGCTGGCTCGCAGGGCTTTTCCTTGGGGGGGCTTTTCCCCGGAGGGTCCCTCCATTCTGCCATGGATGGTGACTGGCTGGACACGGACGCTGTGGACACGGCGCACGCTCAAGTGAAACGTGAATCCTTGGGGCGGGAGCACTGGGCTGCGTAGCAACGGTCCCCTCGGAGACGGAGACGCGTGGACAGCAGACCGAAAAGCTTGTCTGGTCATCGTCGCCTCTGAAATGTGCGTGTCAGAGGCTGGATTCTGGGGCTGTGACCACAGGAGGGACACAGGCCTTTGACTTCTCCAGCACAAAGACTCTGGCGCTGCCGTCTGGTATGAAGAGACTGCAAATTGTCTCGATATCTGTTACCTTTCCTTCCTCAGTAGTAGAATCCTGAGTGGCCAGCCGTCATTTCCCACACTCCCTTGCAGCCAGGTGTGGCCGTGCGGTGAAGTTCTCGCCAACGGAAGGCAACTTCCAGGAAATAGTCGTGAAGGGTGGAGACGTGTCAGTCTCTTCTGCCTCTTCTAGACCTGCTGGCTGGAATGAGGATGTGATGGCAGGTGCTGCTGCAGCCATTCTGGACGTTGGTGCATGAATGGGACAGAAAGGGTACAGGACTCTGACCCCAGGGATTCCCACTGAACCATCCTGGACCACCTTACTCTAGTCCTCAAATGAAGGAGAGAATTACTGTATTTTTCTCTGTTTAATGCACATGTTTTTGCCCAAATTTTTGAGGGAAAAATAAGGATGCCCATGATACACGTAGGGTATAATGATTACATACCACGGGCATAATCATCCCGTGTGTAATGCGCACAAAAACCATGGGTGTGCATTATATATGGCACAATACAGTAACTATGTCTCATCAAAGTCACTGCTATTTTGAATTTTCCATCACTGTGGCCAGATCTAATCTCCATTGATCTAAAATACAGGACCCAGAGAAACAAGCCTCAAGTAGTAGAACTTGAACCACGGCAGGGGCTTAGTGGATGTGGTCAAACATCGTGGGCCGGAGGTCCGGCGACCCCTTCATGCAGAAACAAAGCCTCGGGTGACAAGGGCCCCAGCCGTTTTTGTGGAGAAGCAGCTCGTGTTCCGCACAGGGGTGGAGGTAGAAGAAGCGGATAACGTAGACATGCATCACTGCTTCTCGCTGCGGTTGGCAAAGCCCGGGGAGAGAGACAAGGCCGCGGGCCGCCGCGGGCCAGCACAGGCGCCGAGGGAAGGGGACGCAGCCGTGCTAATGGACACCCTCTGCCTGCAGCCTGCAGTCCAGGCTCGCCGAGAGCTCGGTAATGTGGAGCCTCGCGGGGTCGAGAAAAGCAGCTGTGGCGTCTCTCTGGTGTTAGTCTTTGAGGTGGTTTTGTGCAAAGCAGAGCATTTGGCAGAAAATAAAACCGGCGGCCTGGCTGGTGACGTGGGGGCCTCGTGGCTGAGGCCGGGGGAAGGGGCCACCTTTCTGCCCGAGCCCAGTGCTCAGACGCTCGAGGTGGGCGGGCGCCGCACCTCAGCCCAGAGGCCGCGGCCGAGCCCGGAGGCCACCCAGGCGAGGCCAGACCCCTCAGGGTCCTGAACGTGTTGTGACAGACGGAACGACAGAACGCAGCTCGGTCAGAAGTCTTTACGTCTTGGAGAACGTTGTCCTGCTGAAGAAACACCATCTAGTCTGAGGAAGCCTGGGATGTCCGCCCCCAAAGCCGTCCCTGGAAGCACCAGCGGGGAAAACAAGCAGCGTGAAACTTCGCGGCCCAGGAAGGGCCTGGCCTCTGAGACCCACGTCCGTCTGTCCGTCCAGCGTGGCGGGGAGATGAAGGACGGCCACCCACACTGCCGACGGCGTCTTCACGGCTCTCGGCAGCTTGCTCGCGTGCGTGTACCCCAGAGGACGTGTTCCCGTGAGCGGGGTTTTTACAGCAGGCGAGCTGTGCTCACCCTCCTCCCCTGGCATGGGTGTGCACGGGAACTTCTTCTGCTGCGTGCGAGGTGCTCACACCCTGCGGCACAGCCAGGCTGGGGTCCGTCCGTCTGAGTGAACGGGGGTCTCAGGGGCACGTTGAGAGTTCTGTCACCCACAGGGGAGACAAGTAACAAACCCCAGCATGGGTGGGGTGGGGTGAGGAGGGGGTTACTCTGTGGGACTTCTGCCCCCCGCGGCCCCGTGCCTGGCTGCGGGCTGTGCGCGCACGAGGCCCCGAGGAGACTCCCCGCTGCCTGTCGCGGTGAGCACTGCAGGCTCCCTTTGCTGGGTTCCCCCGCCCCAGCTGCACTTGGACCAAGGGCGGGAACCCCGTCCACCCTATTCTACTCTCAGGCCTCCCGAGCAGTGGCTCCAGAGTGCGGGTACGTGCAGAGGCACAGCCCGGAGCCGGCGGTCGGCAGGCCAGGCGCTCAGGACAGCCGGGCCGGGTCGGAGCTGGCGTTTCAGGAACAGGCGTTACCCCCCCGCCTCCCACCCCGCCCTCCGGCCCTGGCTCAAGCTCACCCCCCGCAGCCCACCCGAGAGCGTGGGTTTTTAAAACGCAGGCCGTGAGCTCCTCAGCCTCTGGGTGGCATTGCAGAGTGGGCCCACGCGGGCTCCCTGCCCCTCGGCACCGCGGCATGCTGGGCGGGCTCCTTGTCCACGGTGGGGTCCCTCCTGTGCCCCGTGGGGTGTCCTGCGGCACCCCTGGCCCCCACCCACTCTGGCCAGGGGCACCCTGCCCCCTGTTGTAACAACCCACATTGTTCAGGGGCCCTGGGGGCGGATGGCCCTGGCCGAACCACTGGTGTACGGAATGAGCCTTAAAAATACAGCTTCCTGGAGCCTCGGCAGACCCTGACTTCCCGTTCATGAAGCCAGACTGGACTGGGCGGGAAGGAGAGCTGTGCTCCGGAGGAAAGGTCATGAGGAAATCCACGCAGATTCTCAGTCAGCTGTGGGCCGCACCTGTGGGTCCTCGCTCGGAGCCTCGAAGCCGTGGTCGCCTGGGAGCCACGGCTGCCTCGGAGAATGGCCAAAAACACCTGGGTCGTGGGCCCGGGGCTTCCATGCAGGAAACGGCCTTCCAGAGGCAGCCTGGGCCTTGCCGGTGGGCATGTGGGCACCAGGTCGGCGGCCCGGCTGCAAAGGTCAGCGGGCCTGGACACTGACCAGATCCGCGCTCTGGCCAGGGCAGGCACGCAGGCGCCAGTGCAGTGCCACTCGGCTTCCTCGCCTGAGAGGCCTTCTCTGTCCCCCGCCCGACCGCAGGCCTGTCCGGGCCGGGGAGCAGCTGCACGCCCCAGACGGAAGGGAGGGCCGGGCTCGGAC